ACCACCCGCGACTGGCGATGCTGCGGATTTTTCGACTCTCTCGAGCGCCTCCCCCCGCTTGGGACTTTGGCGCGGAGGAGGTGGGGGAGTACGAGCTCGATGGCGCGGGTTTGGCTCCCCGTCGTCGCCGCTCGCACTCGGAGAGAGGTCGTGCGCCTTTGCTTGCTCGGCCATTAGGCTGAACAAGGGAAACTTGACCCACACGGAAGAGTATGAGAGCTCAGAAAACACACGCTGAGCCCCCTACCTGGCGCGCCAGATGACGGAGCTCGTGGCTCCTCACCGGGAGACCGCGCAGGCCCCCCTTTTGCCAGTTCGGCCGGGGGCTTAGGGTGAGATCTCAAGCTCTCTCTGTGTGTGGAAAGATCACGTGCCCAGAAGAAACGCGAGACACGGACGATGTATACAGGTTCGGGCCGCTGGGAAGCGTAATACCCTACTCCTGTGTTTTTGGTGGATCTGTGTAAGAGCAAGTTACAAAATATCAACTAGCCCTCTCCTCTTCCCGGAAAAAATCCAGCCCCCTTCTCTGTGGGCATGGTCCTCCTTTTATATCTTAAGGGGATACCACATGTACCCTTCCCTTTCCAAACTGGACTTTTCTTCTCTTTATGGACGGAGATTGGTATGGTTGCCGTCCGAATGACACTTCGATAGGACAGCCCACACCTACCTCCACTCCCGGCGGAGACAGGCGCAACGTGGGATCGTGGCTGTCTGTTGCTGACGCGACCAGTGTCAGACCGGTCACAGATCGGTCATTCTTGTCCTCTATGCGTCAGTTCAGCGATCTGCATGATCACCCTTCTTTTTGTAGCATCTTGCCTGTAATGGTTGGGATGAAGCCTGGTATTCATCTAACCAGGGCTAACGTGCCATCTCTAAGAGGTAACACGCTAGCTCCGGCTGGAGACGTGTGCCTAGAGGCTCTCGTCTTGACGGGACGGGGCGAGGCGTGCGTCAGACCACCAGTCGCCACCTAACCGTTGATCCGACCGGTCTGTGACTGGTCACAGACCGGATAAAAGAGCGCGCTGCATTGCGCTGCATGCAACGTGACACGCTTGACCAGACGCAATAAATGCGGTTAGGTGAGCCCTATCGTGTTCACCCAACCTATGTACATAGTGCAAACCCCACAGGGGGTCGGGGCACCTCGGCCCTCGGGGTCGGGGCAGGAGCAACCCGACCCCCCCTCGGGGAAATCAGGAGGAGGGCGGACACCTCACCCTCGGGCCCGACGTCCCCGAAGGTGCCAGGCCACGTGGGCGATTCCATCTGCCTCAAGCCTCCGGGCGCAATACTCCCGGTCCCATATCACCGACACATGTCCCCTTGTAACCACCCAGTTGCGCCTCGATACTCGTGCACTCTGTGCATGTATCGACGGTCGCCTTCAAACTTAAAATCTGAGTAACAACTTGGGTAAAACTGGAGTTTTACAAAAGACTTGGAAAACCCGACACCTGGGTCGGTGCTTGCGAACTAAATGGATTTTCCAAAACCGCGGACCGGGGAACGTACCGGGTGTACGGTTTCCCGCTCTTGCACCTAAGGACCGTTTCCTTGGAATTTCATCCGAACATAAGACAAGTACGACCACACGGGTGGAATGGGACACCCCTGGCTGAGTAACTAGCTTATCAGGGGAGCCTTGATGCCGAGAGACATGTGGATTCGCCGGGGTGGTGTTGGGGATGACCCCTGGGCTTCCTGGCACAGTATGGTCTGGGACCTAACCTGTTGTTGGTCTGGGACCCCTCTCGTCGGCATATGGTAAACCTGTATCGGCTTTCGAAATGCCTTGTCATGAAAGCTTGGAGGTCTCCCGACGTGGCTGATCCCCACGGGCTGGGTGATCCGGGTTAGTAATGTCGTGTGGGTAAAGTGTACCCCCTCTGCAGAGGTTAACAAACTGTTCGAACAGCCGTGCCCACGGTCATGGGCGGATGTGAGGTGATTCCTAGCGTAGTTTTGTTTGACTACTGCTTGTGAAATTGCTGTTGTGAAACTGGGTTCGATGTTTGAAAAATCAGCAGCTGACGGGATCAGCTAGGCCCGGGTGGCCGTTTGAAATGTTGTTGGCCCGGGTGGCCGTTTGAAAAGCTGTTGGCCGGGTGCCAACCCTGTTTCAAGATCTAAAGACTGATACATTGCACATACTCCGACCGGACGAGACGCACTGTCCCATCTGTGTCGTTTGAGAAGCACTCACCTAGTCGTTTTAGAAAAAGAGTTCAAATAAAACCAATTGAAAAAACAACAGCCTTTCCTTGAAGCCTGCATTAAACACTTATTTCCCCTGGCTTGCTGAGTACTCCCGTACTCACCCTTGCTCTATATAAATAATCCCCCCCCAGTTGCTGAAGAAGATGAAGTGGATCCTGCTGACGAGGAGTTCTTCCAGGAGCAAGTCGGCTACGATGAGTTTTAGGGTTTCGGCCTAGTTCCCAAGTCGCGCCTGTGATGAATGGTCCAAGTCCTGGCTTCCGCTTTCCTTTTGTAATGCAGTTGTGAGCTCGGGATCTGTCCGCAGCCCAACATGACTGTACATCTACTCTATAATAAAGAGACCTCTGTTGCTGTGATATTCTGTCTCCCTGTGATACTAGTACTGTTTCCTGGGACTGGTATCGATTAACAGGTTAATTTGGAGCGTCACGGGCTAGTTCCGGTCGGGACTAGTTCGGGGCGTGACAAAAACTCACATATTTTTCGCGCACATATTTCTTAAACTATTAAATGGTACTTTTTTAAAAAAGAATTATAGAAAAGTTGTTTCAAAAATCATATTAATTTATTTTTCAAGTTTAAAATAATCAATACTTAATTAATCATATACTAATGGCTCACCTCATTTTATGCACATCTTCTAAATTTTTACTTTCCACCTCTCAAACACACCCTTAGAAAAGTTCACTGGGTTTAATCTAACGTAACACTTATTGGCATCTAATCGGCGAAACAACTTAAAAAAAATAATTATGGAGCCCAGGTGAGCTGACATGCCATTCTATCTCCTTTTCTTCTTCCTCCTGACTTTCCCATATCTTTCTCCACCATTCTGTTAACTAGTGCTCAGTGGGTGGTAGCCACCAGCCTCATTGCGTGCAATTGGTGAGCTCCATTTCTCCTATCCCATGTAGTACGTCGTGGAGCTTGAGCTGGAGTAGCATTGGCAATGGGTGCGGAGCTTGAACTCAATGACGTAGCAGAGAGCCGACACAATGGTGCAACCCCATATATCACCCACCGCCTAGCTATTGGATTGCCGCTAGCTCTTCTTTACTTTGGGACACTAGCTATTTTTGAGCAAAATCTACTCTTATACTCTTGATCAATAATAGAAATTATTGGTGGGCTAAATTCCCTCCTCATAGACCTTTATTCTCAACCCATTACAATCTACTCTTGATTTAATCATGATCAATGGTGCAGATTGCATCATCCTTTTGTGTTGGGAAGAAAAGCCTAGCCTTCATTAAGAAGGAGAGAGAGTGAGTATCATCAGCCATTGGAGAGAATAAGCAACAGGCGAAACATAAGAGGGAGAGGAGAGTGGAAAATAACAGTTGCAGTTTGTTCAGTTTGGTGGCTCTTACCCGATTTTCATTAAATTAGTGATTAGAGGTTTAAACATGGTTGGATTGGCATCAAAATTGGTGAGTTCATTCCTCGCTTAGAGCACTTCAATATGGTCAGTTTGTGTGAGGATTGGTTGAGTGGAGCACCGGATTTGAGCAGTGGTTTGTCAGCTCGAGTGACTACAATTTCAGCTTGTGCAATATTTGGTAGAATGTTGGTTTGAGGGGTCACACAATGTCTAATTAGGCTGTTTTTTTGGACAGCTTGCTCATAGACCATCACTTCTGCCAAGTTTTGTGCAATTTGCTTCTGTAGTTTGGGATATCTCAGCTGAGAACCAAAGGGGACATAATCCGCTATTTGTTATATTGTTGTTGTTATAACTCTTGTTAGTTGTTACGGTTGATACCGATAATGCCAAGTATGTAACTTGATGATATAGCTGTTGTTTGTAATGTGTCTTTAAATGTTCTAGAAAAGACTCCATTTGTACCCATTTTTATTGTAATGGAAGTTTGGAGTGGACCGTTCGTTCCAGGGTTTTTTACTCCTCACACCGAGAAGTTTTTTTTACGTAAATCACCGTCTTTTGTGTGTATGCGTTTATTGTTATTTCATTGCTGATTTGCTAGTTAACTATCCTTAAAAAATCACTCGCTTGTGCGAGATATATTTACTAGTTGGTGAATTGTTGCTTGCACATTGAAGTAGATTTGGTTTAGCCCAAACAATTATGTTGCAAGAACAAGTTTTTCCATCACTTGTTATGTCACAAGAATATACACTAGCTACTTTTCTATTACCGGCTCTAAAATACGAGATTTGGAGGATGAGATGTCCCTCCAAAAGGAAAAAATTATAAGCGTGTTGGAGATTGAACACGAGACATCCCAATTGAAACCACACAACCCTTTACTACTGCACTAAGTGCATCCCTCTATTACTGGCTCTGTTGAAAGAAAGAAAATAAATCTATGTTTCGGAAAACATCGGCATGGTAAATATACAGGAGCTCCCTATACCAACATTGATAATGCTGTTCTCTCAACTGCAATGGTTGGGAACATTCTATTTGTCATGGTAGACTTTACTGTATTGTAATGGGCTTCATACAGGTAAGACAGACTTTTTAATCTTTTCAGCCTACATGGGCCGGCATGAAGAAAATGTGTTAAGGGGAAGCCGGCATGAAGAAAATGTGTTAAGGGGAAGCTCGATCAAGAAGAGGAATCATATCAACGGCCCAAATAAAGAACTTTCGGGAAGAAAGCAAAGTGATGATAAGAGAAGGTCTGATCATCCATCTTTTTTCTCCTTTTGAAAACTTCGAATTGCAAGAAAGCAACGAGGACGCGACGACTTTATTGGCCCCCGATTTGCTATTGATGGCAGCACGAATGCAAAGCACAGGCTAGTAGCACCAAGAACGACCAGAGAGATTACTGCCAAAAAAAAAGCGAGAGATTACATGCGAAAATTTTAAAACAATTTTAAAACAACTCCCATTAAAGCGTCAAACAAAATAGTAACAAATCAAAGCAGCAGCAGCAGCATCTATCCCTGCTGCCTAGTGCAGCATTTACACGTTACGATCATACGACGTCGTCGGTTCGATCGAGCTCGCGAGCTCTGAATCTCGCAGGCTCGAATCGGATGGCCGTCTACTCGACGCCCTCGGTGGATTTCTGGGCCATGACGACGCCGAGGGTGATGACGGAGGCGTAGATGGAGTTGGGCACCTTGCGCACCACCCTGCCGACGCCGGGCACGCCCTCCGTCGCCCTCTTGGTCGCCAGCGCCAGCGCCGGCGCCGCCACCAGCGTCACCAGCAGCTTGAAGCTGATCGCGCACAGCGACTCCGCCGTCAGCTTCCGGATGAACTCCGCGAACTCCTCCCGGTCCAGGAGCCCGTCCAGGTTGATGTCGTACTCCTGTTGCATCACTGTATCATCAGCCGTGACAAATCCTTGGGACAATCGGACAAAGGCTACCAACCTACCACTATCAGAATTAGAGTCCCAAAGAAACGAGGAACGCAACGAGGAAAAAAGTCTGATTTGATTGTACTCCTTTACCTCACTGAGCAGGAGAATTATGTTAGTACTACTTTTAGAGTGTAACCTTCGTCTTAAAATAAGTTCCAGAAATACAAATGAAAAAAAATATCAAATTATCATAATACTCTCATTTCTCAGATCCTAATGTAATTATTTCTTTTTATCTATACCTAATGTATTTATTCTCTAATTTTACAAACTTTGAGATAATTATTACTTAAATAAACTTATTTTAGAATAAATGGGAAAAAGTTAAAAATGAACTAATTCTAGTATATGCTATCTCCAACTTCAGAGTTTATAGACAAAGTGATTCCACTGTAAATAAGGTGAAATAGAATCATTCACACCTACCGAGAAACAGAGAGCAGAAACCGAGATTACTTTGCTTTTCGTACAAGGAAAAGCTGCAATATGGAAGAACGCCAAAGGGAACTACTCCTATCTAATTGACCAAACTGATTAAAAAAATTAAACGAATGGGATGTGAGGTACTAGTGGTTTACATTCATCATGGCCTTGAGCTTCTCCTTGGAGGGCGGATCATAGTGCGGCCCTGGTAAGTACTTGTTGATGTCGCTGCCACAACAGCCACCAAGAATCAATCAGGGAAAACAGATACGGATAACAAGAACTCATCAGGAATTTGGAATGGATTTGGTTGCTCCTACTTGTAGACGCAGAGGACGGCGATGTAGACCTCCTCGAAGGTGAGGGCCTCCTGCTCGCGCTTCTTGGTGTCCTCGGTGAGGCGGTCGAACACCTTGTCCGTGATCTTCCTCACCTGCTTCTCCTTCCATTGCCTCCCTGCACCAACCAATTCGATCCATATTTCATTCACCGCACAAACCCGCTACTTTCGGATCGAGCGATGCAGGACAGGAGGACGCGAGTCGATTGGTGATGGGAGGCAAGGTTTTACCTTGGAGTTTATCCTGGAGAGACGCCCAGGCTTGCCCCATGGCGACGTCGGCGGAGGAGACGCCGGAGTGGGATGAGATGGGGGTTTTGGAAGGGAAGAAGATAGGAGATGGAAGTATCTCCCTCTGTGGTTTGTGATTCTGATTTACTTTAGCCTAATCTAATCATGTGAACAATCTCTCTCTCTCTCTCTCTCTCTCTCTCTCTCTCTCTCTCTCTCTCTCTCTCTCCACCGTTGATTTTGGGGGTTTGTTGGAGGCCTATGCTAGGGGTACTCGTGAAGTGTACCCAGAGATATTCCTCTCCTCACAACACGGGTAGAAATGCAAAAAGTCGATCTATAATGATTTTTTTTAAAAAATAAATCTATAGTGATATTCATTTGTATGAAAAGCTAGTGATGCACACTAATTTCTTTTCCATCCTCTAGTTAGCTTTCTTCTTCTGATGGAACTTGCCATCCATATTTAAGTTATACACTTACACATATACTCGTATTTACATCGAATTATTGTTTCGGTAGTAGTTAATGTATTTTAAAAATAGTGACTTTGTTAATCTTAAGAATGTGTTGGAAGAATGTACGTGCATGCTTTTATATCAGTAAGTACATGCGCGTTTGCATAAGCATATGCATCGGGAACTTAATCTATATACACAAGTCTTCCCGTGTACATACCGTACATACCAACTTAAAAACATATCATAAAATATTCTATACAGAATTGTACAGGTACTTTTAGTAGTATTATATCTATGAGCAAAGTTTCATTTTCAAATTCATTGTATATAGGGAGCAACAAAATAGATAAAATTCAGGGAATTTATATTCTTAAATTGTCAAAAAAAATTATACTTTTTAAGACTAAAATATAATGAATTTGATGTTAAGATTTTATACATAAGTATAATTGACGGAGCTGGTGGCTCCTCACCGGGAGACCGCACAGGCCCCCCTTTGCCGGTTCGGCCGGGGGCTCAGGGTGAAATCCCCAGCTCTCTCTGTATGTAAAAAGATCGCGACCTATCGAAAGAGCAAGAGACACAGGCGATGTATACAGGTTCGGGCCGCTGGGAAGCGTAATACCCTACTCCTGTGTTTTGGTGGATCTGTGTATGAACAAGTTACAAAGTATGAACCAACCCCCAATCGTTCTGGGATCGGATCCCCCCCTCCAAAAAATCCTCCTCTCTAAGTGGGCAAGGTCCTCCTTTTATATCTCAAGGGGATACCACATGCCCCTCTCTCCTTCCAAACTGGACTTTTCCTCTCTTCATAAATGGACGGAAATCGGTATGGTTGCTGTCCTAGTGCGCCAGATGACGGGACGGCCCATACCTACCCCCTCTTCCGCCGGAAGCAGGTGCGACGTGGGATTATGGCTGTCCGTTGCTGACGCGACCAGTGTCAGACCGGTCACAGATCGGTCATTCTTGTCCTCCACGCGTCAGTTTAGCAATCTGCATGTTCGTCCTTCTTCATGTAACATCTTGCCTGTAATGGTTGGGATGAAGCCTGGTATATATCTGACCGGGGCTAACGTGCCATCTCTAAGAGGCAACACGCTAGCTCCGGTTAGAGACGAGTGCCTAGAGGCTCTCGTCTTGACGGGATGGGGCGAGGTGTGCGTCAGACCGCCAATCGCCACCTAACCCGTGATCTGACCGGTCTGTGACCGGTCACAGACCGGATAAAGGAACGCGCTGCACTGCGCTGCATGCAGCGTGACACGCTTGACCAGACCTCAATAAACGCGGTTAGGTGAGCCCTGCCGTGTTCACCTAACCCATACATGTGACGAAAAAACCCACAAGGGGCCGGGGCGCCTCGGCCCTCGGGGCCGGGGCAGGAGTAACCCGACCCCCCTCGGGGAAATCAGGAGGAGGGCGGACACCTCACCCTCGGGCCCGACGTCCCCGAAGGTGCCAGGCCACGTGGGCGATTGTGTCTGCCTCAAGCCTCTGGTCACGATACTCCCGGTCCCATATCACCGACAATAATATTATTGGAAGTACTTATACCTTTTTTTTAGATTTTTAAGGTGAAATTTGTTATTTGGTGTACATAGTTACCTTGGAGTTTATCCTGGAGAGATATGTTCCCACAAAATATATGCAAAACATATACTACTATTGTAAACATATTACTTAGCGGTCCTCCAAGCATGCAAGTCCGACCCAGTTGCATCCTTAAAAAGTAGCGTAGGATAGGCAGATCATGGTGTATGCTGTTCCTTCTTGTTGTGGCATCAGACCAATTTTTTTCTCTCTCGTCAGCCGTGAGTGAATTTCTTGTGTATCATGCAACGAAATATCCTGAGAGCCCAAAGAAAGTTTTTAGTAGAGTTAAGTTATTGATCGCCAGTTGCCTTGGTAACGCTACTGATTCAATTTTCTCGCTATAATGCCAGCATTTCAATTGCAGATCAGGCCTGCGAAACTACTCTCTTGCGTTACTTTACAAATAGTTCCTTCTGATTTAGCATTTTTCATGCCTGAAATTCAAAGGCCTCTCTAACTTGATAATACACTGTCATATGTACTACATCAGTTAACGTGAGTATTATAGAGCGTTAACTGATGCAAGTCTGCAACCCAAATGATGGATTAAGCTGGTGTGTGTTTTTACTCAGTCACTGCTTGCCCGCCCGGATGTCCTGCAGGAACATGAGGCCGACGGAGAAGACGGTGAAGAGCAGCGGCGTGGGCACCTTCTCCACGGCGGGCCCGACCCTCGGCACCTGCCTGCCGGCGCTCTTGGTCGTGACGGCGAGCAGCGGCGCCGCCATGATCGCCACCGCCGCCTTGTTCGCCAGGACGAGCCGCAGGTCCTTGCGGACCCACTCCATGATCAGCCTCCGGAACTCTTCCAGTGTTATCCCCTCGGGAGTTTCCTTCTTGTATTGCTACAACGTGTTGCAGAGCCAAAACGAAAAGTTATATAAGCCGTAACATTTATTAGTGATAAAAAAATCTGTATATATAATTTTTATATGTATATTCTTAGCGACTTAAAAATCAAATGATGAAAAAACAGTAAAATCAAATTAAGTTCTAAAATTCAAATTATGGTTACGTAGCAAGCTAGAGAGCAAATAATGTAGCTGAAAAGATGTCACCGTTACAACATTATTTAAACAGCAAGAAATTGAGGTTGCTGGTACTTTGAACATTGAGGAGCCTCTTCCATTTTTCTTTTCAGAAAAGAGGAGGTAAAGTAAGTTCGATCCGTACCTCCATCTGCTTGGCGACAACATTCATGCATGGAGGATCCTTATGTGGACCAGCTAACTGCTTGTTAATCGAGCTGTAAGAAATTTTCGACGAAAATGGAGAACAATTAGAGAACATTTCAGGAATGACAGAGTGATCGATACCTACGAGTGATTTGATCGATCTCACTTGTAAACCATGAGGGTGGCAACATGGAGGGAGCTGATGTCCAGGAGCTGCGTGTTCTTGTCGGACAGCTCGGTGAACACCTTGTCGCAAATCCTCACCACATACAGCTTGCCTATAATCAAAGACAAGTAGGTAACACGAAACAAAACATTAACATTTGTTACTAGTTGTAACCACTGCATGCATGGACAAGAAGAAAAAGAAGAACGAGATCGATTACCTTGTGCTCTGTCCCACATACGGCAGAAGAACTGAGCCATCATCCTCCTCTCTTCGTCGGAGATGAACTCAAGAACTCGTAAAGTGGAGTCTACATCTAGGATGGCATATTTATGCGAGGAAATCTGTTTTTGGTTCTGGATAGATGCCCCAGAGTCGCTTGCAGGGAAGGCACTTCTTTCCTTGCCCCTACAGCAATCTGAAAAGGGAAAAAAAGAAGTAAGAAAAGTCTTCGTTGTGTGGGCCTCCGGATTGGCGGCCCAAGTGGCCCAGTGTCCACTCTACTCGTGTCGGATTAGCAAAAACTGACACATCAATTTACAGCCGTAATGATGAATAGACGCCAGTTAACTGCCTGGCAACCGCTCATCAGGGGACAAATCCTCATTCATCACACCATAAATCACTATTTAACCATCTACTGCATCTCATTATCGCATTCGCTCAATCCTAGTTCCAAGTCACAACTCATTTCTGTTTCCACTTTCCAAACGCCGCCAGTTGCTCCGCCGAGGCAAGCGCCCAGAGCACGAACCGGCGATGATGCCGCTGAAGAAGAAGATGGATCCATCGGCGTCGAATTCGATCTCCGGTATGTTCCTTTTTATGGCACATTTTCCAATTTTCCTTATTGATTCAATTGTGGAAAACAGCATCTTTTCTTCATGGCAATCTGATAATCTGAGGATGACTGTAACCTCTATCATCTCTTCTTCAGCACCTCCCTCTGAAGAAATGGGAGAGCCAGAGAAAATGGATGAGATGGAGCAAGTTTCGTCTGATCTAAAGTCGTTGAAGACGCTATATGGGCTGCTTCACAGGGGTCCGACGGATGAAACTGTGAGTTTTTCTAAGAACCAGACTGAACATGTCGTATTATTATCTATCTTAATCTTAATCTTAACTCTTAACTAATTAAAAGATTAGTATTTTTCCTTTCATCACAATCCGTTTCTTCCGTCCGTTCGTCCGTCCGCGCGATTTTTCTTCGCCCAAGCGTTCGTCCGTCCGCGCGATTTGAGATTAAAATCGAAACCGATACAAAATCCAATCGGATAATCCTACTTAGAGAACCCAAATAGAAGGGGAAAAAAGGAAAAAAGAAAATTTTACGCTTCACAGAGAATGAAACAAAAAAAGGGGCGAAAATTCCTAACCTCCCCACAGCCGGTTGTCGCAGACACCACGCGGGAGTCCGCCGCCGCCGCCGGCCGTCGCTGACGCGCGCGGGAAGATCTACCGCCGCCGCAGGCACCCGCCGACGCGCGCGGGAGTCCACCGCCGTCGCCGACGAGCGCGGGAGTCCATCGCCGCCGCCGGCCGTCGCCGACGCACGCGGGAATATCTACTGCCGCCGCCGACGCGAGCGGGCAGTACTCTGCCGCCGCCGGCCGTAGCCGATGCCGCTGAGGGGAGACAACGGGGGAGGGGCGCCGAGGCAAGGCCACTCGACGGCGGCGCACTCCCCCTCGGGCGAGTGCGCGCACCGGCAAGGGGGCATGCGCCGGCGCCGCCGATGAGCGCCACAGCTCCGCCGTGAGAGAGGGAAGGGAGGAGAAAACCTATGCAATGTTCGGCTAATTGGAAATGAAAATGATTTCCCACCCAACAAAAGACATCTTTAAATCCTAACCATTCATTCTCCCTCTTTCATTTAATCCTAACTCTTCATTCATTTCCCAATCCCAATCACAATCCCCATTTCCCATTATCCAAACACCCCTAGGGTTTTCGTCAGCGGCCGGGGTGGGGGGGGGGGGGGGTTGTCCCTCCGATCTCAATGTCCGGCCGTCCGATCGAAGCCCTAGAGATCAGACGACCGGTGTTGGCTGGGCCGAATTCGGCCCAAGAGGGTGGCGCGCGGCACCCACTTTCCCGGCCCAGGCCCAAGTTGAGGCGTGGGAAAGGGGGAGGTGGTGCGCCCGCGCGCACTTAGAGGCTGTGGGCCGGCCGAAGGAAGTCCAGTTTAGATCCCTCGGGGGGGGCCGAAGAAAATAAGTTTATTTCTAACAAAATGTCCGTGCTTCGCTACGGTGTATCAAAACTAAAAATATTTGTTTTTAACCAAGTTATTTTCACACTGTTTTGTTACTTTTGCTATCGGAGAGAGGGTGTCGTCGTTGCCGCCGTCGCAGGGACGCCGGTCCGCCGCTGGCTCCCCTCCCGCTGGATCCGGCGGAGGGGAGGCCGTGCCGCCATCGCCTCCCTCCCCTCCCGCTAGGTCGCCGCCCCCTCCCCTCCCACTAGATCTGGCAGAGGGGAGGGCACCGCCGCCGCTGGGCGGCCAGGCCGCCACCGCCTCCCCTCCTCTCCCACTAGATCCGGTGGAGGGGAGGGCATCGCCCCTACATGCCACCTCCCGCCGCTGGTCGTTGCTGACAGGCAGGGGTAGTCCACCGCCGCCGCCGTCTCCGACGCCATGCGGAAGACGAGGTCACGAGGGGGAGACGATGGGGAGGGGCGCCGGGGCAAGGCCACTTGACGGCGCCACACTCACCCACGGACGAGTATGCACACCGGCGAGAGGGCATGCGTCGGCGTCGTCGGTTTCCGCTTTTCCAGCGATGTGGCGAGGGGGTGAGGAGGCTAGGGTCCCGATCGTCCGATCGAAACCCTAAGATCGGACGGCCGGCATTGGCTGGACTGAATCCAACCCAAGTGGAGGCGCGCGTGGGGCTGCTTCCCCGGCCCAGGCCCAGGTTGCAGCCTGGGGAGGTGGGAAGCGCTCGCACGTGTACATAAAAGGCCGTGGGCCGACCGGCTAGGCCGGGAAAAAGTTTGTTCTAGGTCCCTCAGCAACACTTTTTTGGTACTGTACACACTCCGTAATCATCAGGTGCAACGTAAGGGCACTTTTCCTTGTTATATTATTAAAGGAATAGAAAAAGGAGCCTCCGCGTTCACTCTCATGGCCTAGAAATTCTCACATTAATCGGAGAAAAGGAAAAAAGCAGAGCCCATATAGAAATACAATTTAGAAATAGTTAAAATTCGGAATTAAAAAAATAAGGAATATTAGAAGAGGAGACTAGAGTCCATATAGAAATACAATTTAGAAATAGTTGAAATTCAGAATTAAAAAATAAGGAATATTAGAAGAGGAGACTAGAGTCCATATAGAAATACAATTAGGAAAAAACTGAAATTTGGAATTAAAAAATAAGGAATATTAGAAGTAGAGTATAGAGTCCGTATAGAAATACAATTAGGAAATAATAGAAATTCAGAATTAAAAATAAGGAATATTAGAAGTAGAGTATAGAGTCCATATAGAAACATAATTAAGAAAAAAAATAGAAATCCAGAATTAGAAAATAAGGAATATTAGAAGTAGAGTATAGAGTCCATATAGGAATTTAAAACTAACTAAAATTCGGAATAAACATAATAAAATTAAAAGTAGAGTTTAGAGTCCGTATAAAGACACAATTTACAAATAACTAAAATTCAAAATTAATAAAAACATGGGAAGAAGAGTTTAAAGTCAATATAGGAATACAATTTAGAAGTAACTGAAATTTGAAATTAAAAATTAAAGAATATTGAAAGATGAATTTAGAGTCCATATAGAAATACAATTAGAAATAATAAAAATTCAGAATTAAAAAAAAAGAAATATTAAAAGACGATACTAGAGTCCATATAGGAATATATATAATTTACAAATAACTAAAATTTGATATTAAAAATAATTAATAACTAACACGTATATAAAATACAATATGAATATTACACATTAGTAGTTTCGTAAAGTTATTGCAAAATTTAAAATTATGTTGTCATTGTAATATATTTTAATAATACTAGAAAAAATGCCAGTGCGTTGCGACGGGTAAAGTCTATTTTAATCTTATTATTGTTATATGCTTTAGTTAAGATGAAATTCACTGTGGGAGTTTGCTTGCATATATAATTTTTTTAGAAAATCATGAGATGCAGTTAGGAGTTCGATCGTTTCAAGTTAGCATGTAAGTTTTTTTAAATAGATTTCTTATATGATTCCTTCTATATTACCAAAAGTGAACGATCTTAAAAACCGACTCAAATACAGATATGTATTTCCAAAAGCAAAGGAACTTAAAAACCGACTCATGCATAGATGACGTACCAAAATACTAGCAAAAACACGGATGACCGACCGCGGAAACATCTTCAATTTTTATAACCGACTCAAACACGGATGATCGACCACGGAAACATCTATAATTTTTATAATATTAGAGAAGAGATATAGATTAAAATCAAATCATAAAATTAAAACCGACTTAAACACGGATGACGGACCGTGGAAACGTTTTCATTTTTTATAATAGTAGAGATAATGAGAAAACATATATGCTATTATATGAGAGAAAATATAATGATGCTAACCGCGCAATATGCGCGGGCCACCATGCTAGTTTTTCTGAAGTGAACAAGAATAGGAGAAAGCATAAATATGTTTCCATTTTTCTAAACCGTTTTGGTCAGGCGTTTCTGAATAGCAGAGCAGGGATTTATTTTTCAGTACCTGCTAGATGCTCGTGTTTAGTGCATATTCTTATTCTCCTTGGGGAAAATCTGAAGAAAGAAAATGCACGTTTAGAGTTGCTAGTATCAATTCATGCTCATATTATCTCGACGTTTTACAGTTGGATGAAACATCAAGAGCCTTCATGACGAAGATGTTAGATGACATTACTCGTCAGACACTCCTCAGGCAGGCAAAGGTGATACATTTTCGGACCATCTGGTCATATTTCATTTAGACATTGTTTGCAAGATTGCATCACTCCACCTTCATCTCCGTTTTAAATTTTCCCGGCAAATGCTGATCCAAAAGAAACACCGCACGTTTGCAGATGCTGTCTCCTGTGCTGGAGAGGAAGCTATCTATCCAGTCCGATCATCGCCGGACGCGCGACGACGCCGTGCCGGTGCCGGTGCCGGTGCCGGTCGTGAAGCCGATAGCCTCGTTCAGCCCCAGCCTCCATGCCAGTGAGAAATCAAGCCGGCTGAGGACGCAAGGCGCGACGAGAAGGCGAGACGGTCGCCATGGCCAGGACAACTACCGTCTCCTTGCTCGCGTCGCCTCGAACCGCTCGGCAAGAACCACAGTGCCGCCGCCGGCGCCGCGCCACCGTCAGAGTCCGGAGCGACGCCTTGACCGCCTCGCCTCGCGCCGTTCGTCCAGAGCCGTGACGCCGCGGCGCGGCACGGTGGACGGTGGGAATCCGCTCTCCGACATGAGGTGTCCGCGCCGTGGCGACGACTCGTCGATGGAGCGCGGCGGCGGCAGCAGCAGCAGCAGCCGCTCCCTCTCCCGCGAACCGTCGTCAGCTGTGCAGGAGCGGGGACGGGGGCTGCATCGCGGCGCCTCGCCGGCGGCGGCACCGCGCGTGGGAGCGGAGGGCGGCTCCTCGACGCGCCGTCTCGGGAGGCTGGACTCCGGATTGTCCGTAAACTTGGTGCCGCCGCCACTGGCGCGGCGACATGGCTCTCAGCGAGGCGGACGCGGCGCGGCAACAACGACGAAGCTGTCCTCGTCGACGGACGTGGCTGCCACGATACGCAGCAGCATCAGGCCGAGCTCCCGAGAATTCATGGAGCGCTCCCCGCGTCGAGCTGGTGAAGCTGAAAACGATAGGAAGGAAGGTGCCGATGCTGCCAGCGTCAGCAAGGGCCGGCCAAGCCGTGGCGAACTCTCATCGATGGAGCGCGGAAGCAGCAGTGGCCGATCACTCTCCCGCGAACCGTCGTCAGCTGTGCAGGAGCGTGGACGGGGGCTGCATCGCGGCGCCTCGCCGCCGGCCGCAGTGCGCGTGGGAGCGGAGGGCTCCTCGACGCGCCGCCTCGAGAGGCTGGACTCCGGGTTGTCTGCGAGCATGGTGTCGCGCCGTGGCACTCCGCGAGCCGGACGCGGCGCGTCAACGCCGAAGCTATCCTCGTCGACCGACGCGGCTGCCATGACACGCAGCCGCATCAGGCCGAACCGTGACCTCACGGAGCGCTCGCTACGCCGAGCTGGTGAAGCTGATGAAGACGAGAGCCTGCGGCGGTGCCGGGGGAAGGGGAAGGGGAAGGAGAAGGGCGATGATGATGCTGCCAGCGTCAGCATGGGCCGGCCAAGCCGGCCGCCGCGGCGAGCTCTGAACCGGATCAACTCCAGTAGCACGTACAGTAGCAGCAGCTGCCCACCAGAGCCGACTTCGAGCACTTCAGGTTCCACTTCGTCGTGGGTGCCACCGCGAGACAATGCATCGTCGTGGGCGCCACCGCCACCGCGAGGCAATCCGCCGTCTTGGGTGCCACTGCCACCGCCACCGGGGGGCAATGCGCCGTCGTGGGTGCCACCGCCACCGCAACCGCGGGGCATTGCGCCGCCGGAGTACGGGTTTCAAGTGTCAGGCGCGTCGAGGGTCAGTCGCCACCTTCGCCGGCAGGAGCGCCTGGAGAGGAGAGTGGAGCGGATGAGGAGGTTCAAGGAGAAGCTCGGCACGGTGTTCCACCACCACCACTTCGGTCCCTCGGGCAGCAACGAGGGGGCGCCCCCGCTGTTCAGCCGTGACGTCCACGACAACGGTTATCACCGCCCGTCGCCGTGGAAGGTTCTCGGCGGTGTCCTCCACCGCACGACACGCCGTGGGGAGAAGAACAACGAGGGGGCGCCCCCGCTGTTCAGCCGTGACGTCCACGGCAACGGACATCACCGCCCGTCGCCGTGGAAGGCTCTCGGCGGTGTCCTCCATCGTGCGACACGCCGTGGGGAGAAGAAGACCAGGAGCGTGCCGGCAGATCATCGTGGCGGCGTCGGCGGCGGCGGTGGCGTCGGGCACGCGCTGTTACACATGTGGAACAAACGGCGGGCGATGGCGAAGCAACGTGGCGGCGTCGGGCGCGCGCTGTTCCAAATGTGGGGCAAGCGGCGGGCGGCGGCGAAGCAGCGTGGCGGCGGCGTCAGGCGCGCGCTTTTCCAAATGTGGGTCCAACGGCGGGCGACGACGGCGAAGCGGCGTGGTGGCGGCGGCGTCGCGCACGCGCTGTTCCACATGTGGGGGAAACGGCGGGCTACCGCAAGCGCTGGGATGTGCGGTACGGGAAGCCGGTGGAAGGCCAAGAAGTTGCACTGGTGGCAGCGGGTGAGGCCGCGGCACCGTTCTGGACATGGAAAGGCATTTCGGTAACTGGTAGCAGCTTATCTGTGTCTCTATTACTACTAGTAGCTTCTTTGTGTGGAGATGTGGCTATACTATTTTGAAACAAATTTTGAATTGTAGAAGTTGCTATAATTTAAGACGAATGGAGTAGCTTATTTGTAATTTGTTTCACAGCTTATTGCTCTAAGTAACAATGCATTATCTTTTCATTAGAAGCAAATATTCCTCTCTCAATAGAGGGTGCAAAGTTAGTCCATTCTCATCGTGTGGAACCTAAAAGAAATTCATTATCATCACTAGACGAAGGGGTACAGCATAATCATCAAAGCTAACCATCCTAGTATGGAAATTTCAGCTGCCGCATAAATAAGAAAAAAAAATTGCCGATAGTAAAGGCAAAATTTAAAGACAAGGGAGATTTTGAGAATAAACAAAAAGAATCTCCCATTATTTTATTCAAATGATACATGAAAGGATAATATTTACCAGACAGGAACCGAGGTTTTCAAAGTACGAAACATGGCTGCTGATGAACAGAAGCAGTTTATTCCGTTATTCGGAACACGGAATTACAGCTAGAAGAGACGAAGTTATTCTTACCACCCTCTCAAAAAATAAACAGTACAAGTTTGCCATCAGATGTATGGCAAATCGCCTAGCAGCAAGCCATCAACCCTTAGTTCTTCACAGTGGTGACATGCCTCAGAAGCATCTGAATCACTTCAGGGGAGATACTTGCAGCCTGCTGCTTGAGTTGTGCGATTTTTTCCGCTGTCTCCTGCTCAAGACGCTTGACATTTGCACCAGAGTCACCGCTACTCTGGAAATAACAAATAGGACCATTAGATGAATATGGGAATTGGGAATGTATCCTATACACACAAGCCTTCTACACAAATATGTTCCCGATGAACATACCTCTGCAACCTTCCTCTGAAATTCAGCCTCCATCTGGGCACGGTATTCAGCTATTTCCCTCTCAGCCTCCTCTTTTGCTTGCCTAAGCCTTGCCGATTTTGCTGCCAAACAAATAAAAAATCTCTTACATCGCAGGTTATATTGAAAGGGAGAAAGTTTACTCTTTTTTTTTAGATCAAGATAGTATCAAAAATCTATAGAAGCTCAAGGTCATATTTCTATGGTTTTATATCCAATTTTTGCTATGGGATAAAACATGTTTTGCTAACTAAAAAAAAAAGCACTTTCACCCTTATCATTTTGTGGCTAAGCCTGATATCTGCAATTTCATACGATATTCAAAATTAATATTCAAGTGCAAAGAGTTCAGAGTAGATTAAGATTCTTCCTACTAAAATTGATGTGTATATGAAAAAAAATTATCATTGCATTCAATAGAGCAGACATGTTCACCTAGTACATCTACATACTACTCTCTCTCTAATGTTATGCTTATTCATAACATTTACGGAGAGGGACAGAGAGTTACCAGCCCTAGCAGCATTTACTATTTGCTGAGCCTCTTGCTCTGCAGCCAACAATTGCTGGATTCCACTTTGGCGTCTGTTTGCGTCCATCTTTGTGCTGCTGAAGGAAGAATCAGAATCAATTAAAAAGAACTCAGAAAAAAAGAACTTGATCAGAAGGCCAGGTAAAACCATCAAAAGTCCAAAAATATATGGCACATCTCAATACTAACAGTAAACAAACAGGAAGCAAATATGATCATACTACATTCAACAAGAAAGATCTGATGCTACTGTTGTTTACAACACAAAAATATAATGGTCCACACATAAAGCTGGAAATCTACCATGGACCTAACCTTTGTTCATATATATTCTGTTTCAACCTGCTGAACTACAACAGTAATAGCGCGTATTGCCTGTTCCTCAGTTCTAATTACTTTGGATTAATGAATTAACTATGGACTCTCGTGTATAGTATGAATAGACCTACCCAGCTATCTTATAAAAAACAATAATATCATGTAAAGATCCACCAACAGAAGTTAGCAGGGGCGATCACAAGCTGGGGCATAGAGGTCAAGTTAAACCCCAAAATACAAACTGCTATTAGCACCCTACTGCACATTAAAAAAATGTACAACAAGCTGGATAGATCATACTATTACACGCATAGAGATAAAGATTTGGATTATATCAACCAGGGGCGGAACTAACGTGGGGAATTGCTACCGATCTTTTCTTGGAATCAAATTGCTATAAGTACTAAGGTTAAGGTTAAGGGAAAGAGAAAAGCTTCCAGATCTAGAAGACAAGCTGAAGGCTAAGGCGAAGAGATAAGGCGTCGGTGGAGAAGAGAATGAGAATGTCAGTACGGGTGCTCACCGGCGAGGATGCGGTGGAAGCAGAAAGACGCCGGCGCCGCTGCTAGCCGGAGGCGGCGGGCGAACTCTCTACGATGAGGAAATCGAGGCCGATGGAACAGCCAGATCGACTAGGGAACAAGGAATCGGAGGCCAATTAAGCTATGGCCGGGAACGGTGAAATCGACCAGGGAGCAAGGATCGAGCAAGATCCAGCAACAGAGGCTAGCGAATCAACAAATTTACTCAATCTGCCTACTATCACCCAATCGGATCAAACGAGCAGGATCAAAATCGAGAAAACGTATTAGGGTCAGCACCGAACGCAGTCGATTCCTACCAGATCCGGTCAAATTGATAGCAACACGAACACAAATCGAGAGAGAGAGATCGCGGGGAGAGGGATCGAGTTCACCATACCTGCGAGAGAGAAGACTCGAATCGAACCCGGGGGAAGCGACGAGATTTCGATGGGGAAAATCTATCTTCCTTCGTGCTGCTCGCCCATGGGTTCCAAGCTTATTTATTCATGACGATGATTAATTAATCCCGTTTCGTCATATCGTTGGCGGGCCGTAATGGGAAGCCCAAGTGTAATCGGATTAGGAAGCCCGCTAGTATCAAAGCCCAAGCCCAACACGACAGCAAATATCTCTCTCATCTCATCTCTTCTCCAAACCCAATCAAAACCCCATCCGATTCCTCTCCATTTCACCACCACCACCACCACCACCTCCGCCTCCTCTCCTCCCCTTCTCTTCGCCGGCAGCCATGGCCACCGCCGCAGCAGCAGCGCGCGCCGTCGCGGCCGCCGGGCGCCCGGCGCAGGGGGTTCCGTTGTCGCGGCGCCTCACGACGGCGTCGTCCTCCTCCGCTCGCCCGCTGCGGCCTCGCGGCGGCCGCGCTGCCGGGTCCGTCCGCTGCATGGCGCGGCGGCCGGAGTCGTCGTACTCGCCGCTGCGGTCGGGGCAGGGAGGGGACCGCGCGCCCACGGAGATGGCGCCGCTCTTCCCCGGGTGCGACTACGAGCACTGGCTCATCGTCATGGACAAGCCCGGCGGCGAGGGCGCCACCAAGCAGCAGATGATCGACTGCTACATCCAGACCCTCGCCAAGGTCGTGGGAAGGTAATTGCAACACCGTGTAACTCAATTGAACCACCCAATGCATTTGTGCATCATAGAACGATGCTAATTTTGGATGACTGGTGGGTGGTGGCATGTAGTGAGGAGGAGGCGAAGAAGAAGATATACAACGTGTCATGCGAACGGTACTTTGGGTTCGGTTGCGAGATTGACGAGGAAACATCCAACAAGCTGGAAGGTACACCGTGATGAAGCTTTATATATTTCCATACTTAAGAGCCTTGGTATACTTTGTGATATGCCTCATGGATATAAATGGGTGCCAATTTAGGTTTCGATTCATGTACCGACTTTGTTTACGTATTCATATTGATGGATGGCTAGTTTATTAACACTTCTAAGTCATGAATTTGCAAGTATATTGTTGACTTTGAACTTTCATTTACCCGAGTCAGAAAGATTTACATGAGCACTGAGGATTTAGTACATTGAATTTTCATGTACCTGAAGCCTTGTGGGGAATAGGTGATTGAAGGCTTACGTGGTTAACTAGTTATGTTTGTTGTATGCTCTGTAGAGAGTCTGTACAGTGTTAAAATGTTGCAACCAGTGGTCCTTTGGTAATGGCTTCATGTACCGTACTTTACTAAAACTCTTATGTATTGTGGTACATGTGAGTTTATCTTTGTTGGCATCAGGGAAATGATGTGTTGATATCTAGGAACAGTATAGTGCTCTGTTTTAAGCATTTGCATATATATACATAATACATTTGTTGAACGCTAAAAAAATCAATAACTCGTCTAAAGATAATTAACCCCTTACAGCTGACCTTTGGTGTTCTGTAGTCATAGGCATTTGCATATGTGCATGAGTGCATATGTTGAATGCCCGTAACTACTCTAAATAGATCATTTGTTGTTGAATATTGCTGTGATGATTTGTAAGTGTGGAGTATGTTTGCATTTGACAGGGCTACCAGGTGTTCTATTTGTGCTTCCTGATTCCTATGTTGATGCCGAGAACAAGGACTATGGCGGTAAGCTTTTTGTTACCTGCCTCTCTATATCCTTTTTTTCTTGTGTAAAATGCAGTTAATTTTACGCTAGCTGTCTTGTTAATGTATATGCTCAATGGAAAGCTGGTTTTTACTATCTCTGTTTCAGGTTATAAGACTTTCTATCATTACCCACATTTATATAGATATTAATGAATCTAGGCACACATATGTCTAGAACTCTAGATTCATTAACATATATATGAATGTGGACAATGCTAGAAAGTTTTATAATATGAAACGGAGGAAGTATTATCTTGGTCTTGTCTTCTTTTGGTTCCAGGTTGATTGCACCCAGAATCCATTAGTCTTTGACTCTTTGTGCTTACTTGTACAACCATAGTTGATCTATCCAGACCTGAAATATACACTGACATTCTGCACAGTTGATTGTCTTCAAGAATTATTCCTCCAATATGCACAACTTTGTCTGGGTTCTCATGTCATTGTCGTTCTTTGCAGCTGAGTTGTTTGTAAACGGAGAAATTGTTCAAAGATCACCAGAAAGGCAGAGAAGGGTGGAGCCAGTTCCTCAGAGAGCACAAGATAGACCCCGGTACAGTGACCGAACTCGCTATGTGAAGCGGAGGGAGAATCAGGCGTACCAGCGGTGAAGGCTCACCTTACCTGCAACTGGCTAGATGCATCGACTCCTGCGTTTAGAACAGCAGCTCCTGCACGAGAAATGCCTTAGATTTTTTGTATGCTGCTGCTGTGTAATCTGGTAATGTTTTATGCATCTGGGCATGTATGTTTTGTCTACTTCAATCGACTAATCTATTGAACTATGGCATATGAATTTGAAGCCCCACTTTTTGGCCATTTTTAGCATAGCTCCAGATTTCAGGTTCACGCTGGATTTAACGTTTGTATGTTAAATTACAGTGTTTTAAAATTTTATATTTCATTTAAATAAAAATAAAATGATTTATTCAAATGTTATCAACATAATCACATATTTAGATCCATGAATTTATGGAGCTATAAATACTTAACTCTAAGAAACTCTTAGATCCAGAATTATGTTAAACAAGGCATTTATCTCATTTTAGAAACTTGGCATACTTCTTTCGTTACAAAATAAGTTAATCCAGTATTGGATGCGGCATAATTCTTTCGTTCCAAAATAAATTAATTTAGTATTAGATGTGACATACTTCCTTCGTTCCAGAATAAGTTAATCAGTATTAGATGTGACATATCCTAATACTTGAATTTGGACATGTATCTATCTAAATTAGTGGTAATATGGGTGTATATTCGTTGCTACTAGATTAACTTAACTTATTTTTGAACGGATCTAAATTAGTGGTAATAGGGGTGTATATTCATTACTACTAGATTAACTTATTTTTGAACTGACGAAGTAGTAAAGATTAAAGAAAGTTTCAGTTTCTTGTTGCGTGACCCATGTTGCCAATGCCAACGGCGACGAGAATCGCCTATCGTGCAAATGCAATCTGGGACGCCATGTCAATTTCGCGTTCTCTGGCCCTGTATCAACGTGGAACGGTGGGAAGCAATCGGCGGACGGCCACGGTGGCCATCGCTCGTGAATCGTCGTGATATGCCGCGAGCGCAACGTGTGGTGGAGGCGGGAAACACCAACGCACGCGATTCGCCGCGTACGCCAGCCGCCCCCGCCTGCCGAGGACGCCAGTTAACTGCCTGGCACCCGCTCATCAGGGGACAAATCCTCATTCAATTCACACCATAAATCACTATTTAACCATCTATTGCATCTCATTCTCTCATTCGCTCAATCCTAGTTCCAAGTTACAAACTCATTTCTGTTTCCGCCGAGGCGAGCGCCCAGAGCACGAATCGGCGATGATGCCGCTGAAGAAGAAGATGGATCCATCGGCGTCGAATTCGATCTCCTGTATGATACTTTCTATGGCACAGTTTCCCCTTTTCGTTCTTGGTTCAATTGTGGAAAACGGCATCTTTTCTTTCATGGCAATCTGATTATCTAAGGATGAGTATAACCTCTAATCCTCTATCATCTCTTCTTCAGCATCTCCCTCGGATAAAATGGGAGAGCCAGAGGAAATGGATGAGGTGGAGCAAGTTTCGTCTGATCTAAAGTCATTGAAGACTCTATATGGGCTGCTTCACAGGGGTCCGACGGATGAAACTGTGAGTTTTTCTAAGAACCAGATTGAACATGTCGTATTATTATTTTTCTGAAGTGAACAAGAATAGGAGAAAGCATAAATCTGTTTCCATTTTTCTAAACCGCTTTGGTCAGGCGTTTCTGAATAGCAGAGCAGCGATTTATTTTTCAGTATCTGCTAGATGCTCGTGTTTAGTTCATATTCTCCTTGGGGAAATTCGGAAGAAAGAAAATGCATGTGTCGAGTTGCTACTATCACTTCATGCTCATATTATCTCGACGTTTTACAGTTGGATGAAACATCAAGAGCCTTCATGACGAAGATGTTAGATGACATTACTCGTCAGACACTCCTCAGGCAGGCAAAGGTGATACATTTTCGGACCATTTGGTAATTTCATTCAGACATTGTTTGCAAGATTGCACCACTCCACCTTCATCTCGGTTTTAAATTTTCCCGGCAAATGTTGATCCAAAAGAAACATCGCACGTTTGCAGATGCTGTCTCCTGCGCTGGAGAGGAAGCTATCAATCCAGTCCGATCATCGCCGCGACGCGCGGCGACGCCGTGCCGGTGCCGGTGCCGGTCGTGAAGCCGATAGCCTCGTTCAGCCCCAGCCTCCATGCCTGTGAGAGAACAAGCCGGTTGAGGACACAAGGCGCGGTGAGAAGACGAGACAGTCGCCATGGCCGTCTCCTTGCTCGCGTCGCCTCGAACCGCGCGGCAAGAACTGCAGTGCCGCCGCCGGCGCCGAGCCACCGTCAGAGTCTGGAGCGACGCCTTGACCACCTCGCCTCGCACCGTTCGTCCAGAGCCGTGACGCCGCGGCGCGGCACGGTGGCTGCTGGGAATCCGCGCTCCGACATGAGGTGGCTGCGCCGTGGCGATCACTCGTCAATGGAGCGCGGCGGCGGCAGCAGCAGCAGCAGGCGCCGCTCCCTCTCCCGCGAACCGTCGTCAGCTGTGCAGGAGCGGGGACGGGGGCTGCATCGCGGCGCCTCGCCGCCGGCGGCACCGCGCGTGGGAGCGGAGGACGGCTCCTCGACGCGCCGTCTCGGGAGGATGGACTCCGGGTTGTCTGTGAACTTGGTGCCGCCGCCACTGGCGCCGCGACATGGCTGTCAGCGAGGCGGACGCGGCGCGGCAGCAACGACGAAGCTGTCCTCATCGACGGACGCGGCTGTCACGATACGCAGCAGCATCAGGCCGAGCTCCCGGGAATTCATGGAGCGGTCCCCCCGTCGAGCTGGTGAAGCTGAAAACGATAGGAAGGAAGTTGCCGATGCTGCCCGGCCAAGCCGTGGTGAACTCTCGTCGATGGAGCGCGGAAGCAGCAGTCGCCGATCACTCTCCCGCGAACCGTCGTCAGCTGTTCAGGAGCGTGGACACGGGCCGCATCGCGGCGCCTCGCCGCCGGCCGCAATGCGCGTCGGAGCGGAGGGCTCCTCGACGCGCCGCATCAAGAGGCTGGACTCCAGGTTGTCCGCGAGCATGGTGTCGCGTCGTGGCACTCCGCGAGGCGGACGCGGCGCGGCAACGCCGAAGCTGTCCTCGTCGACCGACGCGGCTGCCACGACATGCAGCCGCATCAGGCCGAACAGTGACCTCACGGAGCGCTCCCTACGCCGAGCTAGTGAAGCTGATGAAGACGAGAGCCCGCGACAGCGCCGGGGGAAGGGGAAGGAGAAGGAGAAGGCCGATGACGATGCTGCCAGCGTCAGCATGGGCCGGCCAAGCCGGCCGCCGCGGCGAGCTCTGAACCGGATCAACTCCGGCAGCACGTACAGCAGCAGCAGCCCACCAGAACCGACTTCGAGCACTTCAGGTTACACCTCCTCGTGGGTGCCACCGCGAGACAAAGTGCCGTCATGGGTGCCACCGCCACCGCGGGGCAATGCGCCGTCTTGGGTGCCACCGCCACCGCAACCGCGGGGCAATGCGCCGTCGTGTGTGCCACCACCACCGCAATCGCGGGGCATTGCGCCGCCGGAGTACGGGTTTCAAGTGTCAGGCGTGTCGAGGATCAGCTGCCACCTTCGCCTGGAGAGGAGAGTGGAGCGGATGAGGAGGTTCAAGGAGAAGCTCGGCACGGTGTTCCACCACCTCCACCACCACCACCACTTCGGTCCCTCGGGCAGCAACGAGGGGGCGCCCCCGCTGCTCAGTCGTGACGTCCACGACAACGGCCTTCACCGCCCGTCGCCGTGGAAGGTTCTCGGCGGTGTCCTCCACCGCGCGACACGCCGTGGGGAGAAGAAGACCAGGAGCGTGCCGGCAGATCGGCGTGGCGGCGTCGAGCACATGCTGTTACACATGTGGGACAAACGGCGGGCGATGGCGAAGCAGCGTGGCGACGGCGGCGGCGGCGGCGTCGGGCGCGCACTGTTCCAAATGTGGGGCAAACGGCGGGCGGCGGCCAAGCGGCGTGGCGGCGGCGTCGGGCGCGCGCTGTTCCAAATGTGGGTCAAACGGCGGGCGACGGCGAAGCGACGGCGTCGGGCATGCGCTGTTCCAAATGTGGGTCAAACGGCGGGCGACGACGGCGAAGCGGCGTGGCAGCGACGGCGGCGTCGGGCGCGCGCTGTTCCACATGTGGGGGAAACGGCGGGCGACCGCAAGCGCTGGAATGTGGGGTACGGGAAGCCGGTGGAAGGCCAAGAAGCTGCACTGGTGGCAGCGGGTGAGGCCACGGCGCCGTTCAGGACATGGAAAGGCATTGCGGTAACATGGTACTGGTAGAATCTGTGTCTCTACTATTTTGAAACAAATTTTAAATTGTAGAAGTTTGCTATAATTTAAGACGAATGGAGTAGCTTATTTGTAATTTGTTTCACAGCTTATTGCTCTATAAGAAACAATGCAATATATTTTCATTAGAAGCAAATATTCCTCTCTCAATCCAGGGGTTAAAGTTAGTCCATTCTCACAGCGTGGGAACCTAAAAGAAATTCATTGTCATTACTAGACGAAGGGGTACAGCTTAATCATCAAAGCTAACAATCCTAGTATGTAAATTTCAGCTATCGCATAAATAAGAAATAATATGTAGATAGTAAAGGACAAGGGAAATTTTGAGAACCGTACTTTACTAAAAATCTTATGTATTGCGGTACATGTGAGTTTATCTTTTTTGGCATCACGAAAATAATGTTTGATATCTAGGAACAGTATAGTGCTCCGTTGAATGCTAAAGAATCAATAACTTGTCTGAATAATTTACCCCTTACAGCTGATGGTGTATGTAGTCATAGGCATTTGCATATGTGCATGAGTGCATATGTTGAATGCCCATAACTACTCTAAATAGATAATTTGTTGTTGAATATTGCTGTGACGGTTTGTAAGATGTTTGCATTTGACAGGGCTCCCAGGTGTTCTATTTGTGCTTCCTGATTCCTATGTTGATGCCGAGAACAAGGACTATGGTGGTAAGCTTTTTGTTACCTACCTCTCTATATCATTTTTTTTCTTGTGTAAAATGCAGTTGATTTTACCCTGGCTGCCATGTTAATGGATATCCTTCATGGAAAGCTGGTTGTTTTTATCTTGGTCTTGTCCGCTTTCTGTTCCAGGTTTATTGCACCCAGAATCCATTCATCTTTAACTGTTTGTGCTTACTTGTACTACCATAGTTGATCTATCCAGACCTGAAATATACACTGACATTCTGCATAGTTGATTGTCTTCAGGAATTATTCCTCCAATATGCACAACTTTGTCTGGGTTCTCATGTCATTGTCGTTCTTTGCAGCTGAGTTGTTTGTAAACGGAGAAATTGTTCAAAGATCACCAGAAAGGCGGAGAAGGGTGGAGCCAGTTCCTCAGAGAGCACAAGATAGACCCCGGTACAGTGACCGAACTCGCTATGTGAAGCGGAGGGAGAATCAGGCGTACCAGCGGTGAAGACTCACCATACCTGCAACCGGCTAGATGCATCGACTCCTGCGTTTAGAACAGCAGCTCCCGCACGAGAAATGGCTTAGATTTTTTGTATGCTGCCGCTGTGTAATCTGGCAATGTTTTATGCATCTGGGCATGTATGTCTTGTCTACTTCAATAGACTAATCTATTGAACTGTGGCATATGAATTTGAAGCCCCACTTTTTTTGCCATATTTGTCACATCTGTTCACGCTGGATTTAAAGTTTGCATGTTAAATTAAAGTTGTTTAAAATTTTATATTTTATTTAAATAGAAATAAAATGATTTATTCAAATGTTATCGATGTAATCGTAAATTCAGATCGATGAATTTACGAAGCTATAAATACTGAACTATAAGAAACTCTTAGATTTAAAATTGTATTCTTTCGTTCTAGAATAAGTTAACCTATTACTAGATGCGGATATCCTAATACTATAGATCTGGATAAGTATCTATGATTCTATGTAAATTAATGGTATTAGGATGATAAACTTATTTTGGTGGATATGTATCTAGGTAAATTAATGTTATTAGGGTGATTAACTTATTTTGGGATGGACGAGGAAGTAGTAAAGAAAGCTTCAGTTTGTTCTTGCCAATGCCAACGGCGACGAGAATCGCCTACCGTGCAAATGCAATCTGGGACGCCAAGTCAATTTCGCGTTCTCTGGCCCTGTATCAACGTGGAACGGTGGAAGCAATCGGCGGACGCCACGGTGGCCATCACCCGTGAATCGTCGTGATATGCCGCGAGCTCAACGTGTGGTGGAGGCGGGAAACTTATCCTGCTTTTGCCTTGCCCCCGTGTCTTCGCCACGCCAGCCGCCCCCCGCCTGCCGACGAGGCCGCGGCCGCTGCTCAGTTCAGGCTCAGCTCGAGGGGATCGTGCGGTTGGTTGCGCGAAGCGGCGGCGAGAAATGGCGGGCGCGAGCTTCCTCTCGACCGTGCGGCAGCCTCCCGCGCCGCCGCCGCCGCTGCTCGCCCCACGCGGCTCCGCTTCCTCCGTCTCGTCTCCCGCGCGACGGCACGCCCACGTATGTGCCCTGGAACTCGCGGGTGTAGTTTTGGTTTGGGCTAAAAATGCCGTGTGATTTGTGTAATCCTTGGGATTTTTTTTTCCGTGTAGATTCTGGTGTGCTGCCATGCTACCGCGCAGGAAGAGCCTGTGCGATTCCGTAGAAGGGATTTAATCGGCGGCTGCTTGACTACTGCCATTGGCTTGGTGCGTACCACTATTCTTCGTCCCTTTTGTTTGCGTGATCAGTGTAGTGTAGTCTTCTTATACTTTATTGGAGTAAGAAAGTGAATGAAATGTAGTATGGTGGGGGTAAAGAATATTAACCTGCAGTTAGTGCTTTTCCTTTTCCATGTTTAGTGTTGTTTTCAGAGGCGATAGGCTTAACTACTTCATGTCTTTTGATTAGGAATTAGTCGAGGGCTCTACAGGATTCACAGGAGTGGCTACTGCAGCTGATCTGATTGAGCGTCGACAACGCTCTGAATTCCAATGTAGGTCACCTCTGGCCGTTCCTTTTCCTTTGAATGCTATGTGCTTCTTTCCATGATAGTAATTCTTGCTTCCGTTTCTTTCTTCAGCAAGCATCAAAAGCACCCTCGCCACAGCCATAACGGTGAGATTGTATATTTTTTGCACTTCCTTAAGTCATTTTTACTTTGACCTATCTATCGATTTTTCCGGCTGAAATTTGATAACCCTTTGAAGGCTAAAAAAGAGCTCATTCCATCTTTGTTGACGTTGGCACTGAATGATGCCATGACATATGATAAGGTATGGTCTGGCTTCCTGAATTTACCGGCTGAACCCTCTGTCCATACATGGCACGCTTGGAAATAACCTGTGAAAAACGGCTATCCAACACTCTTTTTTAGGCCACGAAGTCAGGAGGTCCAAATGGATCGGTCAGGCTAAGGTAGTAGCTTCTGTTGGTACATATTTGTGTTGACGTTGCAAATATGCTCTTCAGATGAAAATCTAACAAGTTGCTCGGCCTCGTCATTCCTTCCTTTTCACCATTAAATAATAAAGTGCAGAAATAAGCAGACCTGAAAACAGTGGACTTTCTGCTGCTGTGGATCTGCTAGTTGAAGCGAAAAAGGAGATAGATTCCTACTCCAAGGGAGGACCCATTGCATTTGCAGATCTGATCCAATTTGCAGGTGTGACATACTTTGGACATAATTTTACTAGCACTTGTGTAATATTACCAAACTGGCTCTATTTTACCTTTGTTATTGTCAAGACCTCTTTTACAATAGTTGGAAAGGTACCAAGAAGTAATGGACATAGTAATAAACACCTCAAAATTTGCTTTCAATTGCAACAGCACAATCAGCACTCAAGCTAACATTCGTTGATGCGGCCATTGCCAAATGTGGCGGGAACGAAGAAAAAGGAAGAACACTATACTCAGCTTATGGTTCAAATGGCCAGGTATTCCCTATACCATGTCACTCCGTGTGTCAAATAACACTACACTATATGTTAAGTTTCTTCTGTCTGTCTGTATGGGCTTAGCTTACTAATTCAAGGTGCCATATATTTTTATGTTGATGCTTTGTTTGCATTTACCGCTGCAGTGGGGTTTATTCGACAAACTGTTCGGGCGACAAGATACACAGGAACCTGATCCTGAAGGAAGGGTACCTGACTGGAGCAAAGCTTCTGTGCAGGAAATGAAGGATAAGTTCGTCGCAGTTGGTTTGGGTCCTCGTCAGGTCACTAGCTACTGTCTTACATCGCTTAGCAAATTGTGTTACTGATCAATCATTTAATCTATAAGAAACTGTGATCCAGCAAACTTGTCTTTAAATATGAGATGATTTTGCATTTCAGCTTGCTGTGATGTCAGTCTTCCTGGGGCCTGACCAAGCTGCCACGGAGGAACGGTTGATAGCCGACAAGGATTGCCGCCCATGGGTCGAGAAGTATCAACGCAGTCGCGAGACGGTCTCTCGAACTGACTACGAGGTAAGATCATCTACCTCCGTCCCAAAACATCCGGATATATTGCTAAAAGTTGCTATATTCAAGATGGAGATTGTAACCATTCGTGCTGCAGGGTAACTCAGAACTCTTGTAGTGTTGATGCTGACATGTGTTTTGTATGTCAGGTTGACCTGATAACCACGCTCACAAAGCTGAGCTCCCTTGGGCAGAAGATAAACTACGAGGCCTACACGTACCCTAAGCAAAAGATTGACTTGGGTAAATTGAAATTGTGATGGATAGTTTCCTGATCATCTCTCAGTCTCGGTGATGCTGATACAGTAACGAAGAGCTTCATTTGTTTGCCTAAGAAGAGTGATTTGATTTGGCAGTGACATTCCGACATTTTTACACGGCAATAAGTACGGCATGTATAGATGGTTTAGATTCACTGTTCCCTTCGCTCTTTTCTGAACTTCAAGAATCAGACATGATGATTTCCATGAGTTGTGTTCTGTAAATTCTCTTACTTGTATAATGTGAAGAGGCAATAGCAGCCAAGTGGAGTAATAGACAATACTGTTTCTTCAACAGTTCTCCAATATACCACCATATCGCTATGCGGTATGTAGCCAGCCAAAATCACAAGATCACCGACGTGCGAGAGAAACACACGGAGATGATGGCTTGCAGAAGTACAGAGCCGAAGAAAAACTTCGTCATGCACAGAAATTCTTAAACTCTTGATTTGAAATTCAGTACACTCGATATATTTTGCAACAAATTTCCAAACAGACCACGATTTGGTCTCTGCATTCTCGTTATCAGCCATTGGTAATCGTCCAGCGCCTTTTCTGATAGAGGCTCTAGAAACTCACATTTTTCCAGGATTTCAAGGGGAGGTGCTCCTCTGACAAGATTCGTCTCCAGCTTTGGCTTTCTCTTGTTTCGTTCTTGAGGAACTTCAGGCACCGGTTTCTCGAGGAATAGTGGCGATGCTCCTGGGATGACATCTTGCCGAAAGGGTAAGCTTCTAGCACTCTGCAGGCAGAAGTCAAACCACTGGTTGATAAGTGGAGATGGGCCTCTAGTTCTGCCGCCAATTCGATCAGTCTGAAATTTGGTTGCAGATGGTATCGCCTGGAATGCATAAGACCAGATAAACCAGTAAGAGACTGAGCTCAAGACATCAAGACAAAACAACAATGGCCATAGGGCATTCGCGGTTATGCATGGGAAAATCATAACACACCCATAGATCAGCCCATAGACTACTGCCTGACTTGGGAACCACCACTGCAACGTCAGACATTCGCTTCGCAGCAGGAATAACATCACTGCTCCAACCCACTGCAACCCATACATCTCCTACTCCAAATGATTTCAGATAGTTCGTGCTGTCAAACAATTGAACCTACAAAATGCAGGCGGCAATAAATATTGGGTCACGCACAATAATTTCAAAATTTGCTCATTCCTAATATCAAAACCTGTAGTGTCTGTTCACCCAAAATTCAGGGTATACAGCACAAACGATATAGAGATGAGAAGGCAAGTTATTTGGTGCAAACCTGGTTCTGTAGTTGTGTCAAGCTTTCTAAGACTGTTTCCCTACCACCAGTGATTTCTGATTCCATGTCATTAGTGTTGTATGAGGATCCCAGATGCTTCAGGACTGCACCAATGACTTCTCTTGGAGAATCCACCATTGAAATTTTTCCGGCAAGTTCAGGCCTCCACAAATCCCCCCAGTCCTACATATTACACAATATTGAAACACCTACCAGATAATATGTATTTATAAACAGTGCCATAGAAAAGGTCGTTATTGCAAATATTGTTTAGAAAATTGTTTACCTGTATCGGTTTCAGATTATGCCTTTTGAACTTGTTTTTCTTGTAAGCAATGACCACGGTGCCCCATCTGTATGGAACCGCCCATATTGAGCCATTAGGATCTACCTCACCATTGCGGTTCCTGCACAGATGAATCTGGTAGACTATAATGAAAAATAGATATCAGAGCTTAGAGCCCTCTGCATTAAGTTCTCCACACCTAAGCATTAGCCTTCGTAACATCCAAGGCTATCAGAATTTAGAGAAAAATGGCTTCAACTTTTGACTCTAACCTTCCATCTGTTACTTAGGCTCTGAAACCAATCCTGTTCTTCAGCGTTCTTGACAGGTTCTACCAATCCCTTACGAATGGCATACCCGAGCCAAGAGTCCCCAATTGAAACAACATCAGCCGCCATTGCGGATTTTTGCTTAAGTTGACCCTTGTCCAAACATTGTGACATCTCGGAGTAGAGCACATCAAGGTTTGTCCTGAACTCAGGACTGAATTTCAGTCTCTTCCCCTGAGCTTCAACAAAATCCTAGAGATACCAACAAACAATTACCTCCATTAACCGATATAATCATGCTTTTCTGCCGCTTGGATCCTAATAATAGCTTAATACTACTGGCTTAGTAGTGTGGCAAGAAAGGATATGTTTTTGCTAAGTGTTGAGCGAAGACCTTGATCCACGCAGGAGGGAAGGAGCCACGGAGCGCGACGACCCGCAGGGGAACAGAGAGGGAATACGTCTTGGACTTCCACTGCTGCAGCGCGACCTTCCACTCCTCGTCGTCGTCGTCCTCCTCCGCCGCCATCGCCGCCGCAGGAGGTGGCGGGGGGAGAGCGCCGCCCACGCAGGCGCGCGCATAGGTGGGGAAGAGCAAGGCGACGGAGCATACCGCCAGATGGAGCACCAGCCCCGCCGCGGCGCGTGCCGCCCACCGCCCCCAGCAGCCTCCGCCGCCGCGGCGGCTGGGCGGCGCGGTCTCGGCCTGGTGGCGTCTTGGCCGACGCCGCAGGGCGACGCCGAGCTGCCTCGGTCTCCGGTCGCCGAGGAGGAGGAGGATGCCGGAAGCGCGAGGGCGGCGGGGAAGGTGGTTGGGGACGAGGGCCGCGACGGGGATGCGAGGGTGGGGGAAGAGGAGGGGCTTCCCCTCCATTGCCAGTCTTCCTCCACTGGTGGTCGATCGATTGATCCGTCTTATCCCAATATTAGTAGTATCTATTATATTATTAAAGGAATAGAAAAAGGAGCCTCCACGTTTGCTCTTATAACCTAGAAATTTCACATTAATCAGAGAAAAAAAAATAGAGTCCATACAGAAATACAATTTAGAAATAGCTGAAATTCGGAATTAAAAAATAAGAAATATTAGAAGAGGAGACTAGAGTCCATATAGAAATACAATTAGGAAATGACTGAATTTGGAATTAAAAATAAGGAATATTAGAAGTAGAGTATAGAGTCCATATAGAAATACAATTAGGAAATAACTGAAATTCGGAATTAAAAATAAACAATATTAGAAGTAGAGTATAAAGTCCATATAGAAATACAATGAAGAAAAAAAAATAGAAATTCAGAATTAAAAAATAAGGAATATTAGAAGTAGAGTACAGAGTCCATATAAAAATTTAAAACTAACTAAAATTTAGAATAAACACAATAAAATTAAAAGTAGAATTTAGAATCCGTATAAAAATACAATTTACAAATAACTAAAATTCGAAATTAAGAAAAACATGGGAAGAAGAGTTTAAAGTCAATAAAGCAATACAATTTAGAAGTAACTGAAATTCGAAATTAAAAATTAAAGAATATTGAAATATGTGTTTAGAGTCCACATAGAAATACAATTAAAAATAATAAAAATTCAGAAATAAAATAAATAACATTGGAAGAAGAGTATAGAAGAGTATAGAGTCCATATAAAAATACAATTTACAGAAAATTCGGAATTAAAAAAAGAAATATTAAAAGACGAGTCTAGAGTCCATATAGGAATATATATAATTTACAAATAACTAAAATTTGATATTAAAAATAATTAATAACTAACAGTATATAAAATACAATATGAATATTACACATTAGTAGTTTTGTAAAGTTATTGCAAAATTTAAAATAATGTTGTCATTTTAATATATTTGAATAATATAATGAGAAAATATATATGCTATTATATGAGAGAAAATATAATGATACTAGGCGCGTAATCTGCGCGGGCCACTATCATAGTTCGTACTAAGCTTGAAGAAGGAGAGGTGAAGAAGGCTGGGCCGCAGCGCTGGGCTGGAATGCCATAGTTTTAAGAGGCCCAGTTTAGTTTTGGGAATACATCCTCTGAGGTCTCAACTGCCTCTGGTTCAGAGAAGACTCAGGTTGGGAGTTGGGAACTCACTGAAAGAACACAGCCATAGTAATGTGTTCTTCCCCTATTTTCCTAACCCACCTCTCTCGTTTTCCATGCGCACACATTTCAAACTGCTAAACGTTGTGATTTATGCAAAAACTTTCTATATGAGTAAGATGCACCAACGGTCAAATGCGGCTTTTGACCGGGATGATATAATAAAAGTTTAGGAATCTCGATGTGCGCTTTGCAAGTTCATGGACCTAAGTGAAAACTTCTGACAAGTTTAAGGAACGCTGGTGCATTTTACTCAAAATCATATTAATCTATTTTTCAAAAAAAAAGTTAATACTTAATTAATCCTGCAATAATTCGAGCTTCGTTTTACGTGCCGGGAATACAGCCAATCATGCTTAAGGACGGATGCATGGAGCCATCCAAATTACTAGTATTACCTCCGTCCCAAAATAAGTGCAGCCGTGGATATTCGTGCCCATCATTTGACCGTCCGTCTTATTTGAAAAATTTATGAAAAAATTAAAAATATTTAGTCACACATAAAGTACTACCCATGTTTTATCATCTAATAGCAATAAAAATACTAATCATAAAAATTTTTCAAATAAGACGAACGGTCAAATGTTGAACGTGAATAGTGCAAAACTGCACTTATTTTGGAACGGGGGGAGTATCTGTTTGGTGATGATAAGAACAATCGATATGGCATATCTATCTATATAGCTATATTATAAAAATAGATTGAAAATGAGCCACCACGTTCACTCTAGAGGTTAGAAATTTTTATATTAATTAAAAAAGAATGATAATAACTGTTAGATTGTAATTGAGTCCAAATTAGATCGACATAATTGTATAAAAATATAATTGTTTCTATATCTATTACGGAGTAAGACACAGCTGTATATCGAATTCAACTCTACTTTTTAAATTATATGCAATTATGTTTTCAGTTTCATCTAGAAATCATATTTGTATTTATATAAATAGAATTATAAGAGTCCTGTATCAAATCCAATCCTTCCTTTTCTATAAAGTTACAACCACAAGCTCAACATGCCTGAAGCCATAAGAAGATATCCTACTTTAATCAACTCACTAATTACGCACTAATCAATATTCTAACAAGGGGGAAGGCTTCATCTAGCAAAAAAAAAAAAAAAGACCACATCCCTCAATCCACCATATAGAGAGAATATTCATTTTTTTACCACCCCATCCACCCTACTCTCCAACCAATCACCACTAAAACTTGGATGGCCATCTTCCATACAGGTTCATCCATCCAACCAAACATACCTTATTGCTTACATAAATTTTGTACAAGGTTGAAAGCTTGCTGAAATGTTGTTATCATCAAACATAAATGGGTCACTGTATCAAGATGGTGGTCTGATACTTACATCCACAATAAAATATTGCATCAAAATTAGTACACTAAAAAACTGGTAAAGAATCCTAGGAATCTAATAGAAATGCTACAAGAAATATTCTCTCCAAGAACAACATCTGCAGGAGCTACAAAGAATTGAATGGAACATGCCAGAAATATCAACTAAAGTATCTATCAGTTGTAGGCGAAGCATCAGTGTCTATAAATCTTCCTGTAAGACTTTGTTCAAGAGTGTGGTCAGGAGGGCATCCCTTTTCTCAGCTCGTGCTTCTTCTCTCATCCTTCGTTGCTCCTCTCGCTCCATCCATGTGTGCTCCAGCATCAGTCTCTCCTGCTCTAGCTTTTGCATTGACTGACGCCATTCTTGTTCAAAAACAATCCGCTCCTGGGAACGCCTCTCCATCATCTCATGCCACTGAATATCCATGCGCTGCTGCTGCACCAGGAAATCCTGCAACAATTCATGGATGCTTGAAATGCTAGTCCTCGACTTTTCTGCCATTCGTTGCGATTGTTGCCTCTTGTCAGCAATTTTCCTCTTTCTGCTTCTTATGGGTTTCTCATCGCCACTATCTCCACTGCCATCTTCCTCATCATCAGAGTCCTCCGATGACAGGTCACCACTTGGTCGCTTTAGTTTCTTTTTAACAGATGGTCCAGATTCAGACTCAAGGAGTTGTTGTTGCATAGTTCTAGCTCGTTCAGTGAAGACTGCATGCAACTCATCAAAGAAAGGACACTGTCTACCATTTTCTGGATCAGATGTTTCTTTTCCCTGATGAAAAGGATGAATTGGAAATGATTTATTAACCTAGCTAATGAAGAGATAATGAAATCCAAGCTATCATTGTGGTAATCTCAAAGCAAATTTACAAAGGTGTTCAAACAAGATAGTGGTCTGTATTGATTTCACAAAAAGATATACCAATTATTTCCCATGTACTTTTCTGATAAATTCAATTAAACCATCCCTACTCTGAAATGCCCAACCTTTCAGCAATTCACCCCTTTTTGACAGCACTCAGTTTTATTAATGCTCATGGTAAAGCAAAGAAAATGCCATATTTTTAGCAAGTTTCCATGCAATTTCGCAGAGAGAACACCAATGTGAAAAGAAATAAAATATTAGTATCCATTTTTTGACAAAAACTGTTCAGTGATCACAAGACTAAAAACTTTCTTCTGGACCTTCAATTCTGCAATATTTTCTACTCGAATTTTTTCCCTAAAACAGACATATTCTCCCTTAACTTCTAGAGTTCGTTATCGATACAAATGCTACCACATTCACATGAAAACTGACCAAATGTATTAATGGAAAGCCACATTTGTTCCTCCATTCTATCACAATTGACTATCCGTTCTTGTTGAAACATTTCTAGTAATCTTATTGTAGCTTCAAACAGATAGCTTTTACATCAGAACAAAGCAAAGCGGAAGGCATCTTCATGCTTGCCATTTAGAAGCAGCTACCCTCACTACTAGACAATCATTGTGGGGGAGCAAGAAAAGTGTGTTTTGTCTGAGAAAGGATTAAAAGCAACCCTGCTTAGTAGATTAGCATTAATGGGAATAGCATCACACCAGCATTTCTATTTGAGGTTCAACAGTTCATTGAATATCTGGCAACACTTCAAAAATGTGCAACTGGGCACATCATTTTCCACATCATGCTATCAATCTACAGCGCAAAACTACACATCATGCCATCAAGATACTCCATCAAAACGTGAAGGGAAGCCTGGTGTTAACATCTACTCAACTTCTCTATAAAATCACACGGGAATCCTCTCAAAAGATGTTGAACAGCTGTTCAAGTCTTCAAGAAGACCAAAGATACCTCAAAATCTCAATCATGGAGATCTCAATCATCTCCATGATTGAGATGCTACTGACATTAAAACAACTGCAAACGGAACATATTCCTAGATCCTAACAACCCCCTCGAAAAGGAGCTCTCCAGATAGAAGAGACAATTGGAGGGACCCAGAGCCTAAAGTTTAAAGATGCTTGTAACCATCAATTCATTTCAGGTCGCTATAATGTATCAATTCTACAGGAGAATCCGTTGCTCGTAGAGTTCAGAATTGATTGCTGAATGCTTGCTGGCCACAGCGTAGCAGCACGGGGTGACTTGACTTGACTTAGCTAGAGACCATTCGAGAAGCAAAGCAGAGGAGGGGAGGGAGCAGGGAGCAGCAGCAGAAGGGGGGGCACCTTGTATCGGTTGACGAGGTTCTTCCACTTGCACTTGCATTGCTCGGCAGTGCGGCGGTAGCCGCGCTCACGGAGGCGCGCGGACACCGCCTCCCACAGCGTCTTGGCGCTGCGGCGCGCGGCGGCCGCGGCGGCGGACTCCCGCTCCATCTCCCCGCGCGCCGCGATCAGCTCCCGCGTCTCCTGCGCGCCCCACTGCGGCACCCGCTCATCCCTCCCTCCTCCTCCTCCTCCTCCTTCCCCGCACCCGGGCTCCATCGTCTCGCCGCCGCTCCTCCCGCCGCCGCGCGGCCGCGCCCGCGCCCGACGACGGGGCACGAATCCCTAGCGAGCCCGGCGCGGCGGCGGCGGCGCCTGTAGGGCTTGGTCGGCCTCGGCGCGGCCGCGCTTGCTTGCTGGCTCTGGTGGTTTGCTTGCGTGCGCTGCGACGCGACCTCCTCCTCGCCTCGCTTTTCTTCTCGCTTCTCGCCGCTGGCTGCCTGCCATTACTTTTCCGCCCATTCACACACCCTCGGTTCAGAGGGGGAAGGGGACCTCCGCCGTTCACACTAGCTGTCTTTACCTTCGTCTCATTTCCACATTTACTTTTCCTATTTTATTTCAATGAGTAGAAATTTTTGTACCACTAGTAATTAAAAAGTACCACTCCCTCTTTTGAAAATACTCGTATTATGTTCCTCCACAAGATCCAATATTACATATTTTTTATTATTAATTCTTTTTATAATATATTACCAATAACTACAAAATTGACATATGTAAAAAGATTGCCAAATACGAATTTAGCGATACTACATGTATAACACTAAACATGTGTACTATCAAAATATATTTAATGTCAGATTTAGTGGATCTAATCTAGTGTTGTACTTTCTCTGTCTCATAATATAAGGGATTTTAGAGGGATGTGACATATTCTAGTATTATAAATCTGAACAGACTGCTTGTCCAGATTTGTAGTACTAGAATATGTCATATTCATCCAAAATCTCTTATATTATAGAACGGAGAGAGTAAGATAGTAAGAGTTGTTATATTTTTCTATAAGCTCACTTCAGAAAAAAGTCAAAGCGACTTTACAATATAAAACGGAGAGAGTTAATGTTGAGTTTAATTATCAGTAAAAAAATTAAATGTTTGACTTTGTGGAAAACAAGAATATCTTATTTTCAAACGGAGAGAGTATTAAGTAATTAGTTAGTACTCATGGGCTTTAAGCTGGATTGGACCGGGCCCTATCTCGTAGCCGTCCATCCACTTGCCTCCCGTGAGCAGGGCATTCTTCGGTTTACCAAAAGAATATATTTTTTTCAAAGAAACCCAAAAAAATATTCTGCATCAAAGCAATAATAATTCAATGATACAAAGACCAACAGTTCAACATTGCACCATAAAAAATAATCAAGAAAGCATAAATCACCAGGAATCGAATCGGCTGAAGCTGCTGGACATCACCAATGACCCAATGGCCAGTGGTTTGCATTTTCCCATACCAGCATGACCTGACAGTCTTATTCAAGAGGAGAAACATAAAGTTCTTTCTTACAAAAAAAAAAAAGAAGAAAAGCTACACACTGTACCCTTCTCTGCCAGATGCACAAGCTGGCCACCTGGTAATTTCTGTAGGAGCACATGCCACTTTCTGCAAGCAGCAAGCTGGGAGGTTCCAGTTTCACCACGACAATAGGTTGTCGACCAGAGTGCTTCACCTCAATAATGCCAATGTCGAACAGGTTCTTGCCGGTCACCATTAATTATTGTAGGAGAGCTTCCTGCCTGGCAGCAGTTTGCTGCTGAATATGGACATAATGGAGTTCTATTCACTTTCCGAAAAGAAGTTCCTTCAAAGAAGTCACGGGTGAGCTGTTGCCATGGGCAATGGTATCTCTCCAGAGAGTAAATCCTGGGAAAACAACAAAAGCAAATGTGCATATGATTAGAAGTCCAACCCTGCAGATTAGTAGCTCATCAAACAATTCAGTTGTGCATTTAACTACGATTGCTCGTCAAAGAAATGCTGAAATGTTTGAGGTGGAGATATTTGGATTTTGACTGAATCTTTTCTTTATGAAGAAATAAACTTGAGTTGAGAAGAAAGGAAACCTAGCCACAGAAGAAGTCCAAATGTTGTTGCCAAGAAAGATTCTCTGCTGATGCTATCGAAGCTGAAAGCAGAATATAAAGTTCAGGGGTTAGACATTCTTGTTGGAGTTACAGTCAAAAAACTCATATGGTAAATCAGGTCTGTCATAGCTGTGAAAAACATACCAGTACATGCAGGCCAAGTTACCCCAACCCTGTAGGAAAGATGCCCAGGCAGAACCAGTGAACCTAAATTCATCGAAGGTATCAATGATCAAGGGCCATGTAAGAATGCAGTACAACAGAAAAAGAAAAAAAAAAGAAGGAACAAGGGTGACCAGCAAGAGAACATCAGAAAGAAATACATAGTTTATCATAAAATGAGATCGCACTCGAACTTATGAATGTAATTGTTGATAGTTTTTCCAATCCCAGTTTCAGGAAATAAACATCCAAGTTATCATGTGTGATGCACTCTGAAGATTTTAATGAACAGGACACTGTGGGAGGATTTTTACAAAGCTTTGTACATGGAAAACACTTGATTGCCTGGTTAGCCATTATTGGTCTTGCCCTATGACTTCATCTCATGTACAGCAGAAGTTTCCTATATAAGTTAGAAGGTCCTACAGACTTCATCTCAACAAGTAGAAATTTGTATATTTACTAGTGTTTCATTCACTAAGAGCTCCTGGTTCAGATACAATGTCATAAAGCAGGCTCAACAATCCCATATGTGATAAAACTATGGGCTGTAAGTCTCTTCACCGGGCAACAACTCTTGGACCGGTAAGGATGTGATTAGGAACATCTTGATTATATTTGTTGATCAAATAGAAAGCAGGTTCCATGTGATTTTTTTACAATAGAAATTGATTTTATTTCATACTTTTCCCAAGAGCAGTGCATGAATCTATTAACTTATTAAAGGAGTAGAAAAAGGAGCCTCCATGTTCGCTCTCACGGCCTAGAAATTCTCATATTAAATGGAGAAAAAGAAAACATAGTTCATATAGAAATACAATTTAGAAATAGTTGAAATTCGGAATTAAAAAATAAGTAATATTGGAAGAGGAGACTAGAGTCCATATAGAAATACAATTAAGGAAATAATAGAAATTCAGAATTAAAAATAACGAATATTAGAAGTAGAGTATAGAGTACATATAGGAATACAATTAAGAAATAATAGAAATTCGGAATTGAAAATAAGGAATATTAGAAGTAGAGTATAGAGTCCATATAGGAATCTAAAACTAACTAAAATTTGGAATAAACATAATAAAATTAAAAGTAGAGTTTAGAGTTCGTATAAAAATACAATTTACAAATAACTAAAATTCGAAATTAAAAAAACATGGGAACAAGAGTCTAAAGTCAATATAGGAATACAATTTAGAAGTAACTGAAATTCGAAATTAAAAATTAAAGAATATTGAAAGATAAGTTTAGAGTCCACATAGAAATACATTAGAAATAATAAAAATTCAGAATTAAAAATAAATAATATTGGAAGAAGAGCCTAGAGTCTATATAGAAATACAATTTACAGATAACGAAAATTCAGAATAAAAAAAAGAAATATTAAAAGACGAGTCTAGAGTCCATATAGGAATATAATTTATAAATAACTAAAATTTGATATTAAAAATAATTAATAACTAACACGTATATAAAATACAATATGAATATTACACATTAGTAGTTTCGTAAAGTTAGTACAAAATTTAAAATTGTATTGTCATTTTAATATATTTGAATAATACATTGAGAAAACATATATGCTATTATATGAGAGAAAATATAATGATGCTAGCCGCGCAATCTGCGCGGGCCACCATACTAGTTTTTAAAAAAGGAGTATCCAAGGTTGAAGATAAACAGCATACCACATGAGATCTCTGATAAATACAGCACGAGGAATCATAAGTCCATTTCCAATCATTGCAAGCAACATAGTGAAAGCTGACAACCCTTTGATGTTACTTGGGTTGAGGTAATTTGTCCACTGCACAAACCCACGAAACATATTTTTAGTGTCTTGGCGTTAGGTGATTCTAAGTGCTACAAGTGTGAAAGTTTGAATACCATCTGCGCAACTGGCATCCACATGAAGAGAAGTGTGGCCGTCCAGCCAGATAATGATCCAACAAAGTTAATCCCTCCCTTAGAAAGCTTTCCCATTCTTGCCTGAATTTAGTGTACCAAAAGAAATCAAGAGATAACACAAGATTGGAGCAAATATGGTTAAATAGGGGCATTACATCATGAGAGTACAACATACTTAGTCTTAATTTTCGTTAATCATCGAGAAATACAGACATATGCAGAGCAAAATATACACTTGCATTCTTCTAGGTAGAGTGTTATGGTGCTCTACCAATCTTATTGACCAAAGTTTTTCCTTATGAAGCAATTGGCATCTTTAGATTTGCACAAATAAAAGGCAAATTAAAAAAAAAACAAGTACTACATAAATCATGGAAGCGATATTAGTGCCCTGCTAACAATAGACATAAAGCTAACAGATAGTATACTAAAAAAAACTTTAGGTAAATTGCATCCTAATATGGAACTGAACTTCACTATTGGTCATGCAACCACATTGCTTGCTATAAAAAAGCAGGGCTGTCGGCCTTTTCTCTAAATAACTATTGGTTATGCAACCACTTTTACACAAAGATTTCCTTATATACTCACACCTTTTATACCTAATAGTAAATATCCAATCCACCTCGGTGTTATATGTGCAAGTTTTTTCAACAATTACCTAAAGAAAATGTGGAGATGAAGTGGAGGGCTTATTCTATAGTTATTTCCTCCCCAAATTTACCTTGGACAGCTAAATTACTTAAAACTCTATTTTTCTTTCTCAAGGCATGGAGATGGTAGTAGAGCAAACACACATGAAACTTTGAACAAGATTTCGTTAAAAAAAAGCTTTGATCAAAACAATCCTTAAGGTAAGAGTGTCTCGTACCATTACGACAGCTGTGGCAGCCAAAGAACCAGAGATTATGCCAGGCAGTAAGCTATTGGGGATGAAGGGGACAAATGTTGACCACATAACCTGCATAATCATTTCATAATCAAAGAGGGAGGCAGAGCCACACTTAAAATTGGAGTGGCTTTTACAGTTCGAAAATGCTCTTAAAAATTAACACTGTTACGCATAGCAGCAGCAGCAGCAGCAGAAGCAGAAGCTGAATCTGTAACGTGACACAGCAGGACGGCCATTCTCACCTGAGGAAGCACTGCAAGGCCACCTATTGTGATGAAATCCTCCCACAGCAGCCAGAGTGTTCCCGGGAGCCACCCAAAGTAATTGAGGAAGTTCAGGAGCAGCCCAGCGGCCACAACGGCTGAAGTGGCCACGAACTGTGGCAATGGCATGGACTCTGCCATGGCGAGCTGGGCAATGACTACATAGGTGGAGATGACGCCCAAGGTCTGCACGATGACCGCCCCCGTCTCCTTCTTCTTAGCGAAATAGGACAGCAGCGACAGGTTCCCGAGCAGCCCGGTGAGCATCCCCTGAGGCACAAAATCAACAAACAGATCAACAAATGGGGGAAAATGTGGAGGGGATTGAAGGTGAGGTGACACGTACGAGCCATGGGACGGCGAAGAGCGCGGTTTTGTTGCCGGCGAGGAGGTTACGGGCGTTGAGGATGATCTGGGGAAGCTGCAGGAGGAGGAAGGGGACATTGGCGGCGCCGGCGAACTTGGCCGTCAGAGAGTCCCATTCCTGATACTTCTTCGGGTCCTACGCGCGTGCCAACCCACACTACTCACGATTTGCCCCGCCAATGCCGAGAGCGAAGAGACGCCAGCCAGGACGAGCACACGCGCGCGTACCTTGAGGACGGGCTTGGAGGTGGCGGTGGCGGCAACCGGGGGCAGCGCGTACCGGCGGCGGCGGTGGAGGAGCAGCGCGGAGCGGTACGACGCGGGCGCCCTGCACGACAGCGGCTTCACGGCGACGAGCGCGGGAGACGGCGCCCGGGCCCCATCGGCCCTCCACTCGCGGCGGCCGTAGAGGGGAGGAGCCGCCCGCAGCGGGAGGCGCACGGAGGACACCGACGACGACATGGGCGGCGCGCCACGGGGGCGGATGGATCGGTGGCGAGAAGGCGAGAGCGAGAGCGAGAGGGAGCGGGGAGCGAGGCGGACAGGAGGGCGAAGGGGATGGGAGGGAGGCAGCGTGAGGTGAGGGGAGGAAGGAAGGAGACGCGCGCCCCCCGCGGTCGCGTCGCGACAGGTGGTGGCGACCCCGCCTGCCTCGCCGCGCGCTCCCGATCCGATGGACCCGCGCGACCCCCGCGCTGCCGTTGCTGTGCCTCTCCAGTCTCCACTGCGCCAGTTGCTGCTTCTTCTCTCTCCCTCCCTCGTTGTTTTCTCATCGGTTTCTGGATTGGGCATTTGGGCGTGCGCTGCCTCGTTGGGCGGGTCGGATTTCTCGTTGGTGAAGGAAAACGTCCACTTTTCATCCCGCAAGTATTGGATGAGTTTTCTTCGTCCAACCACAAAACCGGTTATAGATAGGAGTGAAAACGGTACGGAAATTTTCTGACCGTACCGATACCATTTCCGCAAAACTAATATAATAATAATAATTTTACCGATGGTTACCGTTTTCAAAATTTAGTTTTTTTAATTTCTATCAGCGTAGCATTGAAGTTGACACTAAATAGATGAATTCATAAATATGGAAATTTCCCAACGTTTCCGTTCGTTTTCGAAAAAAATAATAAAATAATGTACTGTTTTTGACCATTTCCGACCGTTTTCGCATCCATCAACTATTAAAACCAGTGTAAATTAGATCTCTTACTCCCTCCGTCCCAAAATAAGCACAGTCACGAGTTTCCATGTCTAAATTTGATCGTCCGTCTTATTTATTTTTTTTTGAAAAAATTAAAAAATATAATTCACGCATAAAGTACTATTCATATCTTATAATCTAATTACAATAAAAATACTAATTATAAAAAAATTCAAATAAGATGAACGATCAAACTTGACCACGGAAACTCATGGTTGCGCTTAGAAACTCATGGTTGCGCTTATTTTGGGATGAAGGTCGTAGCAGTTTTTCAGTGGTTTTGGCTATTATGGAACCCTAGTCAGCATTAAAAAATGTAGGGCCCGTATGCCGGTGGGACCTATCTCTACTCCTACATTCTCCCTCCCTCCTCTCCTCTCTCTTTGTGGACTTGTGTACACGCGGAGAAGGAGCGCAATAGCAGAAAAGAGGCCTTCTTCCAACTAGGTAGAGAAGCTTGATGCTAACCGCCGCACTGCTCGCCCTCCCTCAAGGCCTGCCACCGGAGGTACGATAGCAACGGCTCCATCCCGGTCGTCCGCCTCGTGCTTCTGTCATTCACCATCAGCTACCGCGCCATTTGCCCTTCCTCGGGTCCTGTCGCCGAAGCTACCAGAGCGACGGCTCTATCTTGGTCATCCACCCCCATGCTATTGCGTCAAAGGAAGCTATGTACGATGTAGGTTGCAACCTTAGCAACCGTATGTACAGCCCAGTGTTACCTCTTTTACACAAAACGAGAACAAAAGGTGTAAGTGGTTGGTATGCGTAATTGGGCTCACCCGTTGGGTGAGCTGGGCTATGCGGTTCTTGAGGATAGGTTGTTACAATCGACAGTTGGCCGGAGCTTGAGCCCTTAGCGACTCCACCGCCGCTAGATCCGTTCCCCCCAACCATGCCCACTCCTCTAGCAATTGCGTCGCCAGATCCACTCCATCTCCATGCGCGTGGGCCTCTGTTGGAGCTGGTTGGCACAAAATCCTGAGCCCCAACACCTCACCCTCTGCCAGAACACCGCTCCCCTCAACCTCGCAGATGCACCCGTTGCGTCGGCACCATCAACTGGCGCCTGCTCGACTTCCTCGACCTGCATGTACCGCCGTGCCGCTAGAGAGAAAGGAGGAGAGGGAGGTTGATGCCGACATCGGGGCGGAGAAGGAGGAGGCGGGAGGGGCGACAATCACGCTGGATGCTAATAGTGTTGACGATGACGCGAATGGATATCAAGGGGGCGGCAGCGGGGATGGCCGACCATGGCCACCATATGGGCACCCGCTTCTCTCTGTTATCGGTGCCACTGTCTTGGCTGACTGGGTGAGGCTGTCACGGGGGTAGGGAGGGGGGAGGGGGGCGACCGAAGAGAGGATACAGAGGATAAAGAGGAAAGAAAGTATGAATGGATGACATGTCGGTCTAAGTCTTTTTTTCTTATTTTCCTAGTGAATGACATGTGGGGACCCAATAGCTTTATTTATTGATTGATTGTTATGCCATGTAATCGTCATATAGACACTACATCAGGTGAAAACCAAATCAACAATGTCATATGGTGCCATATGAGCCAAAAATGTTGTCCAAAGCATTTTGAACCATATTTGTACTGGTTTTGAGAGATGAAAGATGTGTTATAACTTGTTTTGGGGTTGATACCCTCTATCTGATACCCTCCTAGTACATTGAGAAGCCACCCCTGACTGCCGAGTTCCTTACGACAGCCCGTCATGACCATATAACCAGGGCTAAATACGGAGGAATACCCTCCCCAGGAAATTAACTTAGGATTATATACACGCGCGGAGGAATATCCGTACTGAGCTGTCACCATCAGCGGCCCACCTCTCATCCGCAGCATATAACTCATAATCTAGACACCACGCCTAAACTACCAGATACTACTATAATATCATCGTCATGACATAGAGTAATTGCATAAGCAAACATTATACCCGCACCAATGCATCTCCCATATAAGCTAGCAGTATATTCAGTATAACATGAACATAATGTAAAGCTGGCATTCGTATACTCGAAAAGTATTTCAATACCATAAATATATAAAGAAGAGTATTCTAATAATAGTACAAAGCTTACAAAAGAGAAGAGAAGAGGAAAGTTGAGGGATGCGATCGGAACTCGACCCCAAGATGAGGGACCTGAAGTGAACCTTTTCCGTTGGTGAATGTGTAACGGTGTTGGTGCGGCCCATGCTGGCAGGGGCGATGCACAACCGGACCATTCACGAGGCGGTGGGCTGATGGGTTACTCATTTGGCGGCGTGTCTGCCCAGCTGATCGCGGCGGCCACCCCCACCGCCGGCGGGTGCGGCGGCGCGGACGATCCATGGGCGGTGGGCGCGCGGTCGCACATGGTTGATGGGCCAACCATGCCACGATCCCGCGTGGTGTCGAACTGCCACTATTCTTCACCGACGAGCCACGAGCAGTGCAGACATTGGCACACATTGCCACACTGCTTCTAGCTTTACTAGCAGCAGCAGTGTCTTCCTGTTTACGCTCGCAGCAACGCAAAACCATCGTCTCCGGCTCAGGCTCAAGTACCCGAAAACGCGTGCTTTCGCATCAGTTCATCGCCGGAATTAATCCGGAATGTCGGTGTGGAATTCCTTGGGGGCAAACCAGGACGTACGTTGGCTGTTTCATGGACAGGACAAGGCGTTTTGGCTGGTTCCTCTCGCCACACGACACGAGCGAGCAGCTGGATCTTCACGTGAGCGCCACACCTCACGACCGCGGTTTCAGTTTTTTCTCCGGCCACTCCATGGCTCCAAATATGGAACAGTACGAGGCAACCTTGCAATACCTCAGTTCATCTGTGACATCACAGTAGATGTGTTTTTTTTTGTGTGTGTACATGCAAGAAGCCAACCAAGATTTACCATCTGATGAGCTAGTTACGATGCGATGCTTGTGGATTCAGGGAGCGGGCAAAGAATGTGTCCTTGCTATGCAGATGCTGAGATAAGATACTACTCCAGCTGGGAGGCATTAAAGCTCATGATAAAGAGTTACTATTTCAGATTTGCTAGCCAGGGTGCTAAGGGAGTTGCTTTGAGAGCCATCCATATATACTTTGCTTGATGCCCCGTTACTGTCGGCACCCTGCTCTCTCCTCCCTCCCCTTTATTGCTTCCTCCCTCCCTCCCTCCCTCTTCACAGCACAACACGCTGCCACCATTTATGCCACTCCCTCCCTCCCAGCTGTGGTGACAGGACGAGCGTCTCATTCTCAACCTGAGGCTCACCTTCTCTCAGTCATATTCTCCGTCTTCTTCTCCAGTACGCTCGCGTATGTGTTCTTCCCTGCATCCTGCTGATCTATTCTGCCGTGTGTCTCTTTCTGCTTCTTGGGATGTTTGATAGGAAGGGAAGAACGTTGTCTTTGCAGAATGGCTGCTTCGTCCGGCGAATGGCTGAGCCGGGCAGCTATGGTGTTGGTGCTAGGTCTCGTGGTGGCGTCGTCAGCTAAGGCGGGCGATGTGGACATGGTGTTCCTGAAGAGTGCAGTGAGCACGGGAGCAGGTGCAAATGTAGCTTCTGTTAATTCTTCCCACCTCGCAGCATTGCCTATGCAGAAAAACAAAATGAGAATTCCATTCTTGATTTTTTTTTGTGAGCCATGGTTAGATTTTATTTTATTTTTCTTTTTTGGTCCTTGGTTTGTATTGGTGCAGTTTGCCTGGATGGGAGCCCACCGGTTTACCACTTCTCTCCTGGTTCTGGCTCTGGTGCCAACAACTGGCTGGTTCATATGGAGGTAACTAATCTCTAAATTGGTACTACCTCTGTAAACACGAATCAATTTTATGTCACAAGAACGTTCCAAAAAAATAATAATTAAGTCACAAGAATTATATCCTAATAGAGTAATTTTTGTTCAAAATTTTCTTAACAGAACAAAATGCGTCTTATATTTATTTAGATTGTACATTTGGATAATTGAGGTAACATTTTCTTCTACTCGCTTTGGAAGGGAGGAGGTTGGTGCAGGAATGCCCAAGAGTGTTCTGTCAGGCAGGGTAACTTCAGGGGCTCTTCCAAATTTATGAGGCCACTATCGTTTTCAGGGATAATAGGTGGCAACCAGAGAAACAATCCTGGTATGTCACATGCCATGTCTCATGTGCACTTTGCAGTTTGTACCACTCAGCATTTCTATCTTTTCTTTTTTCCTTTTTCTTTTGCCGGGATGACGGAGGAAGAAAGGCCATCCAAATGTTATTTAGATAGTAGGTTGATGCATTTCTGTATCCGCGATAACCGTACTTAATTATGACAATTAAAAGAAGAAATGCAGTGAAGCCTATAGCAGTACATCAAGACATGATAGAAGCCTATAACAGTGTGCTCTTAACATTTTTCAACACATATGCCTTTGCATACCTGAAGTTAAACTTTATTGTGTTATTTCTCATTACGCAGATTTCTATAACTGGAACAGGATAAAGGTCAGATATTGTGATGGCTCATCATTTACTGGCGACGTTGAAACAGTAGAAACTGTAAATTCCTAGACCTGTGGATTGTACATTCAGTTATGTCGTAGAATTGAGATTAACCCCATTTTTGCAATATAGTCGACGAACCTCCATTTCAGAGGGGCCAGAGTTTGGAATGCCATCATTGAAGATCTACTAGCAAAGGGGATGAGCAAAGCACAAAATGTATGTTCAGTGCTGACTGCTGACAACTACTAGTAGTAGCATGCTAATATATTGTTACTAGTAACATCAATTTGGAATTTGACTACAATTAATGTAGAATTGCATGCACAATTCCTACTGCTCTCGCTGCATTGCGCCATCTTCCTGCATAAAGCTTAAATCTTTATGATCATAAGGGATGAAATATTGCAAACCATTCCAGGCTCTTCTTTCTGGTTGTTCGGCTGGAGGTCTGGCTGCCATACTGCACTGTGACCAATTCCGAGATCTGCTTCCAGCAACTGCAAATGTGAAGTGCTTTTCTGATGCTGGTTTTTTTGTTGATGGGTAAGTGTCATTTGGTTGTGAACTTGTCCTTTCATTAATCCATAAATTATTCTCTGATTTATTTTTATCTTAATAGAATGAGTATTGTTATTGTCAATGCAGAAAGGATATCACCGGGAATGATTTTGTCAGAACATTCTACAAGGATGTCGTAAATCTACATGTATGTTGATTTGTGAACTTATAGTGTCTGTAATCCAGATTACCTAATGCTTGGATTTACAAACGACCAAGCTGTATAGTTAAATTCAGTGTCCTGGGAAGAAGTCTGGGGGCAGTCTTTTCATGAAGATTAACAGAACTTATCCAATAATATAATTGAGTGCAGTTTTGCAGATTAATGACCTTTCTTTACTCTCTTGCAGGGATCGGCTAAAAATTTACCATCTTCATGTACGTCAAAGATGTCCCCTGATCTGGTCAGTTTTGGCCTTTGGGCACTTAACTGGGATAAACACTCCTGATTCCTCGTTGAATTTGTGCTAATTTTCGGAAACAACTGCAGTGTTTCTTCCCGCAGAATGTAGTGCCAACATTGCGCACACCGTTGTTCATACTTAATGCAGCATATGATGCATGGCAGGTAAATTTCCCAGCTTCTACCAGTACTGTAAAATTGTACTCTCCGTTTCAAATTACTTACCATTTTAGCTTTGTCCTAAGTTAAAATTTCTAATTTTGACCATCAATTTGTAGAAACTCATATACATAAACACCATATGATTAGGAGTATATATTACGATAGTATTTCTCATGGTGAAACTAAAAACACAAATCTTATGATATTAAACTATATACGTTTTTAGAAATTGATTATCAAAGTTAGAAATAGTTGACTTAGGACACAGCTAAAACAACAAGTAGTTTAAACGGAGGGGTAGTATTTCTCTGCAGTATGTAAGCTTGAGTCTAATCACTTCATTTAAGATAGATAGCACCAACTGACCCTGAATTTATGAGAAGACAAGTAACAAACCAGCACCTTAATATATTTGAATTTAATTGCAGATCAAGAACGTCCTAGCACCTAGTGCCGCTGACAAAAAGAAGACTTGGGCCAAATGCAAGCTTGATATAACAGCTTGCTCCTCAAGCCAGCTCACAACCTTGCAAAGTGAGTTTTTTTTTTTTTTGGGTACAAGTTACAACCATCATTCCACTACACGAGTTAATCTTTTTTTTTGTTTATCTAATTCACTTCATTTTCGGCACAGATTTCAGGACAGATTTTCTGGCAGCTCTTCCTAAACCAGAGCAGTCCCCAGCCAATTTGAGCATATTCATAGACTCATGCTATGCCCACTGCCAATCTGGGTCCCAGGATACATGGCTCGCTCAAGGTTCTCCTGTAGTTGAGAAGACGGTAAGTTTGTCTCAAATGCTGAACAGTTTCATCCGAATTCAGAACATAACTAGAACAGAATAGATGCAGAAAAAAAGTTTGCAAAGCCAACTCACAAGTTAGCTACTGACTATAATATGAACTATTTCTACGTGTTTGCAGCAAATTGGTAAAGCAGTAGGAGACTGGTTCCACGATCGGGAAGTATCCCGGAGGATTGATTGCCCTTATCCCTGCAACCCAACCTGCAAGAACCGTGATGATGATTAAGCAATTCGACCTGAAAACTTCTGTTAAATTCTAGTACTGTGTTGTTAAATATCAAGTGAAGCAATAAGGGATTAGTCTATAGATAGAGCCATAGAGAGGTGTTACTGTTACCCACGATTTCTTCAATTCTTCTCCATTCTGTTTCTATGCCTTTGTCGACGATGAATCATGAACATATAGTTCAGTAAGCTCAAAATTTCTCTGTTCATCTCTAATGAGAACCCAACAAAGGAACAGATGCAGTAACCTTGCAGATTTGCCTGTAAAACGTGTTGCCGTTGGCACACCTAGCAGAAATTGGACCGCATAGTGGTGTTGGATTCTACTTTAGATGAAAATTAAGTTCGAACCAAACCATTGGTGCATGATTAATTGATTTTAAGTTATTACAAAGTTAAAACCATATTTATCTAATATTTTAAAATAACTTCTAAAAAATTATTTTTAATACGAAATATATTGTTTAGCAGTTTGAAAAACATGCTAACCGAAACCAAGGAATAGGCCTGTAATGGATGCGCGGAATTGACCCAAGGCCAAGGCACATATAATAGGCCATGTTTAGATCCCACCTCAAAATTTTTCACCCTATCACATCGAATAGGCTATGTTTAGATCCCACCTCAAAATTTTTCACCATATCTCATCAAACGCTTAAACACCTGCATATAGTATTAAATATAGGCTGAAAAAATAACTAATTATACATATTGCGACTAATTTGTGAGACAAATCTTTTAAGCCTAATTGCTCCATGATTTGACAATGTGGTACTACAGTAAACATTTACTAATAACGGATTAATTAGGCTTAATAAATTCGTCTCGCAGTTTACTGAAGTATTATGTAATTAGTTTTTTTATTAATGCCCGAATATCCCGTGCGACACAATATAAAATAACCGATGTGACACGCCAAAACTTTACGCCCCTGAGCTAAACACCCCCATATTGGCTATTGCCCGTTAGATTCGATATGAACGGTCCAGATCCAGGTGGAGGGAGGCAGGCAACGGTTCTGCCGAATAAGGAAAGCGGAGTGCGGAAAGACGCTTCTGCCATCGAATCGTCTGTGGCGCCCGCGAAGCAACGGAAGAGATGAGGAGATGACTCGGATGAGCGGAAGCTGCAGGGAGCGAGTCGTCGTCGTCGTCGTCACCGCGAGGCGCCGCGCCAACCTCTCATGTCCTCTCCTCGCTGCGCCGTCTCGCTCCCACCCACCGCCGCGGCGACCACCGCCACCAATGGCGGAGGCGGCGGGAGGAGGAACGCGCAGCCGGCAGCGGCGACGGCGGCGTCGCAGGTGAAGAAGCTGTGCAAGCAGGGGCGGCTGGACCACGCGCGGCGGCTGCTCCTCGAGGCGCTTCCCCGGCCGCCACCGACGCTGCTCTGCAACGCGCTCCTCATCGCCTACGCCGCCCGCGCGCTCCCGGAGGAGGCGCTCCGCCTCTACGCTCTCCTCAACCACGCCGCGCGCCCGCCGGTCCGCTCCGACCACTACACCTACTCCGCCGCGCTCACCGCCTGCGCACGCTCCCGCCGCCTCCGCCTCGGGAGGTCCGTCCACGCGCACATGCTCCGGCGCGCCCGCTCCCTCCCGGACACCGCCGTCCTCCGCAACTCCCTCCTCAACCTCTACGCCTCCAGCGTGCGGTACCGGGAGGCACGCGTCGACGTCGTCCGGAGGCTGTTCGACGCAATGCCTAAGAGGAACGTGGTTTCTTGGAACACTCTGTTCGGCTGGTACGTCAAGACCGGGCGTCCCCAGGAAGCCCTGGAGCTGTTTGTGCGCATGCTAGAAGATGGTTTCAGGCCCACGCCGGTCAGCTTCGTGAATATATTTCCGGCTGCTGTGGCTGACGATCCAAGCTGGCCATTCCAGCTCTACGGATTACTTGTGAAGTATGGGGTAGAGTATATCAACGATCTGTTTGTTGTGAGCTCAGCAATCGACATGTTCTCCGAATTTGGGGATGTGCAATCAGCTCGGAGGGTGTTTGATCGTGCTGCCAAGAAGAACACCGAGGTTTGGAACACCATGATCACTGGGTATGTACAGAATGGCCAGTTTTCTGAAGCCATTGATCTCTTCAGCAAAATCTTGGGATCCCGAGAGGTTCCATTGGATGTTGTGACCTTCTTATCGGCCCTCACAGCTGCCTCACAGTCACAGGATGTTAGCTTGGGTCAGCAGCTGCATGGCTATTTGATTAAAGGAATGCATAGGACATTGCCTGTAATACTCGGTAATGCACTTGTTGTGATGTACTCAAGATGTGGCAATGTCCAAACTGCCTTTGATCTCTTCGACCGGTTGCCAGAGAAGGACATTGTTACTTGGAATACCATGGTGACTGCTTTTATACAGAACGATTTTGACTTGGAAGGCTTGCTGCTCGTCTATGAGATGCAGAAATCAGGTTTTGCTGCTGATTCTGTGACATTGACTGCAGTTCTGTCAGCATCATCAAATACTGGAGACCTTCAGATCGGTAAACAAGCACATGGTTATCTTATCAGGCATGGTATCGAGGGTGAGGGCTTGGAGAGCTACCTAATAGACATGTATGCAAAATCTGGCCGTGTAGAAATGGCTCAGAGAGTGTTTGATAGCTTTAAAAATGCCAAGAGGGATGAAGTCACTTGGAATGCCATGATAGCGGGATACACACAGAGTGGACAGCCTGAAAAGGCAATCTTAGTATTCCGGGCAATGCTTGAGGCAGGTCTTGAACCTACTTCGGTGACACTTGCTTCGGTGCTACCTGCATGTGATCCTGTTGGAGGGGGCGTTTATTCTGGGAAGCAAATCCACTGTTTTGCTGTGCGCCGTTGTTTGGATACCAATGTCTTCGTAGGTACAGCTCTTATTGACATGTACTCTAAGTGTGGTGAGATCACTACAGCAGAAAATGTCTTTGGTGGCATGACGGGGAAGAGCACTGTCACCTATACGACAATGATATCTGGTCTTGGTCAGCATGGTTTCGGCAAAAAAGCGCTTGCTCTTTTCAACTCCATGCAAGAAAAGGGGTTGAAGCCTGATGCAGTGACCTTCTTGTCTGCGATTTCAGCATGTAATTACTCTGGACTCGTCGACGAAGGACTAGCTTTGTACAGGTCGATGGACTCATTTGGAATTTCGGCTACTCCTCAGCACCACTGCTGTGTTGCAGACTTGTTAGCTAAAGCTGGAAGGGTGGAGGAAGCATACGAGTTTATAGAGGGGCTGGGGGAGGAGGGCAACTTTGTTGCCATCTGGGGATCGCTGCTTGCATCCTGCAAAGCTCAGGGCAAGCAAGAGTTGGCAAAGTTGGTGACCAAGAAGCTGCTTGACATCGAGAAGCAGTACGGTCATGCAGGCTACAGCGTTTTGTTGTCACAGGTCCTTGCTGCTGAAAGTAACTGGAATAGTGCTGATAGTCTAAGAAAGGAGATGAGGGCAAGGGGATTGAAGAAAGAAGCAGGTTCTAGTTGGATTAAAGTCCAGAACGCAGCATTGGAACACAAGTTTATCGAAAAAGACCAAAATTATGTCGAAAATGAGCACATGTTCTCGATTCTGGATGGTGATGCCGACAGTACGGATAGACTTTAACATGTTTCAATACCTTTTGGCACGCAAGATTGCAGATATGAGATTCCTAATCCTATTGTGGTGATTACCTCACGCTGACAGACTAGGCTCCTGTTTTACCTGCAGTTTAACATGATTTATCTTCATTCAGAAATCAGAATTGATGCTCCTCATAGTAATACTTGACTGGATGGAAACTTGGAAAGACACCTAGCCCACAAACCTCATGCGGCGGCCACACGGTGAACTTGTGCTGCGAGACATCAATCTATGGATGAGGTTGATACCAATGATGTGCCAGATGAAGAGCAAGCTGCAATCTTGCAGGTGGCCAGGTTGTAACTTGTATTCAGTAGTACGCATATCTTGACAAGCACAGCGCCCTCCTTAGGGATTCTGGGTGAATTGTACAGCTACATTTGCTTATAATCGTCTAGAAATAGGTGAGTACTGTCATAGAACGAGCAACGTGATTAGGCAACGGGATTTTTTTTGGTTGTGAACGTACATACAATATCTTAAATGAAGATTATTCTCACATGATTACGGCCAATGCAAAGGAGGATTTTGCATTGGTTTTCTGTAATAATCATGTACTACATTTTTAAACTCGAGGTACGCTTCTCTTCAAAAGTTTCTTTAGCCATACTTTGTTGGAATGGTTAACATCAAGATATGCAATGTGAATGTGTAGTAGTTACTGCTGAATGTACAGTTCGAGAGTGAAGGATAGCACATTCACTAGACAAAACCAGTGGCAAACACCGAAAGCTCAGAGGTACACCAGTACACTTCAATTGAAATGAAAAAAAAAACCAACAAAGTAATCCATCAGTGAAGTATGATTATCATTAAATTCCATAACATCACCAATCTGAGGATCAACAATATCATACAGATGAAATTGGAAAAGGAAAAAAAACATCAGTGTAATAAATCAGGCAGCAGGATGACAAGCTGCATGCTTCGTTTGAGAATTTTAGTCAAAATTAGTCTGCTACAAGCTATAGAATTTGCAGGTGGATAATGAGCTACTGTGATACTTGATCCATTGGTTTGCTAAAATATCTATTGATTCACCTGACCCTTAGTGGGTGCACGACACTTTGTTGTGGTGTAGCAGGTAAAGTTCCTGGTTCTAGCTTTTGATCCCAGCTTGACCTTACTTACTCTGAGAATCACAAAACTGGCCATATTCGCAGTCGCAAAGACCCATCCTCACCTGTAATCACAACCCAGAAATAAAGGTGTAGGTAAGGCAAGGGGGCACTTAAGTAAAACTAGGAGGATGTTTCCAAACCCAACTAAAAAATGTTAGCATGATCAGTCAAAGACACCATATTCAATTGAAAACACCTTGAAAGTTGGAGGTGGACAAAAATAGGACAAACCTTTCGAAAAGTAAAGGAAACCCGTCGTGTATTTCTCTTGATGACTTGACCACCCACATCATCAATCTAAGAGAAAAGATCACATTTTAATTGTGTTTGTTTGGTATAAAATTTAAGGAAAGCATAGCAAAAAATGTATTACCAAGACTATTTGCCCAAAAAAACTAAAGGCATTAGTTACTTTCTGTGATAGGAAGAAGATTACTAAATAGTTGAACTATTGTGTGCAATTCTGTAATCAGAGCAGAAGAAAAATATATTGACTTAAACATCGCATACTTTATGGTGTGGTATATAGTGATGCCAAGCATATCGGCCTTCTCCAGACATCAGTAACATCGATCGAGGAGGTAGAAAAACAGCTTTTCTAATGCACTGTGGCTCTTCAATGCTATCTTTATCAGTTCCACTGACCATACTTGGAGCACGCCAACTGCCTTTAGGGTATTTTCTGAACTCCATAATGCATGGTCCAGCCAAAGAAAGACTAAAAATCATTTCTTCGAATGCTGAATGTGTGTCTATATGTGGTGACAAACCTACCCCACAGGGATATTCATTCACCTGTAAGCATACAGAGGTTAATTCTAACATTGATTTTAAGACATAACGCTGTTACAAACGGACAGCTAAGAACACAGATCCATCATTGACCTTGGACCAAACTAAGATCATGAAACACATTGAATGGAAACCAAAACAGAAACTATTTTTACAAACTTACTGTCAATTGATCAACCAGCTTGCTAGTACATTTATTTGCACCAGGAAATGACATGATCTTATCAATAATCTTTGAAACAAAAGGTGGCAATTCACCTAAGAACTGCTTTGAGTCAACATTCCTTGTCTGCACAAGCCAATCAAACCTTTATTGCGGAGCAGTCGTTACAATAGAAAGCAGAGATATCTTTCAGTGCAAGATATGATGATAAAATGAAACTTGTTCTGAAGAAGCTACAAAGTACTAAAGTTTGTCTATATCACGATCACACAAACCATTCCTATGCATCTGTGCAGTCTGGGATACTTACAATATCAAACTTACTTCATACAGAAACTCGAAACCGTAATGCTGAACTCGTCTTTTCGCCAAACTTTTCCACGGTCTATTATCCACAGCGGCAAGAAGTTCCTGCAGAAGAAGCACAGATGCACCACTGTCAAATCTCAACACGAATGTAGAAGGTCATATCATCTCGCTTGATCAAAGATAAGCAGCTCGGAGGACTTCTAAATCTGAAACCACCCACTTGTTCCTCAGCGGCCGTCACGAAATCTGGTACCAAGTAAATCCCCGGGACGCCCAGCTCCGACGCCGAGGTGGCCACCGGAAGCGAGCCCCCAACCGGAGCCTTCGGCTTGGCGGGCACGGAGTATCGTATGTGCAGCACGCGGCCAGCGAGGCCGGCGCAAGGGCGCCCATGGAGCGCGGACATCGCGGCCTCCGCGGCGGCGGGCTCGCGGAACCGGACGATGACGCGGACGCCGCTGCCGTCGGCGCCGTGGACCCCCGCGACCTCCCCGAAGGCGGCGAAGGCCGCGCGGATGTCGTCGTGGGTCAGCCCCACCGCCGGGCCGCAGTTGGCCACGTACAGGGCCGCGCTGGGAGCGGGAGCGGCGCCCTCGCCGAGCGGCGGCGGCGGCGGCGGGCGGGTGTACCCGGAGCCCGCCATCTCTGCTCGCCGTAGTCGCTCGCAGCGGCCGGAGACACTGAGCAAGAGGAACGGCGGAGAGCGCGGGAATCACCGGAGGAGGAGGAAATCAACGATCAGATTCGGAGGAGGAGACTTCTGGCGCGGCCGCGTGAGGCGAGAGGATTAGCGGCGGCACCGGCGAAGGAGGTTGCAAGGTACTAAGGTCGAGGGGACGTTGGCAGACTGGGAGCCGCATGGAAAAAAGCCCACTACTCCTTTGTCGAGGTCTTTTCCGGCCCAGCCCACTAAATTTGAGGGGGGTACTTTGTTATTCTTCAGGCGTCCATAGCTAAAATGCACATGATCACATTGAGATCCTAGATATTCAAACTTAAGTTCAGACTTATATTTGCATAATTGCATCTTCCTAGAAAAATAAGTTACGATGAAGAAAAATAATAATAATAAAACATCTAAAGGTCAGATTTAAAATTAAAATTTTGTTTACGTCTTATAGACTGAAGAGCAAACGATCAAGCCAGATCATAGTTTATTTTTCAAGTCGCTAAAACACATATGTAAAAGTTTTCCCTATAAAATTTATTTTTCTAATAAGCATTATGACTTTATAATCAGCCAGCTGCAGGCGTTTGATAATGAGGCTGAAGCGTAAGAACGGATAAGCTGCATGCGTGATAATGGGGGGCTGAAGCGTAAGAACGGATAGATCTGGCTGTCCTAGCTGCTGGGTAACTAACTGATACTGCTGGGTACTAAATTTCTGGAGAAGTATGGGTAACGGGCACAACAGATGCTGTAATTATCGATCGCATTATGCCTTCATATAATTGTGAGTACGACAAAGGACCACCCCCAATGGAAGAATGCAAGTGCAGCAACACTGCAAAAGAATACTCAGACGGGCTGAGGCAACGCAACGCAACTCCCAGTTTGAAACTACAAATAATTCATGTCGCCAGCAATGAATCGCACTGCTCCACAATTCCGCGCTAGAAGATGCTCCCGTAATCCTTTCTTGGAAGAGATGAAGGTAGCCCAGTTGTGGTAAATGGATGCCCACTCGTTCCTCCTGCAGGTTAGGGTGTCAAGAAACTTGCTTCTCCAAAATTTAGTCGATATAAGTAGAAAAGGAACAGATCGTTTACCCCAGGGCGTTCCATCGGCCATGGGCCATGCAGGTTGCCTGTTGTGGTGACTCCCTCTAGGATGATTATGAGTTGAAGTTGCCTGGTTGTATCGATGCTGAATATATGGTTGCCCATGCCGAATTTGGGGATTTTGTTGGGGATGATTTACAGGGTTATAGCCACCATAGTTAACAGGAACAGCAGAATGAGTATTCCCTCCAAGCGACCCACGAGAAGATGCGTGAAAAAAATGGTCTGCTCTGTAACTGAAAAAAGAAAAAGGGATAATTGGTAGTCATTACTTATTAGTAAACAAAATACCTTTATAAAGAATATGGCTGAGTTAATTTTTGACTCCTCCCATTTATCCCAAAATAAGTTCATTTTTTAAGTAACCATTGCATCAGAATTTGTGAAAGTAAAGGATAAATGTATTAGGGGTAGATAAAGTGGGGAGTGATTGCATTGGGATTTGGGATTTGATAAATTGAGGGTGTTCTAGTTTTTTTTTTTTTTGGTTTTGCAATGATATACTGTGGGATGGGTGAAAAATTAACTTTTTTTGGGACGGAGGGAGCAACTATAATTGAAACTTGAAAGACTCTTTAGGAGCAAAGCTCAAAATAATGTCTTGTGAATAAAATAAGGGTGATAAATTTTATGGTTAGGCTCCAGCCTTTGAGAAAAAAAAATTAAGCCTTAACAGATGTAGAACATTGAATACCTTTCGCCTGCTGGTAAAGGGTTCGAGCCCATGAAAATGTGGCTTTGGACATTTGCTGTTCTGGCGGATCCACTTGTTGGATTAGCTGAATCCCCGAGGTGAAGACTGCTGCTTAAATCAGCTGACAGTGAATTGTCTTCATGCAATAGTGACTCATCACTGCAAGGTAGAACAGCATAAACATTGATCTTCATACTACCTTTACAAGAAGCAATTGAATATGCATTTCCTCACCTAAAATAAGGGTCCCAATAAGCATTGTCAAGTGTGGATGCCGCTGATGAATCAGATAAATTATCAAGAGTTTGCAGACGAGGAGCAAAGTGTGAATGAAATGTTTGAGAAGGCCCATGACTAGAAGAAGCCTCCAAGGAAAAACTACCGGAACCAATTTGCGGTCTCCAACTAGAATAACCAGAACTTGGTATTGAATTCTGGGAGTAGACAGGATGTCCTCGAACATTGGCATCAGAATGACTAAAACCGACACCATCTCCATGACGTCCTTGTCCATGCTGAGATGGATATTCATGAGGTGGCATTGGCAAACCCCTCCTCTTGCTGTAACTGGATGGAGTTTTTCCTAATGGGGATCCATGAATGCCTCCACTTGCAGGTGAACCAGAACCATGCATCCCAGTGGAATTAGATGGGATTTGCATTTGGTAGTTAGGTGGGGTAAATTGTGATGGACTGGCACCAAGAGACATAGGCCCCGTACTCCCAGGGCTCAAGCGAATCCCTCTATCATGTGAGAAACGGGGTCGCAATCTTACGTCTGGACTAGACTCAATTTGTTTAAAACCAGGACCTAATGGTGAGTAATACATGTTGACAGCATTGCCATCACCAAAGCTTCCATAGCTGCTGGCATGACCAGCATTACCAACATAGCTACCATGGCTACCAAAGCTTCCATAACTACTCCCATAAGAATAAGGTATTTTTGGAGGATAGGGATTATTGGGTGGTAGAGACCTATTAACACTTCCAACCTACAAAATTTTAGAATATAGGCATGTCCGTTAGAGTATGGATAAAAAAAATGCCATGAAAATAACTCAGTAGCAGCCCGAGAGAGTAGTTATCAGTTATCACCTGAGGAGATAGGCCTGCGGCTAGCCAGTGTCCTCCTCCAGGATTGTGTTCAACTGCGGCAGCACGACCAATTGGCTACACCACAAATTCAACACAGAATAGATTTAAGAAAAAAGAGCCACGTGAACACACAATTAATGCCCCAATTAACATAAGTATATAACAATTTTTCATCAGAGCCTAGAAAGCTTTATTGTAAATCACACCAAGTAATGCACCACATCAAATGCATGCACGAAAGAAACTGTCATCATCTAAAATATTTATTGTAAAGACGAATCAGAAAGTGTAGCAACTGGTTAGGTTGATAGTCAGCACTCTATATCAGTTTATAACAGTAATGTCTGTGGCTCTTTATCCTAAACTAGGAATATGCCACAGAAAGCAAGTAGTAGCAATGCAAACTTATTTGATTATGATAACAAATATGCCAGTCATATGTTATTCCTAACTAAGATATAATTTAACTCCCACATAGAAGAATATCATCATTAAAGATATCAATATTTTCAATCAAATATGAGACCTAAGCTTGAGATGAGACCATACTCACAATTTTGGGAGTCTCAGGTATGGGTTCATATGGACCAGTGAAAGGTTCGCCTGTTATAAATGGATGACATGAAGCCTGAAATAAGATTTAATAACAATCAAGTCCTTCCGCATGCATATGGATTCCTTGGAATGAAAAATATGCAAGAATACAGAATAAATTGTGTTCATAGGTGCAAGCTATCCAATTTTATTGGTACTGTTAGATGAAAGATTCACCAGCTTAACCTGAGCATAAAAATAGTTAAATATGAAAATGAAAAAATGCTCCTTATACTTTTACAGAAATGTGAATGCAATATAACCATACTACGTCGCACATACCTGCAATGGCGACCATCGCTCATTGGGATCAAATTTCAGAAGCCCCTTTAGGAAATCAACCAGTATCACCCGCTCTGCCTTTTCTGTCTCTGAATCAAAATGCAAGACCTGAGAACATATATCAAACTTCCAAGCTTTATTCTAACAGCTCTAATTTGCAGATTCAGGAGAGCCATACAATAATAACTAATGAGAATTTTATAAAACATTAAGCCCAATTTCATATTCCATATCGATCATTAAACCTGTGCAAAAAGGCATCCGGTTTAGCTCGGTTTGGAGTGAGTAGTTTTATTTCCTTGATTCCTGTAGGAACACATACTTTCCTTTCTTTTTCATTTCTAGGAGAATACCTTATTGTAATAGTTATCCTTGATTGCACAACTCAAGACAACAGCACATCATTTTTCAGAGAGAAAAAAGTACACAGGAATATAATATGGTCTAATTGAAACAATGTAATTACAGGTGCAAGAATCAAAATAAAGAGTGCACATGATAGTGGTGCAAGTCAGAAAAATCAAAGAGAAATCACAAAAAACAAAGAAAACAAACCTGTCAGTTCTGAATTTTTCCAAGGGTAACTGCATATGAGTTGGTCAAGCCTGAGTTGTGGGAAGTACCATTTCACTACCTTTGGCTTTTCAGACTCCCTCTGTATTTGGCATAGATAGTAAGATAGTGCTTATGATGGAATTAAGAAAAATGATCATGATTCTATAAATGAAATTACAAGCTTACCACTTCAATCTCCTCTTCAGTTAACAATCTGTAAGAACTGCCAATACCATCATGCACTTCGTTACCACGATAAATACTTCCAACATGTTTAAAAAACTTTGCTGAGTTCTTAGCTTCCCTTAGCATGTAATCTGGTGGTTGACCCCTACAGAAATTGAATTAAGGAAAATAAAATTACATTAGTAAAAGCATTATAATATGATGAACTCCAATATAACAGTATTTCTAGAAAGAGATCTAAATGCATGGACCAACAACATTGCACTAAGAAAAATGCATATGCTCTACGAAGCATAAATGACTGCATGCCAAACAGCAGAGCTAGAAGAGAATTACAGGTAAAGCCCTTACCCAAGAATTTTTACCATGCGCTGGAGCACATCATATTCTGATGCTCCGGGAAATAAGGGAAGGCCTAAAAATAGTTCAGCAACTATGCAGCCAAATGACCACATGTCAATTGCAGTATTATAACTGTAAACAGTTAAGGTTCTAGCAAGTCACTCGGAAAGACCAGAGCAATGGTACTTCACTGAAGGAAAATTCATTACTCATTCGATAGATATGAAACAGCATACCAGGAAATGCTGATTAAGACGCTAATGGGTAATGAAATGAAACAAAATTGAATAGATATATAGGATACGGATAGCCAAGGATAACTTCTGGAGATCTGTAATAGCGGCTCTAGCAAAAAGGAAGGAAAGAATTGAAGTCAGACTCTCAATTAACTGATATTATTAAATAAGCATTTTAGAAATGAAGTGTGCTAAGTTCCAGAAAGAAAACCTGAATGTATGAGTATACTGTTTTACCCTCCAAGCATGCTGAACCAAAATCAATCACTTTCACGGCTGCATCTGTTGTAACACTGTAAAAATTCAAGGTGCAACTGTCAAGCTACAGCTTGCTTCGTCCAAATAAACTAAACTTATGCAGAATCCAATGCAATTTACCTCGGAGTTAACAGGATATTTTCAGGCTTCAGGTCACAGTGAATTATTCTAGCGCCTCTCATCACAACCATGGCATCCAATATCTGAAAACATAAAACAGAAATATCAGGCAACAAGTATTAATTATATATATAATAAGTAATACAGATAGACATCTCACCTGTTTTGAGAAGGCGCGAACAAATTTCATTTTCAGTCCTCTGAAGCTGTTCCTTTTCAAGAGCTCATACCTAAAATATTGGAGTTTATAATGCAGTTTGAGGGGGTGGGGGAGAAAATAATGGATGAACATAGTAGCAAAAGAAATTCTAAAGTTAACTTACAGGTTTTGACCAAGCATTTCAAATGCTATACACAGGTGATTTTGGAATAGGAGATAGTCAAGCATACGGACAATGTTATACTGGTCATCAGGATCATGTGTTTGATTCAACTGCAAGACCACCCATAATTGTAACGGTGAGTAATGAACTTATTGCAGATAGAAAGCACAATAAAGTTCCCGATGTACTACCATACCGCTCTCAATAATGAAACCTCCACGAGCGCTTGATGGTAAAATGCAGGCTGGTTTTTAATAACCTTCACAGCAACATAATCATTGGTTTCAGTGTCCAAGCATTTGACAACCTGACCGAACGTTCCTTGGCCAAGCATTTCCTTGACTACGAACCTGAGCACCACAATAAAGAAAAAACGAACATATAATTCAATGGGATGCTAAACAATGTTCAACATTCCTGGGATTTAGAACAGGGGATGTCAAAGGAAAGACAAACAGGACAGGATTCTTTAACTACTTCAAAATTTGATTGTTTGTTATACAGTCCTGATCCCCCATCCACCAGTACTATCCTTATGATATCAAACAAACGCTTTGCCATGATGCTGAATTAACTCCCATACGAGAAGGGCAGTGGAGACTAGAGAGGTTATCAGCGCTTTTAATTTTGTTTAAAGGGTTACAGTAGAAATTTGGAGGCTTGAAGGAAGTGCAAAAGACAAAATTTAGATTCCTCATCACTCGGTACTAGGAACCTAGATGATTTCTTCCCTTGTGGTATGAAGTAAAAACTCTGGCATACCATGGCTATCTGCACGATACTCCTATATTGGCATGATTGGCAATGGGATAAAATATCATGAAAGCTTGAAGAGCATTTAAGGTATATTCAACCACTACCAGTTCATATAGTGACTTCTCAATGTGTGGAATTTTATTCAGTATCATTATTACAGTTTTCAACTCATGAATTTGTGTATTGTTGATACTTGAATTAATAATCTAGACCAATCAACCTATAATTTAATGGTGCATAGTGCTCTCCAAAACTGGACAAAAAGATGAAGCAAATCAAACACAACCGAAGTAGCATCAATTCTGAGAAAAGTTAAACCTCCGATTTGATGTCCTGTTGACCAATTCCAAGTTGACATACAATATGAGGTCCCAATTCGCATTATCAAGTCCATCATTATGAGCTGGGGTTGAAGGATTCGTCAGAAAGATCTTTGGGTTTAGTGACTCTGAGTACTTAAACGCAGGGTTGCATCGTACAAATGTTTGAATGATGTCTGCCGTTAGTCTTGCAACAAACTGCATAGCAAAGGGGATTCAGCTTACCATGGTACGACAAAACATACAGGGTTTGAGGTGCATACCATAGTCATACGAAAAAGAAAATGTAACAAATGAATGATAGAATAAGTCTTAAATGGAATATATCAAATCAATAATAATAAGAACGGTGGTACGTGTTAGTGTTATTCAATGTTGGAATGGTTCGTATGCTTAACAAAACACTTGTTAGGGGAAGAGCTGAAGAGACAAAAGGTGAATACCGAGTCATACAGAACATTCTTAGTATACACAAACTAACACAACTACTGAAGATCAGTACGGTAATGGCATTCTCTCCTCGATGTATGAACAGGCAGGGCAGGAAAAATGTGTGGTGACAGCAACTAATATGACTTAACTAGAATTCTAACGATAAAGAATCTAGAGCTTTCAGTTGGACATCCGCGCAGAGAACCGTATCCAGCTACTTCAGTGCACTAATTCCCTACATTTCTGAGTAACCTCATTATCCGAACGGATCATTACCATAGCAAGGAAGGAGGAGAATGAGACGTACCGGTTTCCTCTTGACGCCGTGAAGATTGCTTATACGGGTCGCAACCCCATTGCCCGAGGACGAGGGGGAGGGGAGGGACGCCTCCGGCGACCGCCCCGAATCCCCAGCACCAGCGAGACGTCGGAACACCGTGCCCACGCTAGGCTCCCACGGCGGCGCCGCCGCCGCCTTCTCCTCCATGTCCGCCAGCTATTCGGCAGCTCTTACAGTTGCTCGGGGAGATCTCCTACCGCCCGCCGACCACCACCCACCAGCAACTCCGAACCCAACCCCAGTCGCAACGATCACACCATCCGCGGGAGCAGCCGAGCAGCCGCCGGAGGAATCCAGCTCCATCCTATACGGCGGCGGCGGCGGCCATCCCCGACGCTCCGATCCCCCGGCTTAGCGCGACGGCGATGGTCAATCCGCGAGGGTGGAGAGGCAGCTAAATCCGCACTGGAGCACAGATTCCAGCCGATGGATGGCTGGACCAGATAGGGTTTATTGCCTACACGAACGAGAAAATTTGGGGATAAACACCAACACAGAGCGGTTTGGACTCCGATGCTCGGATTCCGAATTCCGCGGTGGCGCCACCGAAATTAGGGATTTGGGATGGGATTCGGGGGGGACGAAGGAGGCGACGCGGATCAAAATCCCAGCCCAATCCCCTCCCCGATTTCCTCGATTTCTCGCCGCCGTTTCCTCCTCCGTTTTTCCTCCGCCTATATTTCTCACCCTTTTCTCTCTCCCTCCCCCTCTCTTTCCTACTACTAGGAAATGATATACTTCTAGATTCAATTACTTGTTAATGGAATAATAAATGGTGTGATAATACGAAACAAATATTTTTTTCCCCAGCTGACTACGCCGTTGCTCTGCTGCACCTGCACCCCATGTGTCCGGCTTCCATGTGGGCCCATAGAATCTGCTGTCAGGGCGGCGAAGGGATCGGACGGCCGGGAGCGCGTGCGTGGTTGGGAGCGGACGGCTGGATGCGCCGGGCGTGGGGGTCACGTGACCGAGGATGCGTGGCGTCCATGCCCCACGCGGCGTTACGTGGAACCCACGTGTCAATGGCTTGCGCCGCTGGGGGAATCCCACCACTCCGGCTCTCTCTCGCGCGCGCGCCTGTCCCTCCCCACTTTGCACTTGTTCCAGGAAACGGTCCAGGTGATGAGATGCATCCGCACGAAATGACGAGGAGATGTCTTGAGAATGATGATTACTAGGGGTACCCCACTTTGTATTGTTCGTCCGCCGTTCACTAATTGCCGATTTTAATCGTCGTCGTCCCAAATTGTTTTCTGTTCACTTAATCCAAACGAACGGAGAGATTTATAAGAGAGATTAAATAAAATCTTATGAAAATCATGTAATTTTTTGTACAGTGTGTTCCGTCAACATGCATAACTGGTGGCGTACAGGCAATGTGTCGCAGCAGATATTATTGCAGGCTTGCGTGTAGAACGTTTCTCATTTATCGAGTTAACAGCTGTAGCTATATGGTGTTATTAGCCTGTTTGATGAGGTCAACGGAACGAATGGAAGGAACGTGCCCGGTCGTGTAAACTGGCAGAAATGATTAGCACGGTATTTGCCCCTGGCCTAAACTCGGTGTAGGACTGTAGGTACAGAATCACCTCCTTTGTTGGTTCAGTCGTTCAGAGCACATACAATGGCATACTCCCTCCGTCCCATATTAATTACAACCATAAGTTTCCACGCCTAACTTTAGTCACCTGTCTTATTTGAAAACTTGTTGTAATTAGTACTTTTGTTGTTATGAGATAATAAAATATGAATAGTATTTTATGCGTGACTTATGTTTCTATTTTTTTTCAAGAATTTTTAAAATAAGACGGACGATCAAAGTTGGGCACGGAAACTCATGGCTGCACTTAAAATGGGACGAAGGGAGTACTATAAACCAACTATAAATACATATCGAGAAGATAAAAGATGAGAGATAATAGCAGCGGGCTATAAATTTATAGCTAGCTGCAGCACGGACTCCGAGACACAATGTATATATGACAGGTGAGACCATGTATTAATAGTGTAGTATATGTTTATAGATAACTATGGTATGAATTTACTATTAAATCGACTATATATGATTTTGAGCTAATAGTTGACTATGCTATTAAACTTGCTCTTAGCCTCTTGGTTGATTTTTATACTCCAACCTTCCCAAAATGTAACGAAAATTGATTGTATATGATATCATAATACTACAAATCTTGGCAATGAGTTTATCCCCTTCAAAATATTAGGATAGATTTTTGGAACAAAAAAATACAATCGAAACTTACAATTTGTAGTTTCGGGTACGGTTAGCAGTCCATATGCATCATTTTTGAAAACACTAATATTCCCTCCGTTCAAAAAAAACTAATCAACCGGATGTGACATAATATATGTTTAGATTCTCCGATGTGATCTAGATTCGATTCTTTTTTATGGGACGGAGGGAGAAGTTGTAAGGGGTTTCTTGCTTCATTAATTACTGTTTACTAATTATAGCCGTAGCTAAAATGATCATATCATAAAATTGATTTTTTTATAATTGGAAATACTGAAAATAAATAAATAAATAATCACAATAATCACTTACCTGCTGATGCATTTTTAATAGAACTTAATACATTTATCTCTTAAAGCTCGTGTTAAAAGGAACTTCACCATGGTACGAGTAAGGGATGTGTACATAATGGCGTGTGCATAAGGGTGAAAATAGGTCAGGTTCGGTCGGATATCACCCTTCTCATATCCTAACCTACATTTTATAATCGGAATCGGGTCGTACACGAATAATGCCGAATACAGATACAAACTCAGATAATGTCAGGCAAAAATACGGAATGAATATGTACCAAAATAGATACGTACACTATCTGTTACAAATATTTATTCGGATATTAAGTCGACACAACAATCTTATATATCACATAGACAAACCATTTAACAATTATCCATAATATGATTATATTAGGCCATTAGGACCTTAGGAAATAAATAGGGTGCAATACATCATAGTAGAACCAATACATAGTAAAAAAAATACCTCACAAAAACATAATACGGGTAATATCCATATAATTATCCAGATAATACCCGGATTTTTTACCGGATAATCCATATCTGTCGGGTACTATGTTCCCGAACCCGATCTCATATCCGCCAAAAAACACCCGTATTCGGACCCCGATATCCGTGAGAAATCCCAAGCACCCAAATTTTTGACCCAAATTTATCCTGAAATAATGTGACCGGACAGGCGGGCGGGAAATACCCGCCTCGTTTTCACCCCTACGTGTGCGTGTAAAAGAAAATCTCCAAAGCCAAATCATTAATCGCAAGCTCATCTTCAACCTTACCTCACTGGAGTCCAACCAAGTAGTTTCAACTTTATCAAAAAGGCAGTGGAGTGGACTAAAGTGATATTACACAATGAACTAGGGAGGTTAAGCGAAGTTTATACTGTTCCACAACTTCACTCCAAACCCAACTTTTATAATTAAACTAGATGACACTCGCGTTTTGTTGCGTAATATATGGATGGAAACGTGGATGAATTTTATGTTGAAATATAATGAAAATGATATAAGCAACGATGATTTAACATGCTCGCATGTTATAGTTCGTAGACGATGTAGTGTAGTTGCATTTAAGTTTTAGTATGTACTAAAAATTATCATACTTGCATGATAATCTTTTTTGGTGTTTAGTGGGTTGAAGTGGCATTGCTTGCATGTTAACTAATAGTTACTACACTTGCAAGTTAAGTTTTAGTTTTTGAGTGGGTCGTAAATGAAAGGATTACTTAAGCCTAGAAGAGGTGAATATGCAATTTAAAACGAAACACGGAAGCTAAAAATATACCAGATCAGATTATCTGATAGCTGATTGAACAGTCCTACATAAATCGGATTGTCTGAACTGGGATTGAACTATCTGACCTGCAAGATGGACAACAAACAGCAAGGGTATGCACTTTCACTTTCAGTAACTTTTTAGAAAAAAGTATAGAATTAGGGGTTGTTTGGTTTACAGGGACTTATTCCAAGTCCCTGTCACATTGAATGTTTAGACACTAATTTGAAGTATTAAATATGTACTAATTACAAAACCCATTCCATAAGCTTGGACTAATTCGCGAGACGAATTTTTTGAGTCTAATTACGCTATGATTTTGACAATGTGATGCTACAGTAAACTTTTGATAATTATAGATTAATTAGGCTTAAAAAAATCGTCTCGCGGATTAGCTCTTATTTATGAAATTAGTTTTTTTATTAGTCTATGTTTAATACTCTAAATTAGCGTCCAAACATCCGATGTGACATGGGCTAAGGCCCTCTTTGTTTAGGCTTATAAGCCAACTTATAAGTCGAAAAGTCTAAGCCTAAACAAATAAGCGGCTTTTTTGTTTGGCTTTTCTGAAACCATAAGCCACTCTAACACTATTAAGCCAAAAGCTAAGTTAGAGAAGTTTTTTTGGCTTATATAAGGTAGATGCATGACTCCACCATTAAACTTAGGACATTAAATCCACCGACTTATAAATCATATAAGCCAATAAGTTGACTTAAAAGTCTAAGCCAATAAGTCTAAGCCTAAACAAAGAGGACCTAAAAAGTTTTAGCCTCATCTAAACACCCTCTTAAGAGCTGGAATCCTTAAAAAAAAAAAAAAGCCCTAATCCACGCTATCACCATCTCGGATTCTCGATCGAGCCACCCAGCTTTCTGGGCATAGAAGCCCAGACCATTCACTAGGCCTCTAATATCGGCCTTCGTCCCCAGGCCTCTATGGGCTTAATCCTGGGCCCAACTCGCCAATGTAAAGCCTTCTTTCTCGCCGTCGGCGTCAGTGTCGCCTCGCCTCGCCTCGCATGGCCACTCGAAGCTTTCCCCGTCCCGGTCCCTAGCAGAGAAGAGCTTCCGCTCCCGCATGCGGCATCTGCCTCTGCCCCCAGCAGCAGCAGCAGCAGCCGCCGCGCCGCGCGAAGCATCTCCTCCTCCTCCTCCTCCTCCCGCCGCGCGAGCGCTGAGCCCTACTGCTGTCGCCTTTGCCCAGATCCCGTCGGTGGCCATGGCGGCGAGGGCGCAGGCGTGGCTGTTCGCGGCCGCGCTGGTCATCTTCCACGGCTCCGAGTACGTCCTCGCCGCGGCCTTCCACGGCCGCCGCAACGTCACCGCCACATGTGAGTGAGACGCCCCCCCGCTAACCCTGTTTTCCTCGCTGCTTTGGGTTGGGATCGTCAGATATAGAGAAAAGTTTACTGAAGGATGTGTCCTTGTAGTTGTGTGGATTCCAGCCGCTCTATTCGGTAATTGAAGCGAATGTATTCGTTCAGACTGGTGAGGAAATGCCTCGTGGGAACTGATTCGAATAAAATTGTCTTTGGTCTGGTGCTGCTTGAACGCATGCGATTGGGATTTGCGTTGAGAATTATGTGAGGCACTGCAGATGATTCTATAGTTTTGACATTCGCTCATGGGTTGCTGGCAGAGTGCTTGTTTTGACGTATTGCATAGTTAAATTCTTCACTTAATTTACTTGTCTTAGTTATGTTCCACTCGGTGTTGATCTGATAAGTAGCCAGAGTACTGTATACATTTTTGCACTCAATTGCTTATGCCGTCCGATATGTTGCAGTTATAGTAACCCTCTTTTACGTTTAACAGAAACAAGCCTCCAAATCATGTGCTATCTGCTAAATCTAGAACACACACACGCGCGCGGATGACGATGGGTTGATTTAAAGTAGAGGTAGAGCACCTAAATCAGAAGCTCTAAATGGATGAAGTAATTACTTCCAAGTTGTTATAAATGTCAATTTTAGAGTTTGAATTAGGTCCAAAATAGCTATCCTCGCTTAGCTGGGATTACGCTGTTTTTTCCCGCCAAAACAAGGACCAAAAATTGTGTTTTGTGAAACAAAATATAATACACCAAAGATCATGGAATAAAAGGAGATGTGATTGGATTGTCACAATGCATCACAATAAAAAAAATCAGAACCATTGTTTAGAACTGGGTGTATAAGATTTTTTTCCTCTTATTGTTTACTTACTTACCTTTTAAATTGGATTTACGCAGCCTAATTTTACTGCATGCCTGTGTTGTGATTTAATAAAAGTACTTCTCATGCAGCACTTCTTATCAGCAAGCAGTATGTTTTGGCAATGAGTTTTGCAATGTTGGAACACCTGACAGAAGCTCTTCTCTTCCCTGAATTGAAGGAGTATTGGTTTGTCAGTTATGTTGGTTTAGTAATGGTGATTATTGGTGAAGTTATTCGTAAACTTGCTGTGGTGACAGCTGGGCGTTCCTTTACGCATGTTATAAGAATTCACTATGAAGACCAACATAAGCTGATTACTCATGGGGTGTATAGGTAACATCCTATTTATTTGTTTTGTATGAGGCTGTTTATAGTTCCTGATACATAATCAAAATTCTTTCCACTAATTTTCGTGCGTATTAGTTTTTTCCCTCTTGTGCATTAGCATGATATAATTCTTCAGGGCCAATCAATAATTTATGTTGCTGATATCAATGCTTAAATTTACAGGCTTATGCGTCATCCTGGGTATTCTGGCTTTCTTATATGGGCAGTAGGAACCCAGGTTATGTTGTGTAATCCATTATCCACAGTTGCATTCACATTGGTGCTGTGGCGATTCTTTTCAAAACGGATACCGTATCCTTATAAAAGAACATTTCTTTATTCTTTGTGTTGTTTTGGGCCACCCATTTTGTAGATGTACCCATGATAAGTATACCTTTTCTTAAAAAGAAGAGAGTAAGCTACGAACTCTGACGATTTAGCTCTAGAGGAAGATTTCCTACATGATAGCTCTAGCTCTACCACCGTGTGTAGTCCATTAAAGGGAATGCCAGTTGCATGTACAAAGTCTGTTGATGCCTATTTTTTTCAATGTTTCATCACCCACTAAATAAGAACATATTCATAAAAGAGTTCGTATTACTAGGTTTCATGCTTTATTTTTCTTGTGATTCCTTCACTCAAGACCAGGTATGAAGAATTTTTCTTAAGGCAGTTCTTTGGTCGTGAATACGAAGAATACGCACAGAAAGTGCACTCAGGATTACCTTTTATAGAATGAAAGTTTCAAACTTACAAAGTATGTTTTCAGGTCCTTGCCTCCTAAGTTTCATTTTGTATCGTATACTTCATATTATCAGGTTGAACAGATATATTTCTTTAGTTAACCAACCATGAGGATTTGTCACTTAATATTGGTGGATACCGTCTTTATCATTAGTGTAATAAAAGTAAAATGTTTAAGCCTTTAGTCTTTCTTTAAAGGCAATAATACAAGTGCCTTTTAGTACTTTGAAGGAAATCTTGTGTTCGTACTTTGTATACATTAAATTTACGCTGCTACCTTTTCACCTGTTTGAATATAATGTTAAGTCTGTCAGCACATTTGTTGAGTGACAATCAGTATTTTAAATAACTAGCTTTTGGAAATGGCATGATTACCATTTCAATAAACATACATTACCATTTGCTGTTGGGTTCACTAGCAAAACAGGCTCTTTGGCCAAATTTTTTTTAACGTATACGGACACACATTTGAAGTATTAAACGTAGACTAATAACAAAACAAATTACGGATTCTGCCTATAAACTGCGAGACGAATCTATTAAGCCTAATTGATCCGTCATTAGCAAATGTTTACTGTAGTACCACATTGTCAAACCATGGCGTAATTAGACTCAAAAGATTCGTCTCACAATTTACATGCAAACCATGCAATTGGTTTTTTTTTGGTCCACATTTAATGCTCCATGCATGTGTCCAAATATTTGATGTGACGGAATTTTTGGAAGTTTGAAGGGAACTAAACACGGCCTTTGAACTTTTTTTCCTCTACTAGGAGACATTGGAAACTGCTAATGCTGTTCTTTTTTGGGTACAGGTGTGCTTACCTCCCGCTGGCATCATCATTGATGTGCCAGAGTACAGGACTAAACAACATGCAATGAGAAGATAACAAACTAGCCATATGGATTGCATACAATACAAGACAAGTCTTATTTTTGTAATCTGGGTTCAAACGGATGAATTATTTCCTCAGCTCATCAATGTGCAAATGTGACAATTGTTGCGCTGGTCATTTGGTGTGAAAAAAAGAAAAAGCTAAAGCCCCTCGTTACAGATAAGATTTGTTAAGCCATGCCATTCATTCGATTTGAAGAGGAATGGCTCCTGTGTGGTGTTGATTGTCTCCTGTAGTTTTGTTGCGTCAAAGTTTTTCCATAGCAAATGATGTGTAACATTCCAGGTGGAACTCCTTTATTTGTTCCATGAAATCTGAAAAGCATTTGGACATGCTGCAGTTTTCTCCCTGGGGGCACAGTTAAGCTCGTGATTCTATTGTCGGTTTATTCTCAGCCTGCCATTTTCGAATCTCTGGAATATGAACAATCTGGGAAGATGCCATATGTCCTGCCGATAGAAACTCCTTGAAGTTACTCGATGGTACAGTATGTCGAATCCTATTCGCCGAAGCGATAATGATTCGGATTTTCGACCCGAGAACTTATTGGGTGCTCAAGAGTCAAGTGGATGGTATTAGTATCAGCCCGATCCAGTGGTTTGTTCAACGGTCAAGTATGCTTTGACGTTTCAATTTTAAATTATGCCGCCCATTTTAGTTGAGCAACTTGAGTAATTGAGTTCCATTTCCATCCGACCTTGATCAGGCAGCCTCTAATCCATCGCCATGCGGCTCAGGATATGTTTGATAGGGATTAGGGGATGGTTTTATTTATTCCGTGCATGAAAATGACCTGTGATGACACTGGCATATTCAAATGCATAGTTTATTTTTTCGTTCATGAAAAAGATTGTTGTAAAAAATCAGGCATATCCGTCATACCTATGAAAAAGCTTATTCCTGGTCGATCATACCTTCCAACCAAGGTTACAAACAATCGAGTACATTTCAGAAAACTTATGGTTAAAGTTGCAGAAATCACAAGTCTTCTCACTTATGGCATATAACTTTTAGATATTATGTTTCTAAAATTTTACAAAATCCCATCTTCTTACAAGTTTACAAGTTGACCTGAAACTTACTTAAAATTCTAAAACATATAGTATGTATATTTTTTTAATTATTATGTTCTATGAAAGAGGTTGACTAATCTTGGAAAGAACAACCTACATGTAAAGTCAGCAAGATTGCTGATTTACATGTGTTGATGTGATTTAAGCTATTGATGTGCTCGAGAAACTCTTTTTGGATGATCAGGTGAAACACAGACGAAATAACCTACTCCAAAGCGGAAAAGAATACGTAAAAAGATGATTCGAAGTAAAACTTTGATAATAAACGATGACGATAAACACAATATACTCAATTTAAATTTTAGCTAACGGCCGATAAAAACACACTGATAGAGACCCACAGTAATTAACCAGCGTAACCACCTTTCTTCCATTAATTTTGACAATTTGACCATTTGAAAAAATTAATTTTACAAATAAACCGTCGCCAAAATTTATTTCAAAAATGAACCTTCTGTTCAGCGCCAAATCACCTGGCGCTGAACTTAGACATCTCAGCGCCACGTCAACTGACGTTGAATGCCGTGCCACCGCGGATAAGAGACTAAATCAGAGTGCCAACGCATATTTAGCGCCACGCTATTTAGCGCTGAGGTGTCTAAGTTCAGCACCAGTTAATTTGGCGCTGACAAAAATGTTATTTTTGAAATAAGTTTTGGCGACGGTTCATTTGTAAAATTAGTTTTTTTTAAAGGGTAAAATTATCAAAATTAATCACCTTTCTTCCTCCTCGCCTCACCTATAAATAGCCTTCTCCTCTCCAGCCTCTCCACTTTCCTCCCCACACCACTACTCCAGTCCACCACTCTCTTGCCTCCAGAAGTTGAGGGGTTAGCTTTTCTGTCCGCACGCGGGCTACTCGGCTACACGAGAGCTTCCCGTTGCGCGAGCATGGCCACCGCCTCCTGGCCGCCGACGCCCAGGTCTCCGCGACCGCAGGCGCCGTCCGTGGAGCGCGCCAAGGGCCCCTCAGGCCTCGACAAGGTCGTGCTCCGCGAGGCGCGGGGATTCTCCGCGGAGGTAATTAACAAACCAGCTCGATCGCGCGCCCCGCTCCCTTTCGGTGCTTCTTTCCCAGTTCGATTCGAGGCGCATTTGCGCCGATCCGGTTTGGGGTTTAAAGCCTGCGCGTGTGTGCAGCTTTTGCTGAGGGGGGAGGGGGGGGGGGATTGGGAATTTCTGTTGCAAATGAGCGGTTTGTGTGATTTGGCAGATGAATAACTGGCGCATTACGCGATCCATGCTGGTTAAGTTCAGGCTTACTATCATTTTAGCATGTTAAATTTGCTGCAAAAAGGCAAATTTTCCGATGTTTATCTTTGGTGCTGTGCTTTATGCCATCTTCATATTACGGATGTTCAATCAATCAAGGGTGTTAGCTGTAATTAAATTTCCGGAATTGGCCCCAACCATATAAGGGATGTGATTTTCTGAAATTAAGAGATGCTTTTGGCCCCCGCGATGAAGTGGTGTAGTTTTGATCACACGTCACTGTGCCATTCACTACTTGATACCCGGATTGTAAAATATGATAGTGAAAGACTTAAAGTAATATACGGACAATTCTCTTGTTGTGGAACCTACCTAGTGGGAGACGCACCGACTATGCTACTTGAAAGCGAAAGGCCTAGGTTATCCTCTTCTATATTTCTAAGATGGATAATCCTTGGATGTTGCGTTTGATGCTATACGCATTTAATTGCCCTTGTTGTACCGACTATGCTACTTGAAAGTTTGTCATTTAACATTATGGCGTATCCTTGGACTTGGTTCAGTTGCATATCATGAGAAACTGGGACTAAATATAGAATTCTGGAGGTGTTGGATTCTGTGAACTCAATTCTGCTATAGATAACTCCATAGTTTCAAGCTAAACTCAAATTGGTTCCTTTTTTCCTGTCGTGTATTTGTTGCAATGGAGGGGACAGAGATAAAAGGCCAATATGAACTTCCTTTTCTGTTAATCTTTCTCCTTCTCCTTCTGGCCAAAGTACAAACTACTCCTGCATACATCTTAGAGCATAGCTCATTCAGAGTCACAAGGCAGAACAAAAAGGTGAAACTAGGTCTCAGTACAAGTATTCACTAATTATATGATGCCGCGAAGTGTGTTAGGGACAAGAAATGGTAAGTAATCAGGGCCAACAAGTGATGAGAAGACATGGTTGTGTGGTGTGGAGCTACACAACGCTATTGTTATAATGGGTGAATGAGTTATATCGTGACAAGTAGGTGTTTAGGTGAGTCTTAGTGTTATCCAGCTATTTCTGTGAATCCTTCTTGCCTCTTGATACAGTAATTAGCTAGCTTTGTTACTTCCAAGTTTTCTAAACTTCCCTTTGGGTATCATGCTTGAATGTAACTAGTTTTTCTTATCTCACATTTTAAATTGTATTGTGTTCTTGCTGATGTAATTTAGTTTTTTTTTATCCGAACTCAAGGTTTATCAATATGGAAGAAGACAACTCTTCATGGACTGGGCATTGACCCTACATGAAAATTTATTATTGTTATCACTTTTTTATAAGTCAGGCTTTAACTCCTGTAGCTAATCAATTATCTTGTCTTTTGCTAGGTCCATTTATATGGAGGTCAAGTGACCTCTTGGAAGAATGACCGTGGGGATGAATTACTTTTTGTAAGCAGCAAGGTATGAAAGCAGTAATGAGGTCGTGGATGACCTCATTGGCTAGGTTATTAGTTTGTTATATAGATAAACTTGCATGAGATGCATTGGCACCACATCCCTGTCATCCTTGTCCCCAGACCCACTAATAAAATTGGCCATTAATTAGAAAAATATATATCCCATTTTATTTCATTAGCACATTCTTAGGTCAAGACCCTTGGATATCTTGGCCCTTCTATTTTTCTAATTGTTTCTTCTGCTCCAATTGACGTGTGTCCAATTAAGTGACAATGTGATGTAATATCTGTTTGGGACTGCTACTGTTTTTAATCATCACATTTCCAAACCGGTGTTGAAATTAAATTCTTCCTTTTCAGGCCACTTTCAAGCCTCCAAAAGCAATCCGTGGTGGCATACCCATTTGCTTCCCCCAAGTATGGCAATTTCATTTATAATAACTTCTCGTATGTTCATGCTAAAAAAACTTGCCTGCCAGAATCATCCAAAGGAACCATATAAATGCAGTTTGGCACTCATGGAATTCTTGAGAAACATGGATTTGCAAGGAATCGGTTCTGGGCTATTGATGATAATCCTCCACCTTTTCCAACAAGCACTGCTGCTAAAGCTTTTGTTGATCTTATTCTGAAGACTTCTGAAGAAGATCTCAAGATATGGCCTCATAGGTTTGTGTTATCCAGCTTATGCTTTGTTCCTTTCTTTGTGTGCATGTTAGTCTCAATCCCCTACTTTTCCTCGTGTTTCTTTGAACAAATAATGGCGTGCAGCTTTGAATTCCGATTAAGAGTTGCTCTTGGGCCTGGAGGAGATTTGGCTCTCACTTCTCGAATAAGGAACACCAACACTGATGGAAGACCATTCTCATTTACATTTGCATACCACACGTACTTCTCTGTATCTGACATAAGGTGTGTGTGCTGCATTCAGCTCCCTTTGTTCTGTTATCGGTTCATACATTTTCAATATGAAACTTATTTAAGGTTGCAGAATTGGAAGAGTGGAGTTCTGTTGTGCAAGACTTTTGGTGGTATATTATTAAATTTTACTTGCTGGGTATTTTCAAAGGGGTCATAAGCATGACCTATGTGCCTTTGTGCCATTCAAGTCTGGTAGATGCGATGTATTTTTTAGGAGCCACTGTACATATGTGGCTACTTCTTTTGATGGGGATATATCATCTGCAAATTCTGTAATTACAAATTCTATTTCACTAGGTGTAAAAGTTGGGACATGCTATTTTCTGTATTTTAGGTTGTATAGACTATAGATAAAAGGAAGTTGGAAGCACATGTTAGAACAAATCATTACAGGTTCTCTCTTTTTTGGCTAATAAACATGTTCAATTAGTAAAGAAGATGTTGCAGAATAGTAACTGTATACTTTAGTGTTAATACTTTTTTTCAATCTGAAGATTCAGTCAATAGAGAAGGCTCACTAGCATTATGGATGGAACTTTTTTTTTTTTTAGTTCAGTGCAGAAGCATTGATAAATTTGTAATCTGAAGCTCTTGGGAAAAAATGTAGCCAAGTAGCTGCTGTCATCGGTTAAAGCAAATGGTGATTTTTTTTAGACATAAGAAATATATTCATGTGGGCATTTCAGCCTTTGATAGAGTGTTGTAAGGACCAATGGTGATTCATGCAATTTCGTGGCATGTGCAACTGCTTGGTTTGTGAACAATGTTAAGCATGTTCAGTCATATTTTTTATATATGTACCTTTCTCAATGTTTGGAACTTGGGAATTCAATTTTCTTCCGTGCTTACCCAAGCTGCAAACTACCTTAGTGAAGTGCGCATTGAAGGCTTGGAGACACTGGACTACATTGACTGTCTGAGGGGAAAAGAGCGATCCACAGAGCAAGGGGACGCTATTGTGTTCGAATCAGAGGTAAAGTAAGCCACTTAAATGCTATAAATGATACTACATAGACTGATCTGTAAATGATACCTTCAGGTTGACAAAATATATCTAGATGCACCAGCAAAAATTGCAATCATTGATCATGAGAAGAAACGGACATTTGTCTTAAGGAAAGACGGGCTTCCAGATGCTGGTAAGCTTATTTATCACAGTAATTTTCTTTTGTTAAAGAATATGATTGTAGATCTTTGTATCCAGCTGTATCAAACACCAATTTTTGCCTGTCAGCGTGCATACTTTTGCCTGTGTAGTTTTGTGGAACCCATGGGACAAGAGGACAAAAAACATGCAAGACTTTGGGGATGAAGAATACAAACATATGTTGTGTGTTGAACCTGCAGCCGTTGAGAAGCCCATTACCTTGAAGCCTGGCGAAGAGTGGAAAGGAAAAATGGATCTCTCCGCAGTTCCTTCCAGTTACTGTAGCGGGCAGTTAGATCCAAATAAGGTTCTTCAAGGCTGAGAGTTCTAATTTACTACACCATGTACAGGTAACGGACTAACGATGTACTTATTCGCTCTAGCTGTGCAATTTTGTGGTGGCTTGGCTGTGAATTTAGAAGTAAAGATACTGTAATTGTAACAGCAGGCACAGATAAGCTGAGTACTCCACCATGCCTTACAGTTCTCTAATGTAGAGAGACAGGAAGTTTTATTAGTATTGGCTGTTGAAGCAATCTATCGCAGTGTCATGTAGCTGATCGCAGAAAACATTAGTAATTTAGTACCTCGTGCTTAAGAGTCATGTACCATCATTTATGCTATGTTTTCATTACATGTCCAACCAGGTTTTGGAGAAATCAGTACAACCAAGAAATATATCGAGTTATTAATTCCATAATAAGTATATAGTATTTGCTCTCATCTTATACTCCATATTTGGTACACATTTTTTTGGTAGCTTCTGCTTTGTTTCTAATCTGTGACTTGTTCTGCAGGAACACTTAATGTCACTTATATTATCTGGTGCTGATGCTGCATCTTAGCATCTACTTGCCGTCCACTTCATTATCTTACCATTTCCACATTTTAATGCTTATTTCTTTCTGTATGAAGCAGCAGAGAGACACTGAAGTAACAAACGATCCTAATCTTGGGAAAATCTGCCGTCAGTGAACTGAATTACCGATTAGTAGCACCACTAAAGTATTGTTTTCTTACCGATCAGTAGCACCACTAAAGTATTGTTTTCCGGGTCATGTGGATAATGATGATGCATTGATCTGCATCTCGGATGTATCTGGCTAATTATATTTGCAAACTGTTCCCTGTACCTTTCCTTTGTTATTATCATTATTACTGCGAGTATATCTGGTTGATTTTATTGTTCCTCTATTAACCAATAATCATCAGAATTCAGAAGACTAGGGGAGCTTGCAAGATCAATCTGATTTATGGATTTACTGCAGTGGATTAGTGATGAGCAATGGTGTCTAAATTCGAGTAAATACGAAATTCATCATGGGAAATACCAAAGAAAAAACTCCTCCAATTCAGTCACCTTTAGTTCCTGCTTAGAGGTTGTTTGGCAGGGCTTAACTCTTGAATCTAATTCTAAGAGTGGAGTTTGTGGTGTAGCGTCCTGCATCCTACTCTATCTTTCTGGTCATTTTTATATATACATATGCATATAAAGAGAATACATATATAAAAGTTTTATTCATAAATTATTTTTCATTTACAAATATGCTATTTGACTTATTCACCGAATAACCGAAACGGTGGGGTGGTAGGTGAGAAATGAAAGAGATAGTTGCAAGAATCAGGATCGCTAGTTCGCTACCATTCGAAGCGATTCTCCAAGCCAGGGGGCATTTTGTAAACGTTATGAACGTTCTCGCAAAATCAGGACTCGAACCAGGGGCATTTTTGCAAAAACCAGTACCACGATCCAAAGTTAACAAGGGGGCATTTTGCAAAAAATCAACGGCGCCTCGCCCTCGCCGTCCCCTCCTCCCCCCGTCGCCTCCGGTGGCGGCGCCTCTCTTGGTCGCCGCCCCGCCGGTACTCATCTCCTGCGTCAGATCCGTCGCATCCCACCTCGTCTGCAAGATCCCACGTTCTCCTTCGCCGCCGAGCTCGACAACCGTCTCCCAAAACCGCGGCGGAAGCATCCGATGGCGGGCGCAGCAGATCCACCGCACAATACCGCCTCCTTCCGCCATCGACGAGCCCCCCGCCAAGTCACCGGCGCGCGCGGGGGGGCTACTGAACGGCCACCGCGGCCTGCATCTGTGGCGGTCAGCTGGAGATCGAGCACATTTGATTTCAGTGCTCATCCGGCCTTAGCAAGCAACCATGTAAGTTGCCTCGCAACAAGTGTTTATCCCTTTGAAATTTGAACAATGTACACAGCTTAAATTATATCCAGACTTATCGCTAACCACCATAAAAGAGATATTTAATGGTGGGGAAAGTGTGCAATGAGGAACATGCACTGAACAGTAACTTCAATAGAATGAGAAACAGAGAAAATGAGGAACTATATTTTTTTTTTCATTTTTCAGGAGTTATTTCCTGTTCCTTTCCATGTTCGTACTGCACAAGTGCAAATTGTGAACTGAAGGAGACCAATAATGCAAAAGGTCTGGAGGATGCGAACGAATGGTTCGATCTAAAAGAGTATCAAAAAAAGAATGCAAATTGTGTCTGGGTAGAACATTCATGGAGAATCTGTACATTTGGTTTCTGAAGAAGCACCCTGCTAGTGCTAGTTGGTATTCAGAGCGACGGATTTACAAATGGGACACCAGTTCTTCTGCCGGAGCCAGTTCTTTATGCAGGAGAAGTGGTAGTAATGTTTGCAGACCATCTTGCCCACCTCCTCACCATCTGAATATTCCTCCTGAAGAATGCACACAGAAAGATTTCGTACATAGTAGTCAGTACAATCCAACTCTGCAAACAGTGTCATGCGCAATCTACTCATGCAAATGAACTTGCCTGGCATATGCTGCATTTTCTCTCACAATCTTCATGAGTTCCTGAAGTAGTGGCCATGTACATGCTTCTGTCTAGACACTTGGACAGCGCGTCTTCTGAAAGGCCAGTGCTTACGGTGCCAATTCTATCTCCCAATGCTAGCAATTCCTACAGTGCAGAGCATCACAAATGAACTGAGAAGTGAAAACAAGTCATGAAAGATGAAAGATGCTGCAGAATGAAATGTGCGTGAGAGAGAGATGTCAAGAAAAAATGACAGGTAGTAGCAGAATCCTCAGGGAAACATAACTAGCATACCTCATAAGACATGCCGTCAATGTCCATTCTCATCCCTCTGTACCGATCATTGAATATGAAGTAGTTCTCAAGCTGCGAGACAGAATATAACTATGTGAGCACCAAAATGGATTGCACATAATTCAGTTTTTTCACTGTACCAAAGCTAGCTCGCCCGCACATAATTCTGCAAATCCCTTGGATGGACACTGTGATGTGCAACAAAAGGAATGATCTTTACCTCTTCACTTCCTTCCATATTGAAGCGCCAGTACCCATTTGCATCCTCTATGCTGTCGTCCAAAGATGAAAGTAGTCCCTGATGATTACTTCTGTATCTTGCCAAGAATCCAGATATGAATCCTTCAGTGCTATCTCTTGCTGCCTGCTCAACTAGCAAGAAATCATCGACATCCCTATCTGAATTCCTCCTGGTATCTCCACTGCTGTCTCTGCGTACATTTACAGCTCCTGCATTTGCACCTTCATCTGCCTTCCTTATTCGGGAAGCTGCCCGATGCGACGGTCTTGAGACTGTGCGGCTACTACTTGAGGAAGTAGCACTTAATCCATTTGGTGATGATGGACTGTTTTCTCTGTTCAATGATCGTTTTCTTGATGCATTGACCCTCTCTTTGAGACGAGCGATTAAATCACGCCCTGGAGTTTCTCTTGGCCTATTGTCGTTTTCGCTATAGGAGCTTGCTGCATTCCTGCTGATGTTATCAGTAGCAGTACTTCCCTGAGGAGTCCTCGTGCTGGGTTTCCTGAAAATCTGTGATCTCCGAGGGGTTTCTGATGCTTCCTTGGCTGCTGTTGCTGCCCTGTGTGTTTGCTTGTCTTTGCCGGCCAAATGCTTGCTGCTGCAACCGTGTCGCGTGCAGCAATTGGTGGCCTTGTGACGCGCACTGTCTTCTCTGAAGAGAAGAATTGAGCCCCCCTTGGTGAAGAGAAGGCCACCAACTGTCCGTCTTCCCATGTGATCATCCATGTTAGATGTTCACCTGAAACTGGAAATGACTCCATGGAGTCAGATATCTTTTATTAACTGGAAATAACTCCATGATCGAACTGATGGAGTGTATTTATGTTCAACATATAAGCATGGTAAATTCTGGTAGCGCGTTGTTCTTCTGGAGAAAAGAATTCCGGTAACAGGTAATGAAAAAATTTCAAACTACTGCCAACGAACCTGTGATATGGACATTCTGGTGCGTTCTATGATCCATTGTCTAATAAATATACAACTTTGACCAAAACTGCTAATGATAGTAGGTATGCATATCAGTAGTACTAATCTCCATGCATTATGTCGTTGGTTTATTGAAGTTGCAACGCATTTCCAACTGAACCAAAATATCCAGAGATGTAAACTCTGAACCTTCAGATAGGTAAACCTTCATGTACCCTAGTTTTTTACCTATGATTATTTAGTCTACCCTTTTTGTAAGTTTTCCTGCTTATAAAAGAACCAAACATCTAACATGTCAACCAAAGAAGGTTGCTACTACAACTTTTTCCCTATAATCCTATCTAGTTGAGATAATTGACCTTTTATTCTGAAAGGTCAATTCCTTCGCTAGCAGGCTAGCATGGCTTAGCTTGGTACTGTATGAAGACGGAAAGTTGTACTGCTTCCTATTTTCAGGAATCAGATATTCAGATGTATGAGAAGGCAATTGATATGTACGGATTCAACAGGAAACTTCATATAGTCCCAGAGGAAACAGTATCTTTTTTAACGAACATATCTGCCTTTAACTGAATAAAAACTGGAAAAGTAAAAATGGATTACTTGGAACAGAAATTTTTGGGTTTAAGACCATAGAAGCAATCAGAACATGCAGGATAAAAAAACTATTAAAGTAAAAATGATTACTTGGAATAGAAAAGTGTTGGGTTTAAGACCATAGAAGCAATCAGAACATGCAGTTTAAAAAACAAATTTCAGTGGAGTATTAACAAACTCCTCTTTTGCTTAGTTTGGCACGCAAAAACAAAAAAAAACAGAGGGATATTCGAGGATGATGAAGAAGAAGAAAAACAAATACGATTGGGTCGCGAAGAACAAGAAATCAGAACTTCCATGGACCCCCACACAGCCTTGCAAATCCCAAGAAACTAATACAAGGATCGATCGACGATGATCATCACCAACTTTATTCTAAAACCTTTCCGTGTGCCAATACTCGCAGGGAAAAGGAAGAAACCAAATTCACAAGAACACAAAACTAGAAAGGTTAAAAAAACGAACACCGAAACCATACGCAATCACCTTCCTCTGACCTCTGAATTCAGGAGAAACCATGATCACAAACACAGACCCCCGAACCGTTCATCACAGAACAATTCAAGAGCCAAAACCACGAACACAATCACACGGACCCGTCCATCGGACGACAGAGACAACAACACAGGTAACATCTGAACAATCCACACATACAAGGTGAAAGAACAGCGGCCAACCTTTCCTTCTCCCTTCTCCGGCACGGCCTCCGCTCCGTCTGACCCGGCTGCTGCTAATCCAATCGAAAAGCCAGCTAAGAACCCTCCGAGACCATTCCAGGATCGGTGAGAAGGAAGAGAAAAGGAAGAGAGAGGGAGATAAGAAGAACCAGTGGAGTTCTTATATATACATGCCGGAAACCACACGGAGGAACGAGAGGGACGGAGAAGAGGAGGAGAGAAGCTTAAACACAGAGGAGGAAGAACGAGGGAGGCAAAGGCGCGGGACCCACCTGGATCGGATCGTGGCCGTCCGATGTGGCGCGAGAGTAGGATCGGACGGCGGGAGATGCGATGCGGCCGGCGTGGGGCCCGCTCAAACGGAATCGTCCCCACCACCCAACTTCCTCCTCCTGCCCGATAACCTGCCTCCCGTATCGACACACGCGTGGACCGGTACGGACACTGACAGGTGGGGCCACCTCTGTTTTCTTTTTTTTCTTTTTGTTGTCCGGTGAAGCAGCATCAGTGTTTCCTGCGTCGCATTATGAAACTTCAGCAATATTTTCTGCATGGTTTGCTTGCTATTATAGACTATAGTATAAATTTCTCCCCAAAAAAACTGCATGCTTTTAAAAAAACGTGTGAAATAAGAGAAATTGGAATTGTTTAATGGTTGTACTGCTTTAAATTTTTAGGGGTGGCATGCCATGTTGTAAAGGCAAAAAAAATTGTTGAGCTAGTACTTACTTTTTGTGGAGTGATCAGAGAGGGATTAATTGGTTATTTTGGTTAGGACGACCAAAGCTTTTGGATTACCAACTTTGTATGAGGCTGTAAAGGTGTAAAGTATCATTGAGTACTTACTTAAATTTTATTGTGTGTCTGTGTTTTTCCGTGAAATCAGAGTGGACAGGTTGCATAATTGCTTTGATCTATTTAACAATTCTTAGTATTTCAGTCTTTGCTCGCCATAATTCAGGTCGATTTCTTAATGATATAGCAGAGTTAATAGTACATGGAGAAGTAGGAGTACTTGATAACAACTGAGCTTTCATTTGGATGCACACATCACACACACTATTAAGCATGGACTCCAACCCCAAGCTTGTGAAAACTTATCTGCAAAAAATATTCTAATTGCACAAGAGATGGAGATAGAATCTTCAGATAAAAACAATGGCAAGCCACAGGCTGATCTCGTCATGCTGCCGACTTGGCAATCTGTGGATTCTTCAAATTGAGGACAAGATAAAAAGGAAGCTTTTTTTTTTAATCTATAATTCCCTGTAGTTTGTGGCTCACGCATTGCTCTGACTTATACGGCACAAATTTGATTAGAAATCGTTTTCATACCGAGTGAGGTGGCTTGTGTAGACGGCTCCATAGGATGCTTTTACTTCTTTTTTTTTTCTTCTCTTATCTCCAGCTGTCTGAATACAAATATACTCAAAGTTGAGAGTATAATCTCATAATTACTCTAACATATGAGTTAGCTTTATTCCAAAAATACTTAAAGATTAGAGGAAATACATGAAGTGGTCAACTATTTCTTCATCAAGATTAGGGTGTACATGCATGACACATGATGGTTTTCTTCGCTTTATCTTTTGTTTGGTGCAAGTTACTTGAAAAGTTTTTTCTTAATTGGTGGCTAATTGTGAGTGGCCGGCTCGGAGTTGGAGTTGGACTGAATTGAACCGTGCCACTAGCAGTGCGATGATGGTGATGCAGGCCGGCACCGAAGAAAGCAAGGCGACCAAAAGGAATCGGCAGTTGACGTACGATAGTTGCTGCCTGGTACTCTGAATTCTGAAATTGATTCCTTGCCTTCTTTTTTCTCCCTTAGTTTCAGTTAAGCTTTTGAAAACAGAAGCAAAACCAAGCCGGTTTTTGCTTGAACACATGTTATACTGCATGTTCTGAACTCTGATGTTCCAAGAAAATTGAAACGGAAATCTTGGAGAGTCCTATTCCAAGCAGCCAGCAACTGACATCCGGCAGAGAGAACAAAAAAAAAAAACTGCACTTATGTCATCTTGTGGTCAAATTGGTTGCAAGACGGTTATGGACAGTACAGTACACCGGCTGGATTGGGCTACCAGCTGACTAAATTTCAGTACACATGTCTTGATATGAGCCGTTGAGCCATGGGATTCTTTGGCAGCTTGTTTTTCGGAGGTAGTTGGCTTTGAACAATTCCAACAAGAGTACTACATGAGCTCCGTCAAACGGCCTCTTTGTCGTCTCCGATTGTTTGGTTCGGCAACGGATGTTGATATCTGAATATTTAGCTAAACATATGAACATGATCCAAAAGTTACAGTACTACTACAAAGATTTCAACTGAATTATTTTTCAGAGACATCTGTGTTCTTGTAGTTTTCGCCTGTTCTACTGTCTTTGCAAGGACGACTGTATTTTATTTGCCTCAATCCCGAGAACTTTAGAATTTGGAGATTTCATCTGCACTCCTTGCACATATGCATCATGGCAGCCATGACTCTCTAAAGCCTTGTGGATAACTTTTTCACCTCCTTTGTGTCAACATGATTACAGGGGGAATCAAACAAGCAAGCTAACACAATTATGCAACGAGGGGCCTTTTTTTATTATTGTACTTTGTGTTAGCCAAAGTTACACACATCAGGAAAACCTCTGTCTTTGCTTTCCTTTGCATTCTCATGGCGGCCCTCGGTCCTCTGACCATCTTGTACTTATTATATTCTCCTCGTGCCGTATCAAACACCATACTACCATAATTCTATTATACTCTTGTTATGATTCATGCATAGCTTATGCCATCCAAAGGGGATTTCTTTTTTGCATTTCTGACAGGGGTAGGTTCTTGCCAATTGGCAATTGCTTGTTTTCAATACCTTGGCCTACTAATTAAGCTGCAGTTCTCTGAAATCACATAATGCATCAATCAAGAGAACAATGGTTAGGCTTCTGTGGTTTGCTTTTGGATTAACGTGCCCTTCAGTGTGCTGTTGTTGGTGTCATAATTTGACACGGCACGGCAAGGCGAGATTTGGATGGCAACCATCTCCTTCATCTCTTTGTTTAGTTCTCACAGCACTTACTTCATCAAGCCAATCATTTTTCAGAGTGTTTGATTGGGCGTCATTTCCCACTTAATTAATCTTCCTACTAGTCTCTTTCACCCTTAGAAAGTGTTCTAAGTAAGAGGATAAGAGGTAAATTGTACTCAGTTTTGTTTATATAGTGTAAGAATAATTAATTTTTCGAATACAATAATAATTATTCTAAAAAAAGTTGTTTGAACAGGGATGATGCCAATAGTATTGTTGTTTATTGATATTTATATGCATCAGATATCTTTCCTTGAGGCCGTTTGTCCTTGGAACAAGTAAATAGGGGTTTGAGGTAGCAAATTTGGAAGTATCTTGCCTGAATTATGCCCTCCTGTCAACAAATAATTTCACTTTCAACAGACCTGCAAGTTGACGCCATGTCAATGTATCACAAAAATAAGACAATATCTAATACAGTCCTTATTATATGCTTCTTATACGCTTCATATTAATGTCAACTTCATGATGAAAAGAACCACAGCAAGTTGCCAAAAACAAATATTGTAGCATCACCAAGAACTCTGAAACATTTTCTCCATGCTGTGTATTTTTTTATATAATGAAAGAATTTATTAAACACAGTCAATTACATCAATGTGATACAACTGTATTGAGAACATTTTCTCCACGCTGTGTATACTCAGAACTTATTTTGTGTTCAGTGCATGGATACATTTTAATTAGTTGCTGCGCCGAATTCAAATTGATACCAATATTATCTGTATGTTTCAGTTTGGCCGTATCCAAACGAAGGGATTTGATTTCCTACTATCAGAATAGCATGCACATGTACCATCATGCTGTATGCCATTATATATGTTTAGACCAAAGTCGTGTCATTAAAAGGAGCCTAGGCTTGCCTCATGCCAAGGCAATTCAAAGCCCATTAGATTAGACCATTAACGGGTTGCTTCTTTGGGGTTGCTCAGTTCTGCTAAATGTCGACTTCTGGCATGACAGGAACCCTACAAGTTGCACCTGCCAGAATCCACTTAAGCCCACACTGGCCACACAACACATAAAAAGGCAGAAACTTTGAAAAACAAAAAACAAAACAAAGGCAAAAACTTTGCCTTGTTTCATTGATAGAGGAGGTAGAAACTTTGAACTTGTAATTTTCTGCTACTTGGAAAAGTTGGAATCCATCCTACATCAAATTCACAGTGCAAGTGAGGCACATACTGAAAAATCTTTCATTTCAGAGATTCTTCAACAGAACATAAAACGATACATCATGAATCATAGGTAAACAGGATAGAAAATACACTTGAAAAATAAACCCCTCTTACTCCATCTTTTCCTCCAGAGTTTGCGAGAATTCAGCGCAACCGCCATGTAGTATGTACAGTTTTTCTTTTTCAGACTTTCAGATGCTTATGACCTGATGCTACCGAAAATTTTCGCTCTTTTGCCGGATAGACGGGCAGGGGGATGGATGATGATGCCTGACAACTGCGATTAGACATTTAAGTACGAAACTAATAGCTATCACGTAGTACTAAAGTTGGTGTTCTTAACTTCTTATTATTAGCCGGTGTCTGCCAATCCGCGTGTCCGTGTCATGGCCGTCGACGTCTCTATTGCGCGGCCGCGATCGACGACGACCGGCTGGACCACGCCGACGGCGGCCTCCACGCCGGCGGCTTTCGCTGCTTCGTCGGGGCGCGTGATTCCTCCAGCTCGGATTTCAGAATCTCGAACATCACCTGCACGTCCTTGTATCCACAGGTTTGCACATCCTCGTGAAGCTTCAGTATGCTGCCTCCACTGCCTGCACGCACGGGCTTCAGATAAGGGTTTTTTTTTTTTTGACTAATTCAGATAAGGGTTTCGTCGCTGTCATGGATTATATCAGATATAGTCCTCCAAAGAGAAAAAAAAGATATGAAAGTGAAGTGTCTTTTTGTTCCACTTTGTAAGTGGAGAAAAAAAAAAGCATCAAATATGCTAGCTTCTTTTAGACCTTACAATTTGTGGGCAAGATAAGTAGTGTATGATAGTATTTGTTAGCACCCTGAACTATAGTTGATGTCAATATATGCTGATGCGATTTTTTTAAAAAGAAAAATGTTGATGAGTTCAAACACACCAGAAAAATAATTTGGGCACCTAAGTCAGTCCTAGGATTTGTGGCTATTTACCAACCTTGTTTTATCTGCTTTAGAATTTCAGTTTAATTTGTTTTGGCAAGAATGTCTTACTATCTGCCTACTCCAGTATGCTGAAGAGTAAGTCCTGGGCTCATGGCCCTGACAGGCTGGGACTCATGAAGAAGGCATTAAGGCCTTTAGGCCCATGTAGCACAGTTTTGGATCTATTAGACTTTGGGCCTCCAAACATACAGATGGGCTAACAGAAAAATCTAATCCAATTGCTGAATCAATGATATCTTTATTCCAAGGACAAAAGGGATGTGTCCTTGCTAAACACGCATGAGCATATCGGCATAAGATTATTTTATTAACTCTCTTTATCTCTCAAAAGAGAAAGAAAAGGTGAAGGTAAAAAAAGAGCATATCATAAATCTTGGCAGACTCCAGGACCAGAAGCTAACATAGACAAAGAAACACCTCTCAGAAATGGGAAGATGAACTAGGGAGGCATCTGATCCAACAAAAAAGAAAAACAAACAGTAAGGCAGACGCTACACTTTCCTACATTCGATATTCTACCGAGATAGCTACCTGTACTCCATCCTTATCTAGAAAACAAACCAAAGGAGACAAAAAAAAACATGAAAAGCAATTCAATCTTACTTTCTTCCTCTGTTCTTGCCAAGAAAAGTCTCTTCAATCCCTGCACTAATTAAGCAGTAACAACAGCAAGGGCTTTATTTATTCGACCATGACCCCAAACCCCAACCAAGAACGAGAACCACAAGTTACTGACATCGTGACGTCGCTTTACTATGGCCATTAACAATCCAGTGGACGGCTGGGACGAAAAGAAGTAGCACCACAGTAGCTTCAGAAAGATGCAAAGAAAAATGAAGAGACCAGTCATCGTCAGTCAGCGGTTCATCACTCATCAGCTAACCATCACACTTCTGCAACAGCAACTCAGTACTACCAACTAGCCCACTGTCAATTCAATTCAATTCAATTCACTCAATTCATCTGTTCTGCCGGGCCCCGGTTTGATTTCACTATGCGAGTATATGCAACTCATTAATCATTAGAGGCTAAACAGTAGCATGGTACTAAACTACTGGTAGTACTACCAGTCAAGTAGATGGATCAGTGTCGGCGTCCTGCTCTCCTACCATAACCGAAAGATGATGCATGCATGGCCCCCTGCCTCGAGCTCTAGACAAGCTGGTGGTTAAAAGTTGATGGGCTTACGCGTGGACGGCATTATCTCCTATTAATTGTGTTGTCGCGTGCGACGCTGGTACAAGGGAACCCTTTTCTAACCGCGAAGAAGAATCTTTGGGTGCAGATCAGATGCAGCCGCAAATCGCAACGGCTCAGTTCATACCAAAAGGTCTGAATTATTGGAGACTGATACTGCTAACACTTGCAGGGAAGCTGCAAGCAGAACAGAACAAGCAGAACGATCCACTTGACAGTACTCTACTCCTGCTGCTTTCCCGTTTGAGATTAGCTTGCAGAGTTCCAGTGTATGTGTTCAAGCAGAATCTGGTTCAGATCTGAGAAGAAGATGCAGGTAACTAACTGTACATCATGTTTGATTGGGTCATTACTGCTAGTTGACAAAGCAAGATGTTGAGATCGAGCTGGCACTAATTGGGCAGCGTGGTAGTACTGAATTTTGGACCCTAAAAATATCCATGCACCTACTGATCTTCAGTGTACTGAACCATCGACCTCGTGACAGTGTGACACTTGGTGCTCCTATTGAATAAGGATGGTACTGTAGCAGCAATGCAGCAGAGTGGTACTAGGTATAGGGCCTGTTTGGGAAGTTTCTGTTAGCTGCAGCTTCTCCTAGAATCCTCAGCTGTCAGAATCTTTCTCAAATAGTTTAGATTTCCACCCAGATTTTAAGAATATGTAGTTATACAATCTAGAAAATAAACTAAAATTTAGAAGCCAAGAAACCCAGCCCTTTCATATTCTCACCAACTAAATTCTCACTAGTTGTTTCTCAAAATCTTAAACTCCCCAAACAAAACCATAGTACTACCAATGGCAGTATCTCACTGTGCACTGCTGATAATCCCTGGTAGGTCGCTGCCATTTCACTGTCGCGTTGTACCCGCCGGGGAGGTTGACTTTCAGAAGAGCATTTAGTTTTGGTGGCTGTGCAAAAGCTGGAATTTTTGGAACAAATTCCTGAAACCCTTTGAAATCACAGAGAAATTTTGGCATTGGTGGTGGTTTCTGGTTTGGCAACCAAAAAGAGGGATCGTATCACCATAGACTTTTCATCTTGGACCCACATGTTAGGATCGAGTAGTGTTGGATGAGCTAGATTTTTGGAGAATGTTAGTGGGAGATGAGATGGTGCAAAAGGAAGATTGTTTCTAGACTTAGCCTGCAAAGTCTCATCCACTCAGCGGCATTGTAGTGGAAAAGAATCACATTCCACCATGGACAAATACTTGGTTGATGGTTGATGTGAACGAAATTGAAGAATGGTCAACACTGTAACTGTAAGAGTAAATAATTGATGGAAGAAAAGCTCTAGATTTTGCATAAAACAAAAGGGTTTCCATTTCCCAGATGGCATAAGCTCTAGATTGAGAATTACTCCTTCTCTAGAGAGCATGACCAGAAATACTGACAATACAAGATCAGAGGAAAGAAGAAGGAGAAGGAATGATGAAAACATGGGCAGTTTTGTTTCGAACAGTATCTCTCTTTTTTATAGTGAAGATTCCAAATAGTATCATGTTGGATTGTTGGTTTAGATGTAAAGTCCAGACATTATGAATTTCAAAGGGGAAAAAAACAATAAGCATGGCTATGACTTTCCAGTTGAACAGAGAAGTTCTGTATTCATCCAGGTAACTGCACTTCAATATTTTAACCTAAATAGTTTTGACTCATGATTTCACGAGTCATGCCACTTTTCTATAACTGTTTTACCGTCTCCACGAAGTAGCGAAATGATCTAGAACTGAATTCCAATATAATTCAGACCTAGAACTCTCTCTTCTTATGGGATCTCTCATGGCGTCAAGAAAAGAGAAAAGAACTGTATGGACATAGCCAGACCAAGAAGATCATCAAATCAGCAGCAAACTTGTCGGGCTCTAAGAAAGTATACCAAGATTATTTCTCCCAGAAGAACTAGCTAGCACGCCATCCTTGGGCAGCATCAAGTATGCGTGTGCGTACTACTACCAGCCAGAGTCAGGGTGATGGGGGGAGAATCGTTAGCTTGGTCGCGTACCTGGCTTGCGGGCGCGGACGCGGGTGGAGACGGCGGCCCACGCGCGGCGCGCCGGGAAGACGACCTTCTTCCGCCACCACGCCATCACCGCGCGCACCGGCGCCGGTATCCTCGCGGCGGCGGCCAGCCTCGACGATCGACGTACGCGCGCTCGACGATCTATCTCACACACCTCACCGGCCGCGCGCGCGCGCGCGGGTGGCTGCGGCGCGGGCTCGCTGGCTGCTGCTGATGGAGTAGTGGTGTGCGTGCGTGTTTGTTTGTTTGCCTCTTGGCCGCGCGCGTCGCGGTTTTGCTTATATCGTCCCGTTTGGTAAGGTGGTTAGTTACGTCGGCTGCGCGTGTGCGACTGCCGAGTGGTCTGCGTTCTCCGGCCGGAACATGTTGCGTTCTGGATTTGCGTGCTGTCGCCTTTTTATCCCGAGATACGTTTAAGCTAATTTCTAATCTAACTCTGGTAAAAATTGATCTTAATCGGTGATGAAATATACAAGATATTCTATTACCCATAGTCAATGTGACAATAAATAATCCATTGTATTATAATGAAAATAAATTCATTTTACTTCCCCTAATGAAAATAAATCCATTTTACTTATCCGAACTAATTCAATGGATCAGTTAACCCGTGAACTATTTTTTTTTGGCTCATTTTACCCCTAAACTAATAAAAATCGTTCACTTTAATGTTTAAATAACATTTATTTTTTTATTCTTTATACAAGCTGTATTTAAAACTGTTATTTTTAAGCCATATATGACATCATTATTAAAGTTCAAGAATATTTTCAAAATTTTCCATGGATGTTTGTTTGAACTTTAAATTTTAAATTTTTGATGTTAAATTAGTCTTTAGTGCTTTCGAACTACGCTAATAGTTCAAAATTTTCAAAAAAAAAAGAGAGGACTAGACGTAAGTTCTAAATGCATATGTATTCTATCAAAATTTCAGTACAAAATAGCTCAGATTATAAAATAAGCATGAAAGAGTTTAGGGGTTAAGTAATTAGGTAGAATAGTTAGAGCAATAAAATATTTTTTTCCTATCAGAATAGATAAATGGTTCAATTGATTTCTACTATCAATAAAACCCATTATGAACATCACTTTTATGCCGTGCCTTTTGCTGGGTGCGTGTTTGGAGCTTCAGTTCAGAAATTATCTTCAATTGAATTAAGGTCTAATATTATTTTTTGAAGAACACGGGACAAAGGCTATATATATACATGCTAACTACAGGTGGAATTATTGTGAGCTGTGATGACCATTCAAATTTGCAGGGGAGCTCTTGTGAAATTCTATTTGGAGCGCAAGAAAATCACATGAGATATTCAGTTGACATTCATTGCAAAAATTACAATGACGAATTACCATCTCATCAGGAGGTTCAGAACATGTGAGCACAACACACGTCTCATCAGACCCCGCTTCTTTCTCGGCCCACGCAGCCCATAACCCATGAGGCTTTTAAAGTGGCACGTGGTAGATAAATGGAGTAGGGTAGTCAACAATACTCTTATTTTGACGATTGACGCGCTACTGCTCCTGCACCCATATATGGAGTTGAGTATTTGCTTTTGAGAGCTCATCCTGTGCAAGTTGTATCACTGCGTTCTATGGCTGATTGGCTGTGCGGCCTTTCATTTTTTCCCCGTGAGGAAAGAAGAGAACAAAAATACTACCTCCGTTTCATAATTAAAGTGTTTTAAAAAATTAAAAACATATATAAAAAGATAAAACTAAATAAAAAAATGTTATGATGGGTTAAAAATATAGACATGTGAGGAATTTAAACGATGAAAGGTTATAATTTGTTAGGAAGAAATGTTGGTAGATAAATTGTCATATTTTTAAACAAATTCTAAATGCTATAATTTATTATATTTTATAACAAAGGGTTTAGCTCTTTCGTCTGTACGCTTCTCCCTTCACAGTTCATGCATCGGCATTGAGAACGTGATTTCTCTAAAACCAATGTACAAAATGGGTACAAACGGTCAAAACAACCTATGGCAGAGGCAGTTCATCTCAACCAAAAAAAAAGGTCGACATGGTAGTACTAGCAATCTACTCCCCCGTCCTAAAATAAATGTAGTTATGTACTATTTATGTCTTGACTGTTCATCTTATTTGAAAAAAAATTATAATTAGTATTTTTATTGTTATTAGATGATAAAATATGAATATTACTTATTGTGTGACTATTTTTTTTCAATTTTTTCATAAAATTTTTAAATAAGATGATCGGTCAAACGTGTCCTTACGGCTACACTTATTTTGGGATGGAGGTAGCAATATCACCGCCGGTCCCAAACAACGGCCACGTCACGTCGCGTCGAGCTGCAGCCGCTCGCGCCTCACAAGTGTCCGATCCCTGCGCCGCCACGACGCGCGGACCCAGCAGCAACCGCGCGCGCGCCGACACTTGGAGCAATTGAGCAAAGGGATTGAGATTGACCCACCTGCAGGGGCGCGCGCCGACGCACGTCACGTCCGCGCCGCGCCCACACGACTACACGAGCGGTGGGCTGGGGGAATTGCTCGCCGAGACGGCGACGGAGACGTTAGCCTTTGGCGGTATGCCAGCGTCGCCGTCCGTGGTCGCGTCATGGTTAGGTGGAGGTTTGACACGTACGCATGGACAAAACGCTGGTCTCGGGGCAACGGCCAACCGTGCGGCATCGTGTCGTGGACTCGTGGGAGATTAGAATAACAGCCACACTTTTGAATTCTGAGCATGAAACAAATAATTACACCCTCCGTCCCATAATATAAGAGATTGAGTAATTTTCACAAAACTACACATTTTGTTGTTTAAGTTGTAGAAAACCACATACACTTTGACACTTGACACTTAATAAGTACATATATTTTGGTAGTGTAGTTTCATAAAACCACACTATCAATGAATGGATTCACTCGCGAGATGACGTGGTTGTTTCACTTAGGACGAGGACATGACATCCTATTATCAGCCATCGCACGAAATTAATAGGATGTAACATCCTCATCTTAGATGGAACAACCACGTCATCTCACGGGTGAATCTATTCATCAATAGTGTGGTTTTGTGAAACTAAATTACCAAAATATATGTACTAAAGTGCCAAGTATCAAAATGTGTGTTGTTTTATGCAACTTGAAAAAAAAACATGTAGTTTTGTGAAATTTACTTAAGAGATTTTGAGTTTTTACTTGCTTATTTAAAAAATTTGTGCAAATATAAAAAATGAAAAGTTATGTTTAAAATACTTTGGATAATAAAGTAAGTAACAAAAAATAAATAATAATTTTAATTTTTTTAATAATACGAGTAGTTAAACAGTGCAAACAAAAACTTAAAATTACTTATATTATTAGACGGAGGGAGTAGTAGACGTCCCTATCCAGCTGACAGAAAAAAAACGAGAATGGATTAAGGAGTTACAGTTTGGCGTTTAGAGATTGGTTTTTGGTTGGCGGGTACCTTCAGTTTAGTACGTTTTGGTTGGTCGCTGTAGGATAAGATTTGGGCCTTGGCTTTCGAGAGGTAGGTAGAATGGGCCTTCGAGCTGTGGGTGAAAGTCTAGTGGAAAAAGTCCACTTTGACTCCCTTAAAAAGTCACCCGAATCTAATCCGTGACCCTCAACCGTAAAACCGGATAGGATGACTCCCCGAACTATTCAAACTAGTGCAATTTGACTCCCTGAGCGGTTTTGCTGACGTGGCGGTATTGACCCGGTCTTCATCCCACGTGGCGCTTATGTGGCATTACAATGAAAAATATTTTGTGGGACCCGTCTGTCATTTACACACAAAATATATTGTGGGACCCACATGTCATCCTTTCTCTCTCCAACCTTCTTCCTCCCCCTCTCTCTCCCTTCTCTCTCTTTTCTCTTGCAGCCGCACCCGCTGAACATGCCGGTGCAGTTGAACCCGTGCGCCACCTCGCCGGTGCCGGACACCGCGATGAGCCCGATGAACCCTTCGTCCAGCCGTTCCTTGACGCAGTAGTCGATGGCCTCCTGCAGCCCGGCACCCCTGAACTCCATCACGGCGGCGACGTCGCGCGCCAGCGTGGAGCGTATGATGGCCTTGCCTTCCCCCGACCCGATCAACGGCGAGTCGCCGATGCACCCGGTCATCTTGTTCATCAGCCCGCCCGTGGACATGGCTGCCGCGGTGTGGCCGTTTGAGTGCACCACTGCGCAACCCACCGTCTCCGGCGCGGGATATGGTAGTCAAACTGCTTGTACCAATTAATCACAGGATGTCACGGTTAGATGTTAGCAATTTTCATAGGCGAATTGGTAACATGAGTCGATGCGCTGATCAACGAACCAAGATGCCGTTGGCCTCCTTGGTGAGCTTCAGCATGCCAACGTTGTCCTCGGTGATGAAGTAGCTATTGTCCACGACCTCAAGACCTTGCAAACAGTGACCACAAAGAAAAAAATCAGACCAGTCCACGACCTCAAGATCTGCAGGACTCAGGTGGACCACGCTGGTAGGACGGATTCGTCCTACAGCTGCTGGTCCTGCCAAAATTCGACTGGATTCCATGGTGGCTGCGCCTTGCTACCCCACGCTGGCACTGCACTTGCATCTGCTAGGCAACACTGTGCACATGCATGTTCTCCGGGCAGAAAGAAACAGAGGCGGCACCCCCTTCCGGCGCAGACCGGGAGGCACGGCTAGGGCCGGCGGCGTCTCAGGCTTCGCCGTCTGCATTAGCCCTCTCCTTCGTCCCAGCCTGGCGCGGCACCATTGTGGGGGAGGCCACAGGCCGGACGCCCCCGCCTTCTCCGGCGAGCTGAGGCCGTCGCCGCTCCACCGCCTCTCCTCCGGCTCTCTGTCGTCGCCGCCGAAGCCGCCGCTCGACCCGCTCAAGTTCCTTCCTCCGCGCCGGCCCTCACCCTGCCGCCGCCGCCGCTCCAGATTCTGCACACCGAATCTGGAGGAAGAGAAACATACAGAGAAGGGAGAGAGAGAGAGGGGGGGAAGGAGGATAGATAGAGGATGACATGTGGGCCTCGCAATTTTTTTTCCATGTGAATGACGAATGGAGCCCATATAGTTTTTTATTTTAATGCCATATAAGCACCACATCAACAACACAGATCAGGTCAACATCGCCACGTCAACGCCACGTCAGCAAAACCGCCATCCAAAACCACTGAGGGAGTCAAATTGCACTGGTTTGAATAGTTCGGGGAGTCATCCTATCTGGTTTTACGGTTGAGGGTCATGGATTAGATTCGGGTCACTTTTAAGGGAGTCAAAGTGGACTTATTCCAAAGTCTAGTAGACTGGGCTCTGTCTTAGTCGGCCACAAGGGGATGGGCCGGTGGCTGTTCGTTTTACCCCCAAATGGGTCGCGGGTTATACGCGGGGGACTTATTTGTAAAGGAAGTTTTTTCACGGAGCACCCTAGTAGTAGTAGCAACCCTGTAATTTTGCAAAACGTGTGTAATGTTAAGAGGTCGTGCGACATGAAGACATTGATAGCAATATGGGGGAAGTTCCCATCAGGCAACAACGGTTCTGCCTGACCCTACAAAAGCATGCATATGTTGTCAGTGAAGATTTTGTGTGAAGCCTTGGAGACGACGTACCCGGGGCTGGGGTGAGCTGAGGGGGGACAGCGTAAGTGAGCGAATGTGCGTAAGCCCAGTCAAAGATTCCTATTCTAGACGGGGCGGGCCATCAACCTTCGAATGGTGTTGGTCCTACGGACCGTGAACGGATTCGCCTCTGGCCTCTGGGCACGTCGGAACCGCATGAGTTCACCGGGGTGGAGCACGGTCCGCCAAAATCAGCATAGGTTAGGTGCTATTGATGGAACATGGTAAGCCCATCTTTCCCCATATGAAAGTGCTGCAGGCACATAGAGATGTGGGTAGAGGAAGTCTCAAAAAGCGAAGGCCGAGCTGTAGGTCACGTGACCCTGTCTCCTTGGATTTCTCGGCGCAGCGGCGGCGCGTGCGCCGCCGCGACTGTGTACAGCTCCGTCTCTGAGTAGACGAGGGTGGCGGAGCGCGTTACGGCCAAACGGGCGGATGGCGCGCCGATGCCGTGGAGGAACGAGGGCGACGAGTCAGCGGGTTGTCAGAGATGGAGATTTCAGAGAAGAAATGGAGAAGAGTTTCAGAAGTTTTAGTTAAAAATTCAGAAGTTCAGAGTTAGAGTGGGATACCGGTTGGGTGACGTCGTTTAATGAAGATGAACGGTAGAGATGAGGCTATATCAAATTACCGTGGTGCATTTACGGCTGTGATCGCTTTGCTGTACTATTTACCGTTTCTGTTTGTCGTCGCCTGCGCGTGACGCTGCTTTTACTCTGCTTCCTCTGTCTCACTCGCTGCTCTGTAAAAAAAAAACTGAGATGCCTGGGAGTATATAACCCGGTGTGATGAATGGAAAAGCTATCGAAGATCATTAACCCTAGTACTTAGCTTAGAACCCTAGTTTTTCTTGTCTTGCGGCGGCTACAAATCTGAGAGAGAGTGTGTTCGTCAATTCCATTTCGGGGGTGTTTTGGTGTGGTTCTGACAAGGGTATCAGAGCACAGCTGATTCTTGGCTCTCGATTTGTAAGGTGAAGGTTGGGAGGATCTGCGGATTCCTCTCGTAAAATCCCAAAAGCCTATACAATTCGAACCGGAGGCGAGTAGAAGTGAGACAGATCGACAAGCGAGGGTTGGGGAATCACTTTGATGTGTATTCCCTGTAAAATCTCCAGAGCTTTCGACCTGACTCAGGCGGCGGTAGACCTGCGACGACGAGATCAAAAAGGGGAGAGGGTGAATCTTGGAGATAACCCTCAAGCCGAATTTCGTTGTCAGTGAACATGCCGGCTCGCACCAGGTCCGTTAACAGTTTGGATAGTGTGGATGGATTTGACGCTAGAGCTGAGATCCTGCAGCTTAGGCGGGAGATGACAGATCTGAGTAATCTGAGAGGTGAGATGGGAGAAATCAAGGACCTTTTGAAGAGTATTTGCACAGCTCTACCTGGATTTCACTCTGCTGGTGCGAGTACTAGTGGGACGGCTGGTGCAGGTGGATCTGCAGGGACCCAGGCTATGGCTGGTGCAAGTGTATCTGCAGGAGCACAGGCTGCTACTGGGACAGGGGCTTTGATTGCACCATTAGTTCCCCCTGGATTTTCATCAGTGGCACCAATTTTATCTACGGGAGGAATGCAGTCAGGAGTGGCTCTACCTCAAACTGCTGATGAGACTCAGGTAAACTCAACTAATGCAATTCCTTCCAGTCAGATACATGCTGGTATGGGAAGTGTTTTTCCATCAACAAGTCTTCCACCAATTTTTCCAATACACATGTCTGGTGCTGTTCCTTCTGTTGGACATGTGAATTTTTCTATTGAGCCAAACACTGTTAACCCAAATTTTGCACCAATATTCACCTCAGCACCAATATTCACTTCAGCTACTAGAACTCAGGCTGGTCATTTACCTGGGGGGTTAAATATACATGGAGTGGAGTCTCAGGAGGATGTGGGAATGAATCATTATGGAATAGAAACAAACCAGCCATGGAGGTATCCGCAGATGCAGCCAACAGCCAGACCTCATCTGAATGCTACAGGGATACATATGGCAAATGGAGGAGGACCTGTTTGGCCAGAAGGACCCAGACATCTGTTTGGTGGGATGCCTAATCCATATGCTGACATGACACTAAGAAGCCAGAGGTTGGAGTTAACAATATTTAATGGAGAAGATGCTATTGGGTGGTTACAACAATGCGAGAAGTTCTTTGAAATGACAGGAACACCAGTAGAGCAATGGGTGAATTTAGCCACTGGGCACTTGGTAGGAAGAGCTGGGAAGTGGTTTAGAAATCTTGGGATACCATGGCATTATATTAATTGGCCCCAATTTTACTTGATGATTTCAGATAGATTTACTGAGGCAAATGCACACGAAGCTGTGGAGCAGTTGCAGAATGTGAGGCAGACTGGTTCTGTCATGCATTATATTGATAAATTTGAGGATAGTGTTGCATTGGTTAAAAGGGATCATCCCTATCTGATTGAGTATTATATTTTGAGCTGCTTTATTGGGGGTCTTAGAGCTGATATCAAACATGATGTGTGTGGGCAAAAACCACAAAGTTTGTTAGCAGGGTACTAGTATGCAAAAGTTTATGAGAAGGCCAGTCTTGCAAAAAGGGGAAATGCTCAAGGGGGATTTAACAAGAGTAAACCCCAGTTTCAATCAGGAGGTTTCAATAATAACAAGAATGTAGGACAGAAGGGGGGCAAATACTGGAGGAGAGAGGGAAAAGAAAACTTGTTGGTACTGCAAAGAACCATGGTCTTACCAGCATAAGTGCAGGACAGGGAAGGTGATACATATGATGGAAGAAGTAGAGGATGAAGAAGAGGAATCAGGAAGTCCTGAAGAAAACCAGGAAGGGGAATATCAAACAGCACCTGGAAGTCCTGCTAAGAAAGAAGATGATAATGAAGAACAACTGATGCAGATTTCTACTCATGCAATACAGGGTACATATGGAATCAATACATTCTCTTTGATTACCTATGTTAAAGGAAGGAAAGTTGTGGCATTGGTTGACAGTGGTAGCACTAATACCTTCATGAATTATGAATTTGCATTGAGAAGTGGGTGTGAAATCATAGAATTTGACCACAATAGAGTCATGGTAGCTGGGGGAGGAATACTTAATTCCACAGCTAAAACCGAGGTGATCCAGTACAAGGTCCAGGGATATCTTTTCGGTAAAGCATTCCAGTTGATTCCTTTAAAGGGGTATGATATTGTTTTGGGGGCAGACTGGATATATGAGCACAGTCCAATTAATTTGGACTTGAAGCAGAGAACTCTGACAGTAACCTACAAAGGGCAAAATATTAATTCAAAGACTATACTGCACCTGGTGGAAAAGTGTTGATCAAGTTTTAAAAGATGAACAAAATGCTGGACAAAAATGTTATGGGGTTTGTAATTGAAGTACATACTCTCAAGACTTTGGAGATGGAGAATGTGCCAGTCCCTGATTCTGTAGCAACTATCCTAGCTGGATTTGCAGAGGTTTTTGCTGAGCCCAAGGGGTTACCACCCAGAAGAGAATGTGATCATGCTATCCCACTTAAGATGGGAGCTGAACCCCCTAATCAGAGACCATATAGAGTACCACACCAGCAGAAGAATGCAATGGAGGAAATTATAAAGGAACTCCTGGAGTCTGAAGAGATTAGGCCCAATTTGAGTCCTTACTCTTCACCAGCTGTTATGGTCAGAAAAAGGGATGGCAGCTGGAGAATGTGTGTGGACTATAGACAATTGAATGCAAGAACTATTAAGAACAAGTTTCCTATGCCAATTGTAGAGGACTTGCTAGATGAGTTGAATGGTGCTAAGGTATTCTCCAAACTGGATCTGAGATCAGGGTACCATCAAATCAGGATGGTGGAAAGTGATATACCTAAAACTGCCTTTAAAACTCATATGGGTCATTTTGAGTACTTGGTTATGCCATTTGGGCTAACAAATGCACCAGTCACCTTTCAAGCTCTAATGAATCAAATTTTTGAGAAGCTGTTGAGAAAATGTGTACTGGTATTCTTCGATGACATATTGATTTACAGCAAAAATCTGGAAGAGCATGAAAAACAATTGCAGTGTGTCCTATCTATTTTGAGATCCCACAAGTTATATGCTAAGAGGAGTAAATGCACATTTGCAGCACCAAGTGTAGAATATCTGGGGCATATAGTATCAGGAGAAGGAGTGGCAACCAAGCCCAGCAAAATTAAAGATGTTCTAGAATGGGCAGTCCCAGTGAATATAACTAAGTTAAGGGGCTTTTTGAGATTGACAGGTTACTACAGAAGATTTGTTCAGGGGTATGGTGCTATCTGTAGACCACTACATGATTTATTAAAGAAGGATAATTTCCATTGGGGTCCTGAACAGCAGAAGGCTTTTGACCAACTAAAGAAGATTATGACTACTTGTCCAGTATTAGCTCTTCCTGATTTCAGCAAACCGTTTGTATTGGAAACAGATGCTTGTGGTTCAAGCATTGGGGCAGTACTAATTCAAGAGGGCAGACCAATAGCTTATTATAGCAAAGCTCTGGGGCAGAGAGCAGCAGGGTCATCCACTTATGAAAAAGAAGCAATTGCCATTTTGGAAGCACTTAAAAAATGGAGGCATTATTTGCTGGGTAATCAAGTGATTATAAGAATTGATCAGCAGAGTCTTAAGTATATGGCTACACATAAACTTTCAGAAGGAATACAACACAAATTATTGCTGAAACTCCTGGAGCTTGACTATAACATTGAATATAAAAAAGGGAAAGAAAATGCAGCAGCTGATGCATTATCAAGGAGAGACACCAAAGAAGTGGAAGAGAAGGAAAAATGCTATGCAATCACATTGGTCTATCCTGAATGGATAGAGGATGTGAAGAGCAGTTATCTAAATGATGCCCAATATATGAAATTGGTGGATGGGGAGGAACTAAATGAAGAATCTAGCAATTTTTCTTTGGGTGCTGGAATACTAAGATACAAAAACAGGATATATGTTGGCAGTACTACTAATATCAGGAACAAACTGATACAAGCTTTCCACAAATCAGCTTTTGGGGGTCATTCTGGAGTTAAAGTCACTTACCACCGAATCAAGAAGATTTTCTATTGGCCACAGCTTAAGAAGGAAGTGGAGAAAATTGTCTCTGAATGCCCCACTTGCCAGATTACAAAAGCTGAGCATGTTCATTCTCCTGGTCTTCTAGATCCTCTGCAAATACCTGAAATGGCTTGGACACATATTTCTATGGATTTTATTGAAGGGCTGCCAAAGTCTCAAGGCAAAGATGTAATCCTAGTAGTGGTGGATAGGTTGACCAAATATGCCTATTGCAATGTCTCATCCCTATGATACCCAAGATGTTGTGCAGATCTTTATGGAAAATGTTTATAGGTTGCATGGCATGCCACTGGTGATTGTTTTCGACAGGGACAAAATATTCACTAGTGATCTCTTTCAGAATGTCTTCAAATCCATGGGAACTACTTTGAGGTTCAGCACTTCTTACCATCCACAATCTGACGGGTAGACAGAACGGGTAAATCAATGTGTGGAGGCATATCTGAGATGCATGGTGTTCCAAGAACCTAGAGACTGGCACAAGTGGTTGCCTACTGCTGAGTGGTGGTATAACACTTCTTATCACACCTCTCTACAGGTCACACCGTATGAAGCACTATATGGTGTACATCCACCTCAGAATGGGGAGCAAGCTATCCCTGGAAATGTAACTGAAGAAATCAGAATCACTGCTCAACAGAGAGAAGAGTTGATGTTGAGATTGAAAGATAACTTGTTGAGGGCTCAGAATCGAATCAGGAAATTTGCAGACAGACTTAGGTCTGAAAGAAGTTTTCAGGAGGGAGACATGGTGTATCTAAAGATGCAACCTTATAGACAGAACGCTTTTGGCTTGAGGGGATCACTGAAGCTTCGTGCAAAGTTCTATGGGCCATTTAGAATCCTGAAAAGAATTGGGAAAGTGGCTTACCATCTGCAGTTACCGGAGGAAGCTGGAATACATCCAGTGTTCCACGTAAGCCAGCTGAAGAAACATGTGGGAAATTTGGTTGTACCACTTCCTAATCTTCCATTGGTGGATGAAGATGGTAACATCAAGACTGAACCTGTCGCTGTACTAGCAAGAAGGGTAGTTCCAAGAAGAAATGAGCCGGTCACTCAATGGCTTGTTCACTGGGAAAATCTATCTCCTGAGGATGCTACTTGGGAGGACTCTGCTTTTATTCAAGCAACGTTTCCACATTTTCGACCTTGAGGACAAGGTCGTGCTCAAGGGGATTGGATTGTTAGAGATGGAGATTTCAGAGAAGAAATGGAGAAGAGTTTCAGAAGTTTCAGTTAAAAATTCAGAAGTTCAGAGTTAGAGTGGGATACCGGTTGGGTGACGTCGTTTAATGAAGATGAACGGTAGAGATGAGGCTATTCCAAATTACCATGGTGCATTTACGGCTGTGATCGCTTTGTTGTACTATTTACCGTTTCTGTTTGTCGTCGCCTGCGCGCGACGCTGCTTTTACTCTGCTTCCTCTGTCTCACTCGCTGCTCTGTAAAAAAAACCTGAGATGCCTGGGGGTATATAACCCGGTGTGATGAATGGAAAAGCTATCGAAGATCATTAACCCTAGTACTTAGCTTAGAACCCTAGTTTTTCTTGTCTTGCGGTGGCCACAAATCTGAGAGAGAGCGTGTTCGTCAATTCCATTTCGGGGGTGTTTTGGTGTGGTTCTGACACGGGTGCCGTGGGCGCGGTCCGTCAGTACGGCAACGGCAAGCAGCTCGCTCGAGTCGAGCTCCCCTCTCCGCCCGGGGCTTCTCCGCTGGCGTTGCCGCAACCATCGGAGTCCTTCGCCCCGCCGCCGAACTCCTGCAACCAGGACTGCCTCGGCACTCGGCAGCCAACCGGTTGAAGGTCAGAACTCGATCCCCTCTATTCACCCTAATTTCCGTTGCTTGCATGCGTGAAGTGGACTGCGTTATTTGATTGTGGTTCTGCTCCTGCGCGTATCTATTCCGTTTAGCAACGGAATTTCGTGCCATATCGATGAACTTGTTGAACTGTGGAATGGCGTTGTTGTCAGTAGAACTTGTGAATTTGTGGAATTAGAGAATAGTGATGCCCTTGCTCTCTCCCCATTAGTTGAGAGATGATGATGAGAGTTGAGAGACAATAAATAGACCTTTTCTTAAAAAAATTTTGTAGCGGCACAAAAATGCGAGGCTCACAACAGAAACATTCATGAGCACTCTATATCAATAAAGGGAAAAGAAAAACACTACCAAAAGACCTACTTGCTACTGCAGAAAGAGCAGGGTGATCCTAGAGCAATAGCAGACCAAAATAGGTGAAGAGAAGAACTCGAGAATGGCACGGAAATTGCGTGCCCTCAAAAATGGGTGATGCCTTCAAGGCGAGGACAAGGGGCTGTTCCTCAGAGTTGAGCTAAAAGAGCTGGAGATCAGACTTTAGCCTGTTTTGCTTCCATTTTGGAAGGTTTTTGAATGATGCCCTTGTCATGCCAAACTTCTCTGTGAACTCAACTGATGATAAGTAGACCTGCATTCAGTTGAAAATAGTACATATTATTGTGTTCATCTTACAACATCAGGAGAAAATACCAAGTGGAAAAATTAGTTGATCACCTCTCGCTTGGTAACATCAATGTCAGGAGCAGGATCATCAGATGTGGTGGTCAAACGTTCATATGGGTAGATTGTGCTGTTCTCATCATCTTCTGGCTCGTTTTCACTTTCACCGATCGTTGAGCCTTCCTCCTGTATTGCCTTCTCTGCCTCGGGGCTCGCTTAATTTTGCAGAAATTCATAAAGGAAAATTATAAGACAACTGAACACTTGCCTTCCGTATTCTAGCATAATAGGTGATAGAGTACCTTTTACAGACTTAGGTATTGTACTTTTCGTAGGACCCTCGAAAGCACTGGTGAGAGCATTGATAGCTGATTGTTTGGATGATGTCTTTGGCAATTCAGACCCTCCGGATCTTGGGAAAAGCTTCTTGACAGCAGGGGGAGGGGTGGAAAGATACCGGGTACTTGGGTTCTCAAAGGCAGAAGCTATTGCGGTGAAAGCTGGAGATCTTCCTCGAATACGGTGACGTTCTGGGCTGTGGGACATACTTCTTGTGCGCTGCTGAGATTTATCTTGTCCTGCGTTCCTTCCTGAAAACGCTGGTGTTCGCCTTTTAGGTTTCTGGCAACGCATAAAGAATATATATATGTAAGGTAATCTATATGGATTGAAAGAGAGGCCATTAAGTGTAAATCACAATATAGATTGAAAGAGAGGCCATTAAGTGTAAAACCCCAAAGATTGAAACAGAGGCCAAATTTCCCTGGTTGAAAGGCATTGGTAGGACAGTACATCACCAAACATGAACTGTATATAAATGATGCAACTATATATACAACTGGACAAGAAAAATGAAATCTCATCAAATGTTAGCCACTTGGAACCCATATTTCAAACTTACACTCAACATGGCAGTTTGGTTTGTTAATCAGATGACCAAGAGTTTAACAATGGCTCATTGGTACAACCAAGTAATTATCACATGCATATGTGCACAGCTAATCACAAGTATCAACAAATAGCAAAAATGATGAAGAGAGTGACTTTTTACAAGCAATAAGGACCGCATTCTATCAATATGCTACTTGAGCACTATGTTGAGACTTACATCAAGCGATGGAGTTGCTCCACCCTTTACTATTGCAAGCTTCCTCTGGTATGAACTGCCATGCATCTGCGACAAAAAAAAAAGAAAGAAAGAGTAGATGTGAGAAAACCAAAATGGGGGGTATGTTTGGGCGCTCATCTAATCACCATAGAACAAAAACTGATCTTGAATCTAAATATAATTACTTACCAGCGATTTTGCTGAGTCCCAAGTGAAGAACCTAGTAAAAAACTGTGGCTCACTTCCTTCTGTAACAATAAAAATTGGTGTGTCTTGCGAGAGATTTTCCATAAGGAAATCATGTAGAAGAAATTTCTAGCATAGTTACAGTGAGAAAATGAATTAAGATGCCAAACAGAAAACGTGATTTCTAATTAGAATAGACGGATCAAGTAACTTTAGTTAATACCTCACCGATGTCCATCGCTTGTGATCTCAATTTGGCATCCACCTCCTGTCCAACCCAAACAAACAAGTCGGTGCGGCAGTCTAGAACGAAAATATCTTCTGCCATCAGGTCATCCTGAGTAAAGTGGTGTATTTCCTTGACCTGATCATGTAGATTTCAAAGGAAGGACTGGCATTAGACACATGGAGAGCACGCTTAGGGGGGGAAAAAGCTATGCGTCAGTTTTTTTTTCTGACCTTTAGATTTTCTTCATGAAACCCCACCAGCAAAACATTTGAAGTGCAGAAAAAAACAAAAATGTCAATAGATGTTGAAATGGTAATCCCACTAAGTAGACCATATCAAAACATTCAATAATTTGTTTTTGATTACCCTTGGATAAGATACATGAGAAAAGATGAGGGTCGCTTTCATTTTCTTTTCCTATTTTTTTGTTTGAATACTTGCATTTTCCACCTAAGAGTTCCCAGAATTGGTCGGTTTCTCTCCCCTCCTTTTGTGACCTGGATGGCAGATCTGGCTGTATCATGTAAAAGAGAAGCACAAAAAAGAAGTTGTATCAATGTTCAGTGGACATGTATACCACGAGAAATTTTACGGTCCTTGAGAAAGTACCTCAAGGTACCTAAATTTTACGCTAAAAATTTTGGTACCCAGGTACCTTATACCTAGAGATACCCAGTTTTACACCAGAAATGGTGGTACCTCCTGTTACCTTCTCAAGGATGGTAAAATTACCCGTATATCAAAGCTAAGATTGTTTCAGAACATAGGCAAAAAACATAAGCCAAATAAGCCATGATATCAAGAAGAATGATTATGACTTGTGAGGATGACAAGCATCCAATAACCATACATAACTACTAGACTTGTATATATCCACATGCACATAAAGTTACAACAAGCTAGATGAACGCCTCGCAAAATTCTTGCTTTTATTTCTAAAATTATAGTTGTATCTCTTATATAGTTAATATGTACTCCCTCCATCCCTAAATGTTTGACGCCATTGACTTTTTTAAATATGTTTGACCATTCGTCTTATTCAAAAATTTTATGAAATATGTAAAATTATATGTATATATAAAAGTATATTTAACAATGAATCAAGTGATAGGAAAATAATTTATAATTACTTAATTTTTTTTGAATAATACGAACGGTCAAACATGTTTTAAAAAATCAACGGCGTCAAACATTTAGGGACGGAGGGAGTATCTAATAAATCTACATGGTTATAATTTGGTCGCATCATGATCAACTATATAGCCTTCTCTTCTTTTCTACCATATTCAAACTGCATTTTGCTGATTAATATCAAAACCTACTGTAAGATTTCGATTAAGGATTTAAATGTATAGGAGCATACCAAGTGTCAGGAAAACTGCATGGGTATAAAGATTAATATTTTCCACAATAAGTGATTCACAATTAACTAAATTATAGTTGTATCTCTCATATAGTTAATATGTATCTAATAAATCTACATGGTTATAATCTGGTCGCATCATGATCAACTATATAGCCTTCTCTTCTTTTCTACGATATTCAAACTGCATTTTGCTAATTAATATGAAAACCTACTGTAAGATTTCAATCAAGGATTTAAATGTATAGGAGCATACCAAGTGTCAGGAAAACTGCATGGGTATAAAGATTAATATTTTCCGCAATAAGTGATTCACACCTTAATTACATCTAGCTGTCTCTCAACCAAGTCATTATCCAGTGAGGTTGTAAGGTTCCCAGTCCATGTGAACACAGTGTTTCCATTGTGTAGAATGTAGCAGTAGGATGAATTTAATGACGAAGACACCTAGTAAAAAAGGATCATAGAGATGAAACCATTGATAACAATATAAGAATTACGCTCTCGCATATGTCTGGACCAAACAGATGCCTTTGCACTTACTGCATCAACTTGAATTGCTTGCATGTTTTCTGATCCTGAGCCTTGAATCCGGAAGAGAGCAAGCCCACCTTCAACGTAAGTGTCGTCATCGGTACCATTTACAGCAATAAAGTTCTTGTATCCAGAGCTAAGTCCACCCTACATTAGAAAGCCGGTGTGAGGGGGAGAGGGATTAAGTGTCAAATTGTTATATATATCTAACAGTCACTCTGTCAGATCCACTCAAGGATATTGACTTATCTACTGAGTAGAAGAAAAACCTTAAAAACTTGAAGACTCTGAAATATGACGAAAAATTGAATCGGTTCTTTCCCTTCATAGAGGCGAGCCTGCATGGAAGCACCAATGAATTAGAGTGATAATGTGATGTAATATGTCATATATGGACAATGGACAGGTTACCTGGGCAGCCTGGAATTTTGCAGCCTGAAACATCTTGCTAGCTAGTGAAATTGCCGATGTTCTGTCCTCCTGAAAGTAATTAAGATCGCCCACATGCAGAAACTTGAATTTATCATACAGAAGTTAAACAGTTACCACATTACGCAAACCTCTCTGTTGTCCTATCAATCTAGAAAAAATCAGCTAACAGCATCAGACTGCTAACTT